TGGGGGGGGGGGGGGATGAAAGAATTACCTTCTATGATAACTTCGTACAAGATACAACTGTGCACGCGAAAGGCTTATATTGTTAGGATGTTTGAAATTGCTGAAGATTATGGGATAAAGATAGTTAATAACTTCTATTATTTTTTTGTGCTAAATTTTGTACGATCAATTTAGATTGATACCATCAGACGGATCGATCATTACTGAAAATTGGTATACGCTATGTATGATTTACGTTTCGCATCCGCCATCTTAATTGGATTCAATTAAGAAATTGAGCGCACGCCTGGATGCAAGAAGTTTTACAAGTGCTGATGTTCTAGGACTTCTCCTAGAAACAACCGGAATGCCATAATCCATTGGACTCTTTTACTTCATTTGAATGTATTCCGATTTCGCAATATTTAACTGAAAAATACTCAATTACACTTGATCGATCCATAACTTTTCTTGAATAATGTAAAACATCGTTAATCAAGCTCTATGTATTCTTAGTAATGTACGGTAACCTACTTGATTGATTTGATTACAGAGGAAAGTTAACTAATCGTTAACGTCAGGAGAATAGTTTACTAGGACCTTAAACCACGTATATGTCCTTGTAGAAAATTATAAGTGCACGTGAAAAAACGGCAGAGAAAAGTTGTTTCTTATGTTCTAGTAAGTCTAGTAAAGAGGTCAAACTTTAATTATACTACGTTTAAACTTTTTGCACAGACATAAAGAAATAACTGTAAGACTAGATGGATTTATTTTGAGATCGATTATTTAAAAGATATCTATTCTAATTTACTACTATCCGATTATATTGATCTAATTGTTTGTATATTCTTTTCTCTTAAGACTCACCATGTTGAACGGTAGTAATGATAACCAAAAGTAGTGCGACGACCGACACGATAAATGAAGTATTAGTAGTCGTCATCCTAAGGATCACCGGATCATGTGTCTCAAAAACAGCCAAAGATTAAATCACCTCGTTGTATTTACTAGAAATATTCTCCTCACTGAGTAATCAGTCACTTCCGAATTTCTTTCTTCAGTTCCATGGAACGTCTTCCTCGAGGTTAAGTTATTCCTTCTGTCTTTCTGTCAGTCTATAATCAGACTGTTGTGTCCTGAGTGTCGACGTGCTGCTCGGTTCTAGATCGCGGATGCTTCTGAGGCGTCGGATTCGCCGATGCCGCAGAGCGACGCGGTGTCCTTTGGCTTTTCCATGCGCCAACAACCCTGTCCTTTCACCCCTCTGACGCCGGACTGCCGTTACGGATGCGAATTAGGGTGACGACCTAACTAGACGTCCCGGTTTTCCTTGATACATGATACAATTGGATTTGCATTAATTTATCGATTTTTATTTGTTTAATGTAAAAACATTTTAATTCCTATTAAACTTATGAGCTTGTTTAATTAATATTACTACCCTCAAGTGTTTTCTTCATGTTTTATGAAACAGTGAAATTGGTTTCAAGTACTTTGCTATTGATTTTGGATTTTATATTTATCTGGTATTCGGGGTCAGATTGTAATATAAATTGTACGAGCGATATCACAAAGGTGGGTTAGAACGTTTTATGGAAGTGATAATAAATGGGTATAGGGTAGGGGATGAAGTTCAATTTAATTTCCACACCTTCAAAAGTCTATCTATCTAGGCCTAAATTGCTTCTATGATAAGATCGTGTATCTGTAGAAAAGATCGCCAAGTGAGTGGAATCGAATAAATGCTCAATGACGAACATGGAAATTAATATTATGAAGACAAAACAAAAGTTCGTATGATAAAGCTCAAGGAAAGTATTGGTCAAAGTTAATGTTGGAAGGAAGAATGAAATTAATTACAAATAACAGATATATCCCTCAGTTCGCTATACGAATGATGTTGACTTCCGTTCTCCTCACTTCTTATACTTTATCTAACATACTTGGCTGGGTCGTGTGGATTATGCTAGTTGTGACAAACAGCAGGTTTTAAGCTAATCTAAATCAGACTGTATGATTTATAAATTGATTTATGAATTTAAAAAAACGTAAAAAAGTAACTGAAGATAAAGAGACTATTCAATTTACTGGGTATGGTGTTACGTGTGAAGTAGTTTATCCATTTCTCTAGGATAATAAATTAATAGTTGCTACGACTGGTGGCAGCATTGTTTTCGCCGAATTTCGCCATTCATTGTTTAATGTTCATTTTCGGCATGATAAGAGGTAAAGAGTGAAAACCAATATTCCTATGCATTTTTTATAACTTTGAAATTTATTTGAATATACACATTTGTTTGCGCATTACGTCCATACAAACGTTTAGGGTTCGGTTGGACGGAAGACCTTGCTGCCCCGCCTGTTTGTCAAGAACGGTTTGTGAGGGGCGACAACTTTTTCCCCACCACCGAGCAATCCATTCATTTTCGCTGACTGCAATATCGGCTGGAACGATGATCATGACCTGCGCGGCTACGCGAAATCTGTAACATCGACAGAGGCGATGATCACGAAATCCTACTCCCGGACTCGCCGCTACGATTTAGCGCCATGCTTTTGGTATCGCCTAAAACCGGAGCATTGTGCATCTCCCCACTCATCTCTGTTATTATATAGTTGATTTTATACTATATGAAATCAGTTCTATGGTTTTACTTTGATCTCAGTGAGTGAACGCATCCCAATCTATCTAATTAGGGCGGATTGCATTTTGTTCTGTAATATGTTTGAATAACGTACAGAATGCAGTGTTAATAAATATTATTCGGCAAAGCCGATTCTTCTCGGCAGATATACTATTGGACAAAAAATGACGCTTGTTATGTGAACAGTATACGTTGAGTGTGGTTAAATGTGATTGGATCACGTCGATTATTTGACATATTGAAATTTAGTCAGCTGACTTCTGTATATTCTTTTTTATACGTGCCAATTGTTCCTGTAAATCTTAGAAAATGTCATTTGAAGGAAAATATAATGCTAAGAGTCCTGGTAAGTCTATCAAAAAATTCTGATTTTATGTCATCTCTGTATAATTTTATTGGCTGGCATAGTACAAGGTTTATGTTGTTGTTTTGTATTATTCTTTATTGTTTCCACTTTGTAGTTTGAGTTTATTAAAATGAATGTAAAAGATTTCAGTAATGTTTTACTTGGACTCCTGTACAATATTGTTTCCAGCTGTGAAGAGACTGATGCGAGAGGCACAGGAGTTGCATGAGGCAACCGAAGAATATTGTGCCTATCCGCTAGAAGATAATCTATTTGAATGGCATTTTACTGTGCATGGACCACCATCCACTGATTTTGAGGGTGGTATTTATCATGGGAGAATTTTGTTGCCACCAGAATATCCTATGAAGCCACCCAATATAATATTATTGACTGTGAGCTGAATAACATATACTCTGTGTTTCTCTTTTTTTTAACGATACCAAAACTTTTTTGATGACACTTTCTTAACATGATTTTGCAAGATTAATCAATTTTATATTTGATGGCAAATGTATGGTCCAAAATTTTAGTAGATAAGATATATTACGTAATTGTTTTATGCTCTGCAATATGAAAACTAATATTGCAGTTGATTATTATTTTGATCGAGAAAATATAAAGAAACTTATTTTTTGTATTTTGCAAATTAACTCATTATATTTTTATGCAGAATACATAAAACTCCTTAGAATATAGAGAGACAAATATATTTTTAGCCAAATGGACGTTTTGAGATCAACAAAAAAATATGTCTGAGTATTTCTGGTCATCATCCCGAGACCTGGCAACCGTCGTGGAGTATTAGAACTGCTTTATTAGCATTAATTGCATTTATGCCTACACCAGGAAATGGTACAATTGGATCGTTGGATTACAGTACCGAAGAAAGACAGCAGCTTGCTAAAAGGTATCAGTGCAATTATAAATGTACAATATCCTTGAGCTTTCTCATTCAGAATTACATTATAAAATAAATTCTATTTTCAGATCACTAAAATGGCAATGTGACAGTTGTGGTAAAATAGCAGAGCTACTTTCGAAAGATGCAGCTAAGAAACCTATTACAGAGGAAGAACAGCACATGCTAGATACTATTGCTTTAAAAGTACGATCTTACTAATCCAAATGAATTAATAATACAATTTGTGGATACGTAATTTATAAAGCCTTCTTTTTCTCTGCAGGCAGAGGAAGTATCATCTACTGAAAACTCTTTTGCATCTAACACTGAAAATATTACTGAGAATGGCTTGCGACAACGTGGAGTCCAAGTGCTGGCTGCAAATAATCAAACTCAAGAACAATTAGAGGTGATCGTTAATCCGCAGGTCGAAACGATGTCCTCGTCAAATGACCTATTTTGGACCATCCTTATCGCTTCGCTTCTCTCGGGAATTATTCTACTTGTTCTACGACGACTGTTTCTCGTTTAAATTTTCGTCACTAGCGTGCACGAAAGTAACGTAAGAGTAACGTTGCAGCTGTAAGTACGTTATCAACTACAAAGCAAATTTTATACACGTTTAATGTATAGCATTTTTAAGTTTAGAGTAGGCCCACGAATTTATACTTAAAACAAACTTGTTCTATGAGATAATTATCGTTATGCATAATTACACGTATACGGATAAAGATAACAATCTGTGCAAGTGTAGTACTTTTGTATCTAAAGCGAATATTCGTTCGATTATTGCATATTACTATAAATGTTTCAGAAGCACTGATTCCTAATGATTTGATAACAATATATATAGTATATATATTTGTTCCTTGAACCATTCGATGTTTCACAGTATTTTCGATCTTCTGAAATTGGATATATCTTTACTAGTCTTCAGTTCTTTTCAAAAAACCCTGTATTAAAATACCATTGACGTTCCTTTCAACGTATACTATATATTCGTATATCCTTTGAATAATACTAAAATAAATACTAAGTTGCATTTATTAGACTGTAATTCACTTGCAATTTTTTGTTGATAACATCATTTGGTTGATTATTTTGCATTTGTCAGTTTACGTAAGTTAAATGTATCATCAGATTATAGTGTTACGGACACTCAGTAATCAATTAATTTCCTAGCAGCCTATCAGCTTTATTGTTTTCCGCTTATCTGTCATTTTTGCTACATGGGGCAGTTCAACAAGATTTATAATCTCTATAAGAAACGTCTTTTAAATGTATACAAAAAATATACAAATTTCTACTTGGAGGCTTATATCTTTTGTACCCAGTATATTACACAGACCGTTCATATACTATATACAAAATAATGATTAAAATTTTATTGAAAATTCATCTATACAGATATTACACGTGAACATCAAAACTTGATCAATGTAATTTTTGAAGCATTTATCATTTCTCTACATTAGAAGTTTCGTTTGTGATTTTCTGTTACGGATAACAAAAGAACTTGAAGAACAATTTGTTGAACCACCCTTCCACTTGTTAAATTAAATGCTCACTGCCAAAACAAAATGTCACCTATGATTTCTAAAAATTTGCATTTTTTTTCAAACAGTTCTTAATCGAAAGTGCTTTCACTTTGCCCTAAGTTTCCACTTGTGTAATAATCAATATTCATGTACTACAAGACATAAGTAATATTGTATGTAATTAAGTGTACATAAGTAGGCAAAAATTAATTCGAAGTAATTAATATAAAAATATTAGTAAAAACGAAGGCATAGGTTTTCAATTCTTTTAACAATTGTTCATAATTGCATATATATATACAATAATAGATACATTATACCCGTAATCGCAACTATGCAGTTTTTATTTCCATATTTTGGCTGCTATACAATAGTAGTGTCTATTAAAGTTATTTAAAATATTGAAACTAATATATTTGCGTTCGCGTGCATATGCATCACGTATTGTGATAAACAATTATGAATGAGTCAGTGCGACTATTCAAGACAGAATATACTGGCTAATTATTTCTTTACCGCTTGGACCATGATACATGTAATTTTATGTTAAGTTTGTTAAAAATTACAGCGAGATCATGTTTAATAAAATTTATACTACTTGAGAAGGGTGTATTGTAAATTAAAAAGGAAAGAAAAGACATTATAAAATTGAGAAAATTACAATGGATTATCATAAAGTAATTGGTTTATTGAATCAAGCATATAAACCCACTGGGCTCTTACATTAATAATCATTACAATACCCCAAAAATGATTTAACTTTTCATTATTCTCACGTGCATCGTCACGTCATTAGCGGATTACTTTAATATCTGACTAGAAACTTGATATGATATCTACGATTAATCCTCGGGCCATCTAGGTGGAGACTAATGGAATGCTAATTTGCACTATTTTATCACTTGACGCAAAAATTCGATGCGATATAGATAAGTCCTTATTAGTATATACGCTGACAGTTGTCACAAAACTTTCTTATAGTTTTTAGGCTACATTTACTAATCTTTCAAAGACTTCATCGCCCTATATAAATTCGATATAACGCTGAATTCTTTTTTTTTCTAACTCTGCTATGTGTCCAGCACAAATGGCCCATGAATTGTCGAGAACTTGTCTAACCCAGATACAAATTTTAGCACGCTTAAAGCTCAAAACATTATTCTATACATATTTGTACAAGAAGCATACGTAATTATTCCCTGTACTATAAACTTCTAGGCACATTCAATCGTGTTTTAGAAGCCAAGAGTGGTAAAATTTGTAATTCCTTCTATAAATATATTGTAAAAAAGAAATATTCATTCGTTCATGACTTATGCAGGAGGTCGAATAAAAATAAAATATGTGCGCCTCGTCACTTTGAATTGTACAATGTTACACAATAATTTAACAAATGAAATTCGATATTTCAATTCAGCGCATGACTGCGTGCGTCACCGTTGGTCCCAGTCATTTTGAATCGATAACAGCGTAATTAATCAATGTCCTCATGATACACAATGGAAAAAAAATCACGAACAGCAGGAAAACACAAAACTCCTTGCTACGCGATAACAAATTGTGAAGTTATAAATATTTCAATCGTAAACGTTATTAATCCCTTTTTGTTTATTAGCTGCTTCTTCATGAAATACATTACAAATAATTGACTGAGTAGCTGAGATTAATGGGACTCGAAGCGTTTTGCAAGAATCTATACTTTACCTTGTCATGGTTTTTTAGATGATTATTGGAAATTCATTGATACCCCCCTTGTAACAGCTGATACAGAGTCAAAGCTTCTCATATTTTATCTCATATACTCTAAACATTTTACTTATTGTATTATTTATACTATTCTTATATAATAGTTACTGTTATTAGTGATGTTTTTAACGTTATTATTTATACAGCTGTATCAACTGCTTATAATTAGGCTAAAAATCCAAATCTATCTCTACAAGAAAGTATACCTAAATATCCCTTTGTACAAGTGCGCAACGAAATGTACATTTTAAGCAGTGCAATAACCATAAAATAGAATAGATAATAACATTCTCTCGCTTTCTCTATTTTTTATATCATAAGGCAACCTATTTGGTAATAGCAATCATCCACTCCTTGCAATTTTTTAATAGAATTTACATACCAGCTATCTAACTATGATACAACAGTCCATTCTTATTGGAAAATGTCTCTGTACACTAACCTAATAATCAGTAATAATCTTATCATTGCTACTCTGAATATTTTCTCATAAATTGTCGCTGTTACGCAGTGGCTATTCTGTCATTTGAATGGATTTTTCAACTCTTCGATTAATTCTGTGGCTCACTATGAAACTAATAGTACAAGTGGTATTTTCAGTAGATGCCAATAAGATATTATTAATATATATTTGTTATTTTCATCATTTCAATAGTCTCAATTCCTGAAAAGAATTGTGGCACATTTAAAATAAAAAAAATACAGTTCGAAAAGTACATTAAAACTTTTTATATATTAATACTCGGTGAGGTAATGATACTATTCTCAGATCCCGTCGGGTAATTGATATTTAATATTGATTCAATGCAATATTTACCACTTACTAATTTGTATTCTTGTGTTATTTATTTTATTCAATAACAGCTGGCTCAATGTAATTCGTGATATCACTGTCGTTTCCTTCAATTCGATGTGATAAATTAATTATATGAATATTTAGTCTCTGTTAAGTTCTTTGGTCTCAAACGAAGTCCAGTCAAATGCGCGATCATTATCAACAATGACGATCATATTTCTTATAACGAAGAGAAGTCATCGCACTTCGAGCACCTTCTAGTAGTATACAAAAATACAAACAGCCCCTGATAAACATAGTTAGTTTTTTTTTCCATTTTAGTATTATATCAGCTGGTACTAGTCCATTCACCCGTTTCCTTTAACGCTCTATCCGTTAATCTTTCTATTTCCGTTAATAATTGCTCAGTCTCTACGTCCACACATACCATATCTGCTTCGACAGGATCCCATTCTAAACTATTTGGGGTTGACACTCTTGACCAAGGTGATGCTGTTAAACTAGATGGTTGACTATTATTTGCTGAAGGCTGAGTCAATGAAGCATCAGTACTTTCTGCTCTGTCATCATCCGTCACAGGTAATGGCATTCCTGAGAGTGATTGAAGTCTTAGTATTGATGATTTAAAAAATATGAAATTATGATCCATAAAAGAAATTTACCTTCATGTTCCCATTCGAGATCTAAGGAAGAACCAGGAGTTGACGAAATGCATCCTTGGTGTTTCATTAGGTTCCTTGCATCAAGAGTCTGAAGAGGAGTATCCAAACCAGAACTGAAAATATTACTTGGGCTATAATGAGGGATTAAATTAGTGGTTGTTCATTATCAATAATCATATTACCTTGATGAAGCATTATTTTTTGAGGATAGTCTTGCATATTTTTTGGAAACCCTTGGCCAACCTCCATCCTCTGCTAACTCCAAAGCCACAGGAGCCCCATTCCTCTTCTGTACAAATTTGAGAATGATGAATTAATGAATAAGATAGAAATGTAGATAATGTTTTTCTATTGTTATTAATTATATTTTTTACTGGGATCTCTTTTTAGATCATTTTTAACTCGTTAGTATGTAAGTTTACCTTGAATCGTTTCAGAGAAAGAAACGATAGTAGGCTGTCCAGTGAGCATGTCAAAAAAAGTTAGTTAGTAAACACAGATTGACATTATGCTCCATTAATAATATTGTAAGTTACCTTTTGGTTCCTGTGGATTGGTTTACATCATTATCCTGATCCATAAACTGACTGAACTGTAAGTATAAATAAAGAAGGGTAAGAATTAATATTACTGATAAGAATACCTGATGTGATTATCACAGAAAACTACCCACTTCAACAGTTTCATCCTCTTGGAAAGACATACCAGAATGTCTGTGGTAGGACCTTAAATCAGAACGAAAGGAAAGAAATAGTTTTTGCATAAAAACTATTAAGTTACTAACAACTCTACGATCTTTTCTATTATTAAAATTTTTTAGTATATCATAAAATATGCAAGTTCTAGGAATGGGTAATAAGTTATATATCGATGAGCTAACTCCTGCATCTGTTCCAATTTCAAAATCTAATCCAAGGACAAAATTGAATCAATTGTCAAGATATCAAATTATATACTCTTTTGTTAAGACTGTAGTTTTCTCAATGCAAAATTACTTTTGGTGGTACCAAAGCCTTCGCATGACTTCAAAGAGTTAGGATTTTACTATAATGAAAAATTTAATACCAAAGTAAAGAGAGGATTAGAACATCGGTGAATATAATGTTGATGTAATTAATCTAACCTGAAGGGCGTGAGGTCGGTGACATTGGCAAAGCAGCGGCCGAGGCAGGCCCCCATGACCTGACGTCCTACGGCGTCGCACCGTCATCTAAATGATCGGAAACTTTATTCGCCCTTCTTGAATTTCACGTGAAACACAAGGGATGACTTGTGACCGCACCCCAACATTGTGAGCACGCAAAAATTAGCCGCAATTCATCACCGTCTTCTCGATCCTGATCTGAACATTTTCCAATCACGGCGAGTCGCGGTGGCGCACGCTGCTTCCTAATAATTCCATTGTTGCACTTCAGCAAACCACCGTCAGCTTATTGTTGTAAATTCAAAGATAACGCGCGCTTATTTTCTTTCTGTCAAAATTCGGGAGAAATAAACCTTTTGACGGTTTATTTGTGTGTTATCATGTGTTATACATCCTAGCCCAAGTTAACAATTATGTATGTACATACAAAATATTAATAAGATAATAAGCAATGGCAGGTTCAAGGAATGAAATGAATAATAAATTAGTTTTATTACATTATAATTTGATACATATTTGTTAAGCATTCTGTTCAAGAATATAATTTAGATTCTTCGATTATATTTAACGTGGGTGAATATGAAAACTTATTATTTCTTAAAGTTAAATGCCTGCGAGTTTGTCGATAAACCAGAGTTCTATTATTTTGCAGAAAGCAGATGTTTTCCGCTCATAACATTCAGAAATATTATCTGTGAAATGTATTAGTGATTGAATACTGTTGAATACTGCAAGTAAAGAAACAATTGAATTTCTACAGTGGATCTGGTAATTAATGGTGTTCAGAGCACAATTTTTATTATGAAAGATTATTTTATTTTGTATTTTTCTTAAGCCAGCACGTTTTTTTAGACAATCATTTTCAATAATGTTCATGTCAACATAATTTACGGGGGTTACATAAAGTGTCTAATAGAGATTAAGGTGCAACCAAGCATTATATTAGCTTGAGATATGATATCTTTATCTTAAATAATCCCAGTATGGACCGTAATATTATCTTTCTTTCTCAACTTATTGTTATGTGTAACAATTTACATAAGCAGTGCTTGTTCTGAGTGAATCGTTTTTGCTTCACAGTGTGTAATTATAAAATAACTTATTTATCCTTTTTAGATATAATACTAATTCATCGATATGAAGCAAAAGTTACAGCAAACTTCTATCGGTTTTATTGGAGGTGGAAATATGGCAAGCGCCATAGGTGCTGGTTTACTAAAGAAAGGTAATTTGTTTACAATCATTATACAATTAAACAGCCTTAATTAATAATTATTAAACTCTAGGTATTCTCAAACCTGATAATGTATGGGTATCAGCTAAAACAGATAGAAGTTTTTCATTTTGGAATGATTTGGGTGTACATGCAACATTGAGGAATGGTGAAGTCGTAGAGAATTGTGATATCATATTTCTGTCAATAAAACCTCACATGTTGGATGATGCTTTGACAGGTATCAAAGATACTCTTACTACAATAGTTCCAAGCAAGTTATATATATCTGTACTGGTTGGGGTTACTTTAGATATTCTTATGTCTGTAAGTATATAACATCAAAATAAGTGAATTTAATGCATTTTATGAAATGAAGAATATGAATAATGAATTTTCAGAAACTTAGTAACATTGTTGAAAAGCCTAGAGTCGTTAGATCAATGCCAAATACACCAATGATGGTTGGCGAAGGTATTACAGGTAAAGGAAAAACATTTTTTAATATAAGTACTCTACATTGTATTTATTTCTATTACATCATGAAAAAATTTATAGTATATTGTTCTAAGAATATAACGCAGCTTGATGAAGCTTTGGTGAATGCACTATTCTCATATATTGGCATGACCCAATCTGTACCAGAATTTCTTATGAATGCTGTTGGTGGTCTATCAGGGTCTGGCCCTGCTTATGTGAGTCCATTGTAATATCCTTCCAATGTCTTCCATTGCCAAGATATCACTGATCCTGACCAAACAAGTTAAATATCTTACAGGCATATTTGATGATAGAAGGATTAGCTGATGGCGCTGTAAGAATGGGTGTACCGCGTCCAATGGCAACCAAATTTGCAGCACAAGTATTAGTAGGTGCTGGAAAAATGGTTCTAGAAACAGGCCGTCACCCAGGTCAATTGAAAGACGAAGTTTGTTCCCCTGCTGGTACGACAATAACTGGAGTTCACGAACTGGAGCGTGGATCAATTAGGTAATCGAGAAAAATGCATACTAATAAACTGCGTCCTCATAACTAAAATGACCCCCCTTTAATTGACAGAGGTTCACTAATGAATGCAGTGGAAGCAGCAGTAAAAAGATCTCATGAAATGAATTAAGTACACAGTAGAATAACGGTAGAATATGTATCAAAATATTGAAAATAAATCATTGTCCTATTCCAAACTAAATTTGTAGAACTAAATTACGGTATGAAACTTTTCCAAATACATCTTCTCACTTCATTGTCTCCTTATAGTTCTATACTATTGTGTTATAACAACTGACTCCCAAAATACAATTAGTTATATCCTCATACCAGTACATCTCAACTTTGGACTCTATCATTGTCTGCAAACACAAAACTTAGAATTAGCCTTACAAAACCGTAATGAGTAAGAAGTACCACCCTCTGACAAATTAACCGCATGCTTATTCCTAAAATTAGATAGTACTGAACAATTTTTTTAATATACAACAGAAAATGCACTGTAGTAGTTGGTAGTAGTTGAGACAGCTGATATTCCTATGGATGCCGCTCACGAGACGCATGTCAAGTCCGCATACATTCACTCTACGTATACTACAGCCAAATTATCAGAAAATTCAAACAAGCTGCGTATCGCGGCGCATTCCATTATCTAGTGCAATCATTAATAATCCCGACAATAAATAGTGAATTCTACTGATCTTATCTCCTAGAAGACAACTACAGTATATTATATTACGTAAGCTATACGTAAGTTTGTCAGATTCGACGAATTGATATGCACTGATATGCACTTAAAAATACACGACGGAGTGAAACATTCTAAACAATTAAAATTGCTTGTCAACGTATATCCTGCGTATAAAAAGTTAGCAAAATTTTGTGATCCAACATTGAACAAACTGAATATGATTGGCCTAGTTATAAAAAAAGGTTTAGAACGTTCTTCAAAAAAATATCAAATTTCAAATATCAGTAAGTATTTCTTCATTGCCTTCTTTGATTTGACAATGAGAACTACTACGAGGTTGTATTTAATTATTAGATTGTATCTTAATGATTACATACGTTACAGACGTGACACAACGTAATTACACGGCAAACGATTGCGTCGATAACATAGGGTTTATAGGCGGTGGAAATATAGCGCGTGCAATTGGAAAGGGAATACTCGGAAAAGGTAACAAAAAAACTAAAATTACATAATAAAATTGTCGATTAATAATAAGCAAAAGTCTACTCTTACAGAGCTACTGAATCCACGGCAAATATACGTATCAGAGCCTTACAAACCCGCACAAAAGCTATGGATGGAAATGGGTGCAAATGTGACAATAAAAAATGGGCAGGTGGTGGAAAATTGTCAGATAATATTTTTAGCCGTAAAATCAACTAATCTCCAAGCAACTGTAACTGACATACAGAATACACTTTCGGCTCCAGTAAAGAATAAAATATTTGTATCGGCGCTTGCGGGCATACCGCTCTCCGTATTGGAAAAGGTACAGGCATACTACATAATTATAAACAATTAAACGTATTACAGTATTATTATAATTTCCATATACAATAATTATTCAATTCTATCAAATTAACATCTTACAGGTTCTCTTGCCTGTGATACCTGACGCAAGAATCGTAAGATCCACTTTGAATACACCGTTGCTCGTAGGAGCAGGTTGCACAGGTACAATTATCTTATTACATCCAATAACCGTAATTGGTAAAAGTATATAAGAATCTTGATGTATTTGTGCAAATGTGAACATTTTCAACATTACAATTTTTCATAGTACTCAGTGGTGACAGTCGTACGACGGATGACGATATAAATAAATTAAAAACTATAATGTCTGCGATCGGAACGTGCCACGTGGTGCCTGAGAGTCAAATGAATGCTGCTGGAGGAATAGTCGGTTGTGGTCCAGCCTACGTTAGTACTCTTCAATCTTATAAAGAACGCATTGAACGCTGATTTTATTAAAATTTACATAAATATTTTATTATTTAGATGTACACGATGTTGGATGCACTGTCGGATGGAGCAGTGAAAATGGGTATTCCAAGACATTTGGCAGTGACGTTCGCAGCGCAAGTGATGTATGGCTCAGCAAAGATGATATTAGAGACTGGCAAACATCCTGGAGAGCTCAAGGATCAAGTGTGCTCACCAGGAGGTACAACGATAGCTGGATTACATGCCATGGAGCGTGGTAAAATACGGTAACGTCTAGTGCATTGTGACAGTGTAAATACAATTACTTGTTGCACTGCCTTACTTGTCTTCTTTTTTTCAGAGCAACCCTTATTGAAGCCGTAGAGGCTGCAGTAAACAGATCAGAAGAAATTGTTGGTAAATGAAGAGACTACTTCGTAAGCACTGTGTAACAAAAATTTTTTCGCTTAATTTTGTATACTGCCAAATAACCAGCAGCATTGTCCTATGCTGTTTTGATAAACGCACAAGAAAAAAGTATTTGTTACATTACAAATAGTCACAATTATATATATATATATATGCGTTTCATATACGCTTTCGAATAAAATAGTTGTATAGTTTTCAAGTGTTTCTTTTTTATTGTGTAACCACGTACACATTACATAAGGTGAGCGACACCTTTATTTTAACTTCATGTCACTTATCGCTAACGTTACAACGAAAGAATGTAATCTTTAAAATTGACTTATAAACCGTGATCGTGATTTACTTTTAATGATACTGGTAGTCCTTGCAGCTCATGAATATAGCGTGACCCAGTGGTATATGAGTGAAACAAATTCCACTGCAGTCATGATAAATTGTTACCCGAGACAAAAGTGAGTTTTGAAATCTTGATTTCCAATTGTCCATGATCGGTATTTGCCATGTTTTGGTATTCGCATGGGTATACAGAAAATTTCCGATGCCAATAAAAAACAGAGTCGGAAGTGACGTTACGGATTTATAAATAAATTCGTAGAAATTTAAAAGAAAAAATATAATCAAGAGTAAGGTCATTCAATGGTTTGCAGAAAGTTTTGTTTTATCCAATTCATCATGTCACGGTTACATATAGTTGCGAGTCACTTGCTGCTGCAATACACGAAAACCATATTGCGCTTGAATATGCAAAACACGAAAGTACACAAGTGGCTTAAAATGATTAATAGTATTGACGGTCTCAGACGAATTTTGTGAATGAAAAATTATACTCTCTAACTTTCGTTGTGGAATTTTTTTCAAAATTACTATCGCTACCAATTCAATTTCGCGTATCCTTAAAATAAAGTACAAGACTTTTATGTATAACAAGAAGAATCATACCCACTTGCAATCAACGATATCATAAACATCCTTCGTATTACTTTATCGTGTATCAATTAATAGATCAATATATTGGCGTATAATGGATTTCAATAATGTGAAATCATGTGAATGGATGATACACACTAACTAGTCGGCGGTGGCGGCGGAGGAGGCTGCGCTAAGAGCGTGGGCAAAGTATTCAAGTCGATACCAGGTGGGGCAGGTGCTTGTTGCTGTGGAGGTGGTGGAACAGGAGCAGCAGGAGGCCATCCACCCATTTGTTGAGGTTGCCATCCTGGGAATCCCGGAGGTGGCGCAGTACCAGGTGGAGGTGGACGCATTGGACCCTGCTGACCCTGCTGCCACGGCGGAATTCCCATTCCCGGTGGTGGGATCTGAGTAGGTGGCATTTGACCTGGTGGCGGTGGCTGATTGTTCGCGGTCATCCAAGGCATAAGAGGTGGGATATTCGGTTGACCCGTGGATCCAGGCGGTGGTGGAGGGGGTTGCATTACACCGGGGGGAGGAGGCATGCTGACCGGGGGCTGCCATTGCATGTTCATGCCATTCATGTTGTTAACGTCACCCTGACTCCATGGAGGTGGAGCCATTCCTGGTGGTGGCATCATTGGACCACCTTGCATCATCTGTGGCGGAGGATGAGCTGGTGCTGCCATTAGAGCACGTGGTGCTTGTTGTCTGTTTCAATAAAATATATCCAATTGAAATATACAAGTATAAATCAATATTGTGATAAAGAATGAAATATTTACCTGTCAAAGAGCCCTGGGTAGTTCGGATTGGGCTGTCTCGACTGTCCACCCTTGTTCCTGTCAGGTGGTGGTCCTTCACCTAATTCAGCCATTAGAGACATATATTCTTCATCAATCTTTGCTTTGTCACCACCTGGTTCCATGCCTCCCATTCCAGCGGCTGCTGGACCACCCTGACCAGGTCGCTTGGACCTACAGTCCCTAGCAATATGCCCAGCTCCACCACAGCTTGAGCATACAATGTTGTTCGTCACATTCGGTTTATCAGGGCACTGAAATAAAAGTGATATTATTATGGAATTTCTCCGATTTAACCTTTTACGTGAAATAATTGTCAAAATCTTACCAGCCAAGACTTGTGATCAGATGCACCGCAGTTGGTACAGCGGGGTCCATCGTTTTCCCGTAATGTACCATTGAGCAACGCTAATTCGCGTAATTGGTTACGTCTCAAGTCATTCTGCCCTTCAGGCACCTCAACACCCTGTCTGATGATTTCATGAATCTGCATAAAAAATATTTTAAAAAATAAATAGATATACCAAGACGCTCCTCACATAATAAACAGTCTCCAACAACGCATACCCTCTCCACTGCCTTCTTCACAGCATCCAAATTATTCGCAGTAATATACGCATGTAGCGGTTCATCCTCTCCAGGCAATGGTTGTCCATCTTTCCTGCCTACCTTCCCTTCCTTTACGGAACCCTTGCCACGGATTATAATCTTAGCTCCGGTTTCTTTTTCCATAGCTGAAAAAAACCCTCAGAATTAACTGTTCAATAAGAAAGAATTTATTGGCAATAAAGTCTATAAAAATTCACATACACTTCAAAGTGTTGCCACGCGGTCCAATGAGCAAACCAACAAAATTGATGTCAGGATGTTCTTCTTGTGGTATCATCACTTTGTCATGTACACGTATAATCGGTGGTCTGCAAGTAAAACAAAGTATTATAATTATAATAATTATTCATCTATCTTCGTTACTTACTTATAATCGGGTGGTGGTTTGAAATCTGGATTGATTTTAAGTATCTTCTGAATGAGATTATGTCGCTCCTCTTCCAGCTTGCGTCTAGTACGATATTCTCTGGTGTTTAACCGTTTACCATCGCTACTGTATATCGGCTCTGGAGATGGTGATCTGAAAAAAAAACAGGCGTATATTATGTCACTACCTACGCGAAGATGGTACTAGCATACAAGCGACCTGATCCTAGCATGACACTGTGACTGAGCAAGTAAATTGATGGCTAAAATTTATAGCAATAAAATTGGGAAATAATTTCGTTTTAATTTCAACGGTGGAAAACGTTAAATCTCCCATTACACCTATAACATGTGTTCATATCTATCCTATGCGTTTGATACATGCTGACCATGTTAGGAAAGAATCCATCCCTATGTCAGGTGCAAGATTACAGCATACCCACTTCCTTTAATTGCTATGCCGTGAACCTCTTAATCTCACAGAAACTTCAATGGAACCATAACGCTACAAGATTAATTCTAAATAATTGCAATGTAGCCGAGGACAAAAAATATTACTCCAAGGTTATCACATATCACCTTGTAATGCTGTACAGTAAGAATATATTTTATTGGAGAAAAAGTGAAGCTATGGATATGTGATTGAAAGTGATTATTGTCTGATGTGTTGCAAGGCAGAGAAGAGGATATTTAATCCAAGAGACTGAATTGAAGATAAATTATTAGCAGAGAGTCCAGTCGTTTGGGTCTTTCCAACATTGCCTATGTATCAAAATATTTAAATAATCAATCACTCTGCTGGGAAAGACATTTTGGGCTAAAGGTTTTGGTTATCTATTCGAAGGTAACCACTGGAAGACTGCACGTTTGTGCACGGCAGATATGGGTATGATGTCAGCTGCTAAGGTAAATCCTGTGATTATTAGGAAATAACAAATTTTGTTGGATTAGTCAGTAATATGCTCGCATATAATACTAAACGAAATACAATAATATAGAACAATGGGGTCCGGCTAAAATTGAACGAGTTAAACCTATTGGAGTAAATAAATTTATTAAAAAATTATTACGGATTATTATTTCGAGTTGCACCTGAAAGTAACGTTAGATCGATCGCTATAATAATGCAATTAGGTTAACATTCATTTTATTATCTTCCTGTAACCTGCCCATTAAATTTTTAATTAGTAGTAAAGATGTGCTGTGGTAGGCTAGTGGTAAAACCTGCCTATTAGAATTAAAATCAATTGTCAATATTAGTTTGCTATTTTAATATGTCGTGCAAGTCACGGAACCACTCGTTGTAAAGTGATATTAATAATCGGGGTGTGACCTATAAATCAAATTTAAAATATGTCAGTGTTGATGGAGTTTCGAAGTAATTATTACTTTACCAACTTCCTTCGTGACTTTCCTAGGATTTTACTCAAGACTGTAACGCGTATTATATCTAATGACAATCCTTTCAATATCAGAGCTGTGTAATTTTCAGACATAGACAACTTATTTATATTCTTGTCCTTCTTATGTGAGATGAACAACGAAAATAATTTATGAGAATTGTTAAATAAATGTGAATGAAGAAAGCAAAGCTGTGTCCAATTTGATTATGTACGTACATGTATCAGAAAAAGGTAATAGGAGTGAATGAAAAAAGTACTACAAAAAAAAAAAACATTGATAAAAGTTATTAAGCTATTGAACCATTTTTATAAGAATAATTTACACTAGGTTACATCAAGCTTCTCCAGAAACAGTAACCTTTACTATAGAATTGAAGAATGATACTACATTTGAGAAGAAACACGAATTGCATATTAAACACTGCTACTTTTTGTCAAGTACCTGAATAATTTTCGAAGGTCTTTCGAACTCTTGAAATATTTTTAACGTTACAAGTCTTGCTCACTTGGGTTATCTGTGCTGTGCAAATTTTGGGGGGCTATAGAAATGAATATGTGCAAAGTAAAATATTGATATTGTTCTGAAACAGCGATATTGATCGGAAAAATTGTTGAGAATATGAAATATCATGCACTTCACTATTGGATAGAGGTAAGTGGTATAGACAATGCATTAATTCCGACTAATCCATCCTAATGTATAACTTTCTCGTATGACCTACCACTGCTAAAGAAATATTGGATCTGTAGCAGTGTTTAATGAGAATGAATTAGTAAAAGAAATTGATTAGAGCAAACCAATATTATCATAATTCATCTTCAGCGATGAGTAGAGGCTTAGACAAGCCCCACTTTTCTGTATTCCATTAATCTATGAAGCTGATAATTTTAAGACCCCTGCACTGTGGGCTGCTGAATGGTCAGTCAGATAGGTAGATTTTGTAGGTATGTAATGGTCATTTTTGGTACGTAAGTTTCTTTCAAACCTTTCCTCAGGATTAAGCGGAATTCCAAGATCTCCAGTGCGTAGCTTCCTGCTGATTTCCTCAATCTGCAGCTGAACTGTAAACCAACGGGTTAGAGGGGGCGGAAACCCCAACAGTTAGACATTGCCAATTTGCTACAGTGAAATACATTTTACAATGTATGCATGGCTTAAAAAATGTTGACAATGTGAGAATCAAAGCCACAATCAGTCCAAAATAGGGATATAATGTTTTCAAAGTATCAATCAATTAATGGAATCCTAAAGTAATGACATTAGCTTTACATTAAGAATAGTTAATGTAAAAAAAATTTGAATTTAACATTTTACATCTAGCCATTGTCAATAAGAATTCAAAGTAGTGCCAAATTTTTGACAATTTTAATCATGAATAAACGATGTTCCATTATTTCACTTGTAAAGAATTATTCTTACCTTTGTTATTATAAATTTTTAAATAGAATCATATACTTACACCGTAAGAGTCATCTACTCTATATAAATTACAGTTTACAAATTATGCTTACAAATGAAATCAATAAATCGTTCCCTATTCCGTAACACAGAAATTTAATAAAATTAATGGCTAATAAATAGAAATGCAAAATGAAAAAACAACTTACAGAGATAAGCCCTCTCCTGCTCTGGAGTCAGGTTGGTAGGCAGCACAGTAGGCATCCCCGGAATGAAAGTTTTGTCATGTTCGCTACCTCCCCATCTCGTCTTCCTCCTTTTCCTACGTTCTTCTTTTGTTTCTTTGTCCTGTTTAGCATCACCTAAAATAGGTAAGACAAGATAATAAAACTTTCAATAAAAAAGAACTGATATAACAGTATAAACTAAAATATTATTTTGTGTGCACAGAACCATATTTCAAGCGATGCAAAGTCAATATCCGCATCTGCTACTATGCCGCGTATTTAACATATTAATCAATATGTTGTTTCCAGAACAAATAAGTTTACCTTCTGCTTCACGCTTCCTGCTCGGCGTTGTAGGTGAAGAATTGGAATTGGTCAGCTGAGTTTCAAGAGCTGCGGATACCGCAGCAGCGGCGGCAGCTGCAGCCGCCGCTGCATTAGCGGCAACAGCATTTTGTGCATTTTGCAAATAGCTCGGATTTAAAAGCGACGTGAAATTACGCGATTGATTCATCGCGTCCCTGTTTCCGATATCACTGCGTAACTAAACACAAATGTCGCTCGTAACTACAGAAACTAGAATGAACTTGACGCACTTAGAAAATGGCGATCTCCGTGAACGTTGCTAAATTGGTGGTGGCGATATTCCTGGCTGCGTTCATTGCCTCTTTCCTTCACTGCGCAAATAATCACCTTGCACTGGCGCCTTAGTTTGAATTAAATATATCAATATTACATAAAATGATACAACCTTATAAACCGCACTATGCTCATAATTTTATTTCTTTTCTAATCTTCTCGATGACCTCCAATACAGAAAACGAAATTGAGAACAACTCTCATATTACCTTCCTAAAATTGTATTAAGCTGGATTTTCATGAAGTCGGTAAAGTAACCTAGTACATTCACGAGTAAGCATTTTAAAATCAACAAACGAAAAGAGTTTTTTAAAATTAATTCTTCATCTTATTCGTTTTATTTATTTTTATTGATATTTTAAATAAATACCTTATTATCCGCAAGAATTGGCTTTTTCTGTTGTTCATGCTTTAAGAAGCCGTTTTTCTAACTATTTGACAGATGTCGTTATGTCCCTCTTCTTGAACAATGACGTTGAGGGGAACTGAAGGAGAAGGAAGAAGTGATTGTCGAACATCTGTCACCAAGCGAGGGCTACGTCCGTTCCGATCTTGAAAACCGCAACACCGTCATGGTTCCCGTCCGCATGACTCGTTAAACGCGAGACAATTTGCGTTATCATATAAGCTTCCTGTGAAATCGGCTCGTTATCTCGGAAAATCAGCAACGTTTTCACATCTGGTAAGTGATGCTACGCACGACTGGCGTTGTTTACACATTACTTCTAAACCTTCTTAATATATGGCGGGGCAAGCCCTCTTTAAGTATTAGACACAATTCTTTAGGAGTTAATGAACTTTATAGGCCCTAATGGAATTAATGAAAGCAAAGTATTTATTACTTTATATGGGAATTAAGTATCTACGGTGCCTACGACAGTTTTGTTTGTGGAGAACTGGCTCCGAAAATTTTATGACTTATGTGCTTATGAATAAATATATATTTATGCTATTTACTTGTAACTGTGGGATCGTGCAATTTCTATTGGATTAATTTAATTTACTTGTTATGAATCTTTGTTAAGGAATATTATCATTTTTAATCTTGTGCATCGTGCATGCTACTGCCGTTTTATTGAGATGAATCAACGAGAGGTTATGTGTCTTTAAGACACGTTTCGGTCTATGAAAGTAGTTTGCACGGTGTTTATAAGTATTATTGCTTTTGTGCAATACAAACTATAAATGTTTTACTGTTTCGGTTTTCAAAATATGTATCTGTATTTTGTATTGGAATAAAAGAGTGGTTGGTATTTTCAATGGACATGTCAATATAATTTTTCATATATATGTTTATATCGTAATATTGTTTGCTCCCCTTGCATATTCAGTAACAATAACTGAGCTCCTTGCATACACAACGTGTTACATTAATATGAAGTATTTGTAAAGGTTATAAACCATAATTATAAATATAGTTTTTTCTAAATCTAAATTAAAATTATTTTGATAAACTCCATATTCAAAAACACACATTAATTTTATCATTCTTCTTCATCTAGACTTGACATCATGAGTTCAGGTAGACCAATCAAATGCGTTGTGGTTGGTGATGGGACGGTTGGAAAAACTTGCATGTTAATTTCTTATACAACAGATAGTTTTCCTGGAGAATACGTGCCTACTGTGTGAGTATGCAATAATTTATTTAATATTAAAAGATTATAAATTAACTGTGTTAGGCTACTCTTTATTTCCCTCTTCTCCTTCTTGAACAGAGGGTGTTAGAGTGGCTAATAATAGTCAAAGGGGCCAAGATCTCCCTTTTGCTCATAGGAAGCAATCTGTTCATAATTATCTTCTTACCAAGCTTCCTCCCTGTTAAATGAATAAGCATTCAAATATAATTCAAGTTATTTATTATATTTAGAGTATAAGTTACTTTTCTCACTTACATAGTACTGTTGTCGTATGTAGATATATAATATGTTTCATGTAACCTGATGATCTATTCAGCAGCAATTTAACTATAGACTTGATACTATCATGATCAAAGTTGTCTTACATTTATATTCAATTGCATGATTAATATTAATTTTAGGTTTGATAATTACTCTGCACCTATGGTCGTGGATGGAATTCCTGTGAGTTTAGGACTTTGGGATACCGCAGGTCAAGAGGACTATGACAGGCTACGTCCTCTATCATATCCACAAACCGACGTATTTCTAATTTGTTTTTCTGTAACGAGTCCGTCGTCCTTTGAGAATGTGACTAGTAAATGGTATCCTGAAATAAAACACCACTGCCCTGATGCACCAATGATTCTGGTTGGAACAAAAATTGATTTGCGTGATGATCGTGAAACTCTCACTGCCCTAGCTGAACAAGGTCTCAGTGCCATTAAACGTGAGCAAGGACAGAAATTGGCTAACAAGGTTAGTAGTTAATAAAAAAAACTATTCAATATATCACTAATGAATCATACCAGATAAAATGTCTAAGCAATGTTCTCTCAGAGTTTTTGTATTGAAATAATACATTTTTCAGATTCGTGCAGTAAAATATATGGAATGTTCTGCTCTAACGCAACGTGGATTGAAACAAGTATTCGACGAAGCAGTTCGCGCTGTTCTCCGACCTGAACCACAAAAACGCCGACAACGAAGATGCACCATGCTCTAAGGATCCACAGAAAGCTGCATTGGGAAAAAGTTAAATATAGGTAATAACCAGTATGCCAGAAGGATGAAAATTTTGTTATCGATAACCGAAGTGACAGGGCGCAGTTGATTTTGCAAGTTCAGCAGATGATTTACTTCTAAGTATCATTTTGGCAGCTACGATTTACCTCGTCTCAGCTAAAGTACAATACGGAACTTCCCGGTTTAATATAGACTGTAAGACTTACAGATCATTGAAAGTTTAGGCATAATATGCTGGGGACAAGATTCAGAAACATAAAATCAGAGTATTACTGAATTTGTAAAGTTAACAGTGAAGCTATATCCGCGCGTGGAAAGTTTCGCAATTTTGACATGAGGAAGGAATTTCGTACCAGCCGCAGAAGATCAGGTTAAAAAATAAATGCGACACGCATTGACCTTAATACGTTTTGTCAAAATATGTAAATCGGGTCATGGATCAATACCGGTTAATATTAGAGCTTTAAAGCTACTCACCAGAGCTGCCAGTCATTCGAATTTCATTTTCAACAATGACAACTTATTTTTATTCTAATGCACAACCATACATAATAGAAGCTGCTGTAGTTATTTAATATGCTAACGAGTTCTGTGAAACTGAGAATATAGGGTGATAGAATTGATCATAGACAAGCAGTGCCATAGCAACGAAGAATCAAATAAATCTCATAAGTAACTTTATTTCAAATTGTAGACAACACGCGACACTGCACTCGCGGGAAATTCTCTAAAATAAGTCTGATAAAATAAGAATTAAATAGAGGCACATATGTGGACACAATTGTACAAGGAAATATGAATTTGTCGAGTTACTTGATCTTAATACATTTTCCAGTTAATTTGAATACGTAGCAGGCAGATTTGTCAAAGAAAAAAATGGAACAACTTTTAATACAATGAAACAAGACTTCAAAACATGCTCACTATGTGGAATTAATACATAAAGAAAGGAATACTGTAGAATTTATACTATGCCAACGATTTCTCATGTCAAATGGTATTGATTAGAAAGAACAAAACGAATAATGAAGTTCAATTTTGCTATATACATATAGTAATTTATTGTCTAGAATTTGAAAGTCCTACTGTTAGGTAACAACATGTAAATTTTATAAAGAGAGTAGAATATTGCCTACTCCCTGATTTAAGTTTTTCTTTTTATAACTAACCAGTACACCAGTGATAGGATATGTGCATGCTACGAGAAAGAAATCCTCGAAAACATGAACGAATTAGGAACTTTGATGTATTCGTCTGAAAATATCAGGAATATAATATAATATTATAATAATATCAGCTACATTGGCCTACATACGAATTGTAGTTGTGCGTTCTTAATAGTGCTGTTGTCTTTTTCTTTGACTAAGGAAACCAATCAAAATAGAAATGCTTCCTTAAGAAACGTTATTAGGCATAGATGGAGTTTATTTTGCGCAATATAATTCAGTATCAAAGTCGTAATTAATATGGAAATGAACGTCTGAATCTGATAGAACTACACTCTCATCTGATATCTTCCTATATTCTATATTCAAGTTATCCGATGCTTTGATTTGCATTACTTCGATTGATCCGTACTATTTGCTTATGTACAAATTATTATTGTCATTGATAGTGTCCAACGTGTCATGCTCTCTATGATGATTATTAAGCATGTCGATGGTGAATTCATATTTCTCTACCTTTCTTAACCGTTTGAGTCCCAAGCAGCGCGACCGCGCTGTTCAGATTTTGTGTCGAGAAAACCCAGCACATTTCGTACATATATAGGGAAAGCGCGGTTACGCTGTTTGGGATTCTTCGACAGTGTTTTTTCAATACCGTCTGGGACTCAAACGGTTAATACTAATTTATTTACACTGAAATGCGCGAACGATTAAAGTATAAAGAGAAATTAAAGCATATGTGCCATTTGGTTTGAATTTCATAAAACTATCTATGTATGCCATATTATATTATTTGAAATTCATGTAAGTCAATCAAATGAAATTGATAAAAAGGGAGTATTAAGCGGTACACGAGAATGAACTAAGAAGGCACGTTACTGCTTGCTAGATATGTATATAATATAGCATAGGAATACCTTGCACAAACTTTCAATTTGACAAATTATATCTCAAAGACTACACATTGCAATATTTTTGTTTGCATTGTCCGAAAAGCTCATGGAAAATCATTTGCAGCTGGTCCAAAATGGAGACAAATTTTGTTTGATTGGAATATTCATTAACTCAAAGAAAATATTTATAGCAATCCTCGTATTTTTTAAGTCCAGTCAAAAAGTGACAGTACGTTTTAATCAGTCATACGTTTGTGGCATTATTTTACAGCTATATGTTTTGCATGGTATTGCAGTTTCATTTAACAGTCTTCGCAGCTCTCATTTTTTTATGCAGAATTCTTTTGTACTGAAACGCGATATGATACTTAAAATGTTTTATGAGCATTTCATTATTAGCAGTTTCTAAGTGGACGACAATATTTGGTCTGTTTTGGTTCTTCCTTATTTTGTTCTCTTTTTAAATAATTTTTCCACATGATTTATACGTTAAACGTATCAACAACCGAAGCACATTTTTCTAATTATCTGGCACACTAGCTAGTGCTATATAATTTTCTTTATGTGTTTAATGCTGATACGTGTGAGCTACGTGTACTAATCGATTACGTACTAATAACACAAAGCACATGCGTCACAATTTTTGTAAATGTGTTATAATTAATTAATGTTACATACGAATTGCATTTATTGTAAGTGGTGCATTTATTTTACTACTTTACATCACAAGTAAAGAAATCGCGTCGCATTTCTAAATGTATCATTTCAATCAGAAACTTGAAATATTTTCTTAGGTATTACAAGGTTTGTGAAAGCAGCTATAGTAGGTTTAAGATTAGCAATATATATCAAATCTGCCTAAGAGAATGTTAATTTATTTAAAAATGACGAACACATCATGTAATTGCACAAATGCAGTTTAGAACCCATCAACTGCTGATGGCTCCAAGCTTTCAATGTATTCTATCATTCTTATACACACAACATAATATTAGCTTCACTCACAAAGTGTTATCGAACCAGAAATTACAAAATTAGTATCTGTATATATTTGCAATGACAGATATCTCACAACTTTCAATATTAAGTAGTTTATTCATGAAAAATTCACTACTTCATAAATTACTAGTGCCTAATTCTCTGTTTCAATAGCTAGTGTATCACCATTTTCAATTCAATGAATTTTATATCCAGTTTGATATTCAAAATATCAATTATCACAAACACTAATGTTATGATGCTTCTAACATAACACTGAAGAATTAATTTACCTAGAATTTTCATTAATGTTCAGAGGGTATTGATGGATATTAAAAAACTACTCCGCTTCGAAACTAATCATACTTACGTTTCTGTTTACTCTTAAGTTTTCTTTCACGTACACGTCAACGTAAATTGACTTTCTTTTCAAAAGGTACGAACTTGTAAATGAAATGTCGTGTCTTATACGTATGAAGTCCTTATCACAGTACTTGTAAACACTCGAAGGCCTAAAGGTGCTCGGAGAAAGTTATAATAATTGACAAGGAGCTATGTCTTATAATACGATATGAGTGGTATCCGATTTTACACGTGATAAAGCTTTTCATCCAAACAAACACGGGTGAGATAAATTACACTGCTTACAGCTAATGCAATCGAAAGGAATTGCTTGGGACAGTAGACTTTATCTTGTATCTTTGTTTTAACTATTATTATATATATTTTTTTTCTTTTTCTCATAAGATCACCGTAGAGCGCTCTATACCAAAGTTAAATAATTACTACGATTTATTATAACATTTACAATTTTTCATTATGTAATATTGAACATAATCTCACAGCGAATGAATGAATTGTATTCTAGTCACCACGAATCTGCTTCTGACAGTTTTGTTTGTTTTTGAATATTTTTTTTTGCGTATTTGTAATTTGTGAACGTGCGTATCGTACTGAAGTGAGGTAAAATGATCCGTGATTTCCTGAATGGTTAAAGTGCAACATAAACCATTGTACGACTAAAAAGAAAAACGTTAAGTGTTATCCCAGCTTAAAATGTTGTCAATTTTGATAGGTCAGGAAAAACCAAACATTAAGAAACTATGCTGAGCCTATATCGGATATTCTATGTATAAAATTCAGATAGAATATATATATATATATAAACACACACATATATATATGTGTGTGCCTAGGGTATAACTTGGATTGTCAGTAATTTATAATATGTAACATTTATCTATTTTCCTAAGATTTCTGCAAATTTAATAATTTACTAATAAGGCAGCACAGTGAAAATAGCGACTTGTTCTAGACTCATGAACTCCTGACTCCTGACAATGACTCCTTTATGGAGAATATTGTAATACCATGATGTGGCATTTAATTAGTTATTGATAATATCAGTGAAAGTTTTGATTTATAAAAGTATTCAATAAGTGATAATTATTTTTCATTATTAAACGAAAAGGAAAATGATGGCGAACAATTGTTCGCGTAATCCCTCCGCAGTAGATACGCCTATGCCTTTAAAACGTTCGCCATTGAGCCTCTGTGCTGCCTTTGACAGTATAGCTAACAATTGAAGTAAAATTGGAAAAAGTCTCTAAATTAATTTTAGTTGTCATATTTTCTTATGGAAGGGTCACGAGTTCGACGTGAATAACGTAACTGCGTAAATGCATGTTCTATACGATACTAGGAAGCATTTATTTTTTATTTATATGTATTTTGAAAAGGACTTTTTAAAATAAACTCTACACGATACGTACCAATGTTTTTTTTTCACATCGACCACTTTCCTCTTCATCCCCAAATATATATCTTGCAATTCGTAATTATATTACAAGTTCGTTATAACTTCACTTAAAATAATGATATCAGGTAAAATTTCAAAAAATGCAATAAACATATTTACTTTGTTTGAATTTTGTAATTATTAAATAAAAAAAAATTTTTTAGTGGGTTTAACTGTGAAGCGAAACCATACAAATTTATAGATGTGCGCTCAGTGGTCTAAATGTTATATTATATTTCCTGATGCTTGTGAACGCAATTCATGGAATAATTTGATGATTTTTAATGATTGCTATAAATATTTCATGAATTAAACTTTGTGCGTTCAGTTACGGATTTGAGTCTCTATAGTCATGCTTCATGCTAACTTCATGTAGCCACGAAATTACAAATGGCTGCGCGCCTACAGTTCTCCAGCTTAGAAGTAGGGTCACGTTCACTCTATTCACCGTCATGGCTCCGTTCTTGCCGAGTTTCAGAGGAAATATTAAACGATTTCTGACTGATGTACAACTACTGCAGTATCTCATCGTATTATTTGGACTGTTTAATTTGTCTTTATGCCTGTATGAAGATCAAGTTGGAAAGTTTGACTGGTAATATCGAGATTATTATAATTGAAACTTGTCGCACTGCCCAACCTCTTCAATAATGCACACGCACGCCTTTGATTGACAGTGAATTTGCAGTAATTTACATTGACTGGATTCTTGTTATTATGTTCATAGGAGGCAGAATTATGTTGGGAGAATTAAATTCGCAAGCTTCGATACGGTGTCAACTGCTAAAAAGATTATTGTTGCCACGGAGGAGAATGTTGTTGCTGCTCTCAATCTTAAATCAGGTGAGATTTCTGAATTAATTATGTTCCCTAATGACTGATTAAGTTAAGTAAGTAAATGCTTGTAGTAATTATGCAGTTACTTGGAACTTACCATGTACTTTGTTGCTGTGGTTATAAATGTCAAAGTGATTAGAATTTGGTAATTAATAGAGATTTCATTCTGTTCTTTAATAGGCCAAATACTGTGGAGGCGAGTATTTGAAAGGGGATATGCAGGAAGAATACATGCTCTTAGTGGTATAAGTGATGGGGATTTTGTAACTGTTAGTGGAGGTGTTCCTGCGTTAGTAAGAGCATGGGATCTTGCTACTGGACATATCCTTCACGAATGGCCTATCGCAGATCAAAATCCTGACAGGTAAATCAGGAGTTATACATATAAATTTAGTCTTGTCATTGTGGAATACTTAAAAATATGTGTTATCGTTAGCTTGTCTTTATTCATTTTTAATGTTTACGTTTATGATATTGATTTTTCAGACTTGACTCTCCATTTATATCATTTTCTACAGAGGGATTGTACAGTATTGAAAGGTTCCTGTACTTCTATACTCACATGCACTTTGTAACACTTTGTTGAAAGAAAATTGTATGTTCTCATAGCAGTTACTGCTAAAAAAACTTCTTTCAACTAATTTGTCACTCAATTGCGAATGCATTAACTATCACTTAAGATACAATGTTCACATTCCTTGATTTGCAGTATATGAATAATTGTGTGAAGAATATCAAATATTAATTTAACCGATAAACATTTTGTTCATTCTATGTCAATCAGTGATACTAATATGAAATTCACTTAGATATTTGATGATTATTTTGTGTTTTACAGGATAGAAGATGTCAAATGGCATATAAAGGATGGAACTCTTCATCATATTCTTCCCATCTACAACAGCGGAATAGAAGTAACATCATACGATAGTAAGACTGGTGAAAAATTGAATAACAGATTTATCTCGGCTCCATTTATAAGTGAAGACACGGAGTGAGTTATCGTATTTTCCTTTATAAAGCTATAACTTATTCTATAATCTTAGAAAGTAAAAGCTGTACTCATATCTTATTTTCTGGATCTTTCAGCTGTATATTAGCTGCTCCGTATTTAGCCTGTTTAAGAGGAGACTCTTTGGCTGTACTGTTCATGATTAATCTGTTTGACACAACTGCTGATGTTCCGTCTCCTGTATTAACTACAATTAACACAATATTTGGTGCCGGCGCTGAAGGACCGTACAAATTGGAAACTGTACTAGGTGATGAGCCTGTTGTATCTATCAGTACAGATAATGGTCAAAGGAAACGAATTATTATTGCGGGCGAAACACCTGTTCCTATTGAAAGGGATATTATTGGTAATACTTCCCTTTACGTTACCTCTCTCGATAAGGAAAAGATTTTATTGGAAACGACATATAAAAATGGGGTACGTGATGAGACAATCGTGTTACTTGACATAAAATTCAATTCTTAACTACATTTTCTGATATTTGTTTTCTTTCAGATGACAGAAGTTGCTGCTTTTGAACTTCACACGTCAACGCCTAGACCGCAATTGTCCGTAGCTTTGACACACTCTTCTGTTCAAGCACCGACAATTGTGGCGTCCATTTGTCCACGACAATCAAAGGGCGTTACGTGTCGTCATCTATTGTCTTGTGAAGATCATGTCATCGCATTACTTCAACATAGTAAACTTGTTTGGGCTAGAGAGGAAGCCCTTGCTAAAATTATTGCTGTGGAGATTATAGAGCTGCCTATGTCTGAAGGAGAACAAGCTATTGAAACCGAATTCGATCAGAAAGAAAGTAAGTGTGATTATTTACATAGCTTTTTAAAAGCATAGCTTTACTAAAATATTGAAATCGATTAATTATGTAAACTGGTAAACAATGTTGTCGGTGATTTAAAAGAAAGGTCCATGGAAAATACATTTAAGACCCAGAGGTTGATATTGATGAAATTTGGTATTTAATGATATCTATAGGCATGCTTAATAAATATTAAATAATATACCGCTCACGCTGATAATTAAGACTTATAATCGTTCGCTAAATTGAAGTCGTTTGATGTTATTAAATTCTTGAACATTCTTTAATGTCCAGATCTATATTAATTTTTTTTTTTGTAAATTGCTGCTGGCAGGTATTGATGTAGACGGTTCATGTAAGTAGTGATATAGCATAGGCTGATTTGAAAATGATTTTCAGTTTATAATTTACCCCAATGTGGCATGGTTTGATAATTTTTATATTTATTCTTTTGTGGCAATATTGTCAAAACATAAGCCCTACTAAATGTGTGATTTTAATATCTCAAACGTGAGCAATGATAACACAAAAAATGGCATGTAAATGCCAAATCATACAAACCATTTTCATATACTAATAGAATATTTGCATGATACGATATACATAACTTTTTCTTAATAACTATTATCAAGTTCATGTTATTTAACTTTAATTTGCTGTCGGTTAAAATTCCTTACAGTTTTGATTCACAAGTCTCCTTTCATTTGTATCAGGGGATGTCTTTAGTATGTTCCTACGAAGGATCTGTTCTCAAGTGAATCAAGCCAGAGCACTGCTTCAAACTGCGCTAGGGCGGGAACCACCACAGTCTAATCAAAGAGCTGACTTAGTTCGGGATAGATTTGGATTGCATAAAATGATAGTCGTAGTCACAGCTGCTGGAAAGGTACTAATAATAATTTATAAAAAGATATTTAAATTATCTTCACACATGAATTACAATACTATTAATCTTGTACGATACAGCTATTTGGTATAGAGACTCGCAAGGGTGAAATAATATGGCAACTGACGGTTCCCAACATTCGAGGTTTAACCAAAGACTCCGACAAGATGCTTCTCTATGTCCAACGAGGCAGCAGACATTTCCCACACTCTCCGCAGTGTGCCTTAGTGGCAGCTGACAAAGTATGGTTTTATTTCTTTAATTAATTAAAAGATCATGCATATATATGTAAGTGTAAATATCTCTTTAGGATACTAACGAAGGTATCGTGTATACGTTCAATCCTATAACTGGACAACCTTTGGAAGGTTTAACCAGGTTAGGATATAAAATAAAGCAGTCCATGCTGCTGCACGCACCTACTGAAGAGTTTCTTCGTAGTATCGTAATCCTTGATGCAAGAGACAGAGTGCACGTATACCCTGAATGTGCAACTGCAGTTGCTGCATCTGTTGGCAAGAGTACCTATTTATTCACTGCTGATCAAACAGCTGGTGTACTGTCTGGATTTTCCCTTGCATATAGCACACCGCAGGTTCGTAACAAATATTAAATTTACTGTTCTTTGTTCCAGATTAAAATAATAATTATTTTATGATCTCTCCATAGAATCTAATTGCCCATAAAGTATGGGAAGTTGTAATGTCAACAAAGAACCAAAGGATAACGCAAATCGTTTCGAAGAATCCTATCGAACGTGTTCATTCTCAAGGCCGTGTCTTAGGAGACCGATCTGTTCTATACAAATACATCAATCCTAATTTAGTTGCTGTTGTTACACAAGGTGTTGGCAGCACACATAAAAGTAATTACATATTAAATTTTAATACTGTTTTTCAATATTGCCTATATGCTTTTACTTCTTTGTAATGAATCATTCGTTTTATAGATACGCTTAATCTGTACCTGTTGGACGTCATATCTGGAGCTATGGTATTCTCGCTTGTACATAAAAGAGCACGGGGTCCTGTACATGTTGTGCATTCTGAAAATTGGTTAGTGTACAGTTATTACAATGAAAAGAGTCGTAGAACTGAAATCGCTACGTTAGAATTATACGAGGGAAAGACACAGAGTAATACTACAGGTACTGTATCGCTTAGAGATGAAAATATAAAAAATAATTAAATATTTGTACGTATATTGAAATAATCAATCTCTTTTCAGTATTCTCGTCCTTAGCTACGACAAAGTTGCCAATTGTCGAAAGACAAGCATTTATTTTCCCATTATCGATCGAATCGATAAGGGAAACTATTACTGAGAAAGGAATAACGAGTAAACATATTATGGGTAAGTATCGGTTATGAATTTATTCTTTCTAGAACCAAAACTAAAGTTTACTCTCATTTTTCTTCAGTTGCATTAGCCAATGGAGGAATTTTGGAATTGCCATGGATGTTAGTAGATCCAAGAAGGCCTACGAATCCTGAAATGCGCGAAGAAGGTGTGATACCTTACATGCCTGAGATACCTATTCACATGGACGCTATTGTCAATTATAACCAGAGTGTGGCTAAGGTATCAGGAATTCATACGAGTCCTAGTGGCCTTGAAAGCACTTGTTTAGTATTTGTATACGGTCTTGGTAAGCTGAAATGTTTATTAATATTTTTTAACTGTTCCAGGTAACAGTTGGTTGTCAATAATTGTTTTTTCCATTCTTTGCAGATCTCTTCTATACTCGTGTGGCGCCATCTAAAACATTTGACGTTTTAAAGGAAGACTTTGATTATTATCTCATTATAATAGTACTCGCGGCATTGGTGATCTCATCGTACGTAACGAAAAAATTAGCATCGCAAAAAGCCCAAAAGCAAGCATGGAAATGATGTTACCTTGCATCCCTACAGAATCATCGCATAACATTCTTAACTGGATTTGTTCACAGTAGACAATGTTGTTTGTTGAAGGTAATTTGTAAAATGTCCCATTTTATAAATGGCTATTGATTATGCAAACTTGATTAATGACACTTCGTTAATTTACCCAAATATCTTTAAATAGCCAGATTACACAGGCTGTACTTAACTCTTTTACTGATACACAATGCATACTTCTGATATTCGATATTAAATGTTTTTTTTAAGTGTTCTAATTAAAATAGAATTTACGTGGATCGCGATAATTAGATATTTTTTCAAAGTTGACTGTATGGTCAAAATATTGCAACATGAAATGTCGAATATCAATTCCAGACTGTGAACAAGATGTCAGGATTATATTTCTACACATATTTGAGTTACCAAAAATTCTTGAGAGCATAAACAAATCCATCATGAAATTCATTCGAAAATGACGCTCGTTCATTTTTTACGTCATGATCTACTTTCATATACCATTTAGGACAATAGAAAAATATACGACAACTGTAATTTCATTTTAGATTCTCTCACTTAGAATTCTAATTGTTATAATTTATTAATAGCACTTAATACAGATACAGTGCCTGCAAATATCAGGAGGTTGTAATTTGACGCAGGCAAAGAAAATCAAATACTTTTCTTAAATTTTCTTCAGTGTTTCAAACATTTATTTCTGTGTACTTCGTGCATACCGGAATCCTGTGCAGCTTCTTAGTGAATCCAGTGAAAGAGTTAGCGGTATATTTATGTAAAGCAATTTTATAAAGAGATTTAGAGAAAAGAGCAATGCGTGCAAGAGAATAACGTCTCAGGACGTAAAAGAAAATCCCCTTTACGTCTTAGTAACATTGACTTTTGTCGTATGAGATGTATTGTAAATTTTTTAATGCCACATTGCCCGAAATAATTTCTTTGGAGTACAATTGGCTTTAAGCCATATATATAAATATATGATGATACCAATTGTAAATGGTATGTAGGAGGAAGTGTGGATTGTTTGGACTGCCATTTGATCAGTTGCTGCTTGTACCAAAGTTTGTTGCTACAATTATCTATTGCTATTTAAGATAAAAGTTAAATGGATGAGTAAACGTTAACATTCCTCAAAAACGAACAGTAGTAGTTTTTGTTCAATCATTGTTTGAATATATATATCATTGTTTTTCTTTATCCTCATCAGTGATAAATTTGAGTAATTTACTATCTGAACAAAAGTCAAATAATACGAGTCTGACGAAGTATTGAAATCATTTTATTTCTTATAACTAAATTTATATAATTATCGCAGCCTTGGAAGCAATCGCATTACAAACAATGCAAGTAATTCTTGCCTTGTGAATAAACAATTGAACTTAGTTAAAATGTTCTAAGCTGGTCACTTGATATAGTGAAAGTATATCTTATTTTAAATGAATCAGTATTTCAACTGGTTGACGTTTGATGGTAAGGGTACCAAAAAATTAAATACTAGATAAAGGACATAATTTATTAGGAGTAGTACTATAAATGTACAGATAAACTCCTAATCTAAGGATTTTTTGATTCGTCTGACAAGTCGAACATTTATCATAAAAATATTATGATGGTAGCGTGATTGAATAAACGCAGAAGCGATAAAAAATATTTAAAGAAAAAAAAAAATAATAATATTAAAGTTTTAAAATACGTAACACTTGTGCATTTTAAATCAAGTATGATAAAATAAATTTTGTAATAGTCAATCCAATCTAACGCTATCGAACGAGGCACGTGACATTTTTTCACCGTAGCATGGAAAATAGTGATATTTATTGATTAAAGTGTAAGTAAAACGCGTAGCTAATGGAATCACTCAATTATATAACATTAACGTACCGAATTACATAGACACGTTGAACATAATTTTGTACATAATAATATTATTGTCTCGAGACACCAATCGTCTTATCTTGAATGTAAGTTATAATTGTTTCTACATTCTTCTGATATTCGCTTTGTATATTGGTACTTGCAACCTGAAGAATGACAAATAAACATTTATAAAGATACAAATGTAATGTTAAACTATTAATATTATTACATAACTAACTTACCTGCAAATTTATCGTTTGAAATCTATCGTCAGGTGCTTCTATGGTACTTGTAGTGTTGCAAATCCTCAGACATTTTACCCAAACAATATCTGCATCGTAGTCAGCAATATCTTTATACATTGTTATACAGCATTCCTACGACAATGATGAATCTTATATATGATCCTCTGTTACTTGAATCTAACTTAATATTTACTGTACCTGCAATGATTTATTTTGCTTTACACTAAGATACGGTTGGGCGATATCTAACAAATTCCAAAGTTCTCTCTCCTGAAGCTGAAGATTATTTGCAGTGCGACCCAATTGCGAAAGCAATTCCTTTTGTAATTTATATGCCTGACTAAATTCATAAACGCCTCCAGATTTTTGATTGTAACTTTCCTTGGAGGAGTTTTTCAAGAAATTCGAAATTGATGGTAACACTTGTCTGTTAAAATTTGAAAAATTATTCTACTCATTTGTTCTGGTTAACGTTTTGAAATATTAGTATAAAGCTCACTTCAGTGTTCTGGATCTAATGAAATCTTTGGAAACGTCAGCAAGGGTTATGAGCAATTGCCAGGCTCTATTTATTACAAGGGGATTAGGATCTTTGAATCTGTCTACCAATGGATGCCATAATTCATGAACAATAGGCAACAATTCGTTTTCCCAGTCTGATAAAATATGTAAACTCTCTTTTAGAGTGTCCATGGCGAGCAATACCCTTGCTAGGTCTTTAGATGGTAGGAAATGTAAGCATCGCTTTGAAATTTCTTTTATCATGTTTATAGATAGCGGTGGCTCTGCTTTCTTTTCATCTGTGATTAAATGGTTAATTAATTAACGTGAAAATAATATAGTAGTTTGAGATACTTGCCTTCTAAATATTCCTGGACTTCGTTGTCTAAGTCTGCTTTATTTTTCAGCTCTTCCAGTATGTCTTCTGGTTTACCTCCAAGATCATCATCTTCTATTCTTTCAGATATCCTCTTTGCTTGGTAATATTCCTGTATTGCTCTTATCACTATTTCAGATGGATCTTCTGAGATTTCTTCTTCTACACTTGTTTTTATCTGCTCGTTCAACGTTAGCCTTCTTATGCACACTGCAAATATGTGAAAGACTTTCAGAAAAGAGTAGGAATTTTTTTGTTGAAAATTCGCAGCAGACTGTCTGAGTACGTCCTCTACAAAATCTTTTAAACATGGCAAAACGTCCATTGTGCTATACTTCATAATAAGTGCAACGACGTCAAGTACTCCAGGATTACGTTCAACTCTTCGTAGCTTCAATGTCACATGATAGGACAAGTAATCAATGTTAGCCTGAAGAAGATCTGTTACAGTGGCGTAACGAAGTGTCTTTGCTATTTGTTGAAGAGTTTGAAATCCGATCATACTGAGTACACTATATCCACTACCTGTGGAAATTAGAAATTAATAACAGAGGTACTTTATTGTTATTTGAATAAATAATTACTATTTAATTAATTATACCTGCTCTCTCTATGACCAAGTAAAGTGTTTTTAGAAGAAATCTATGATACTCTTCTCCAACTCTTTGCGCTATTATACTCAAACCTTCTAAAAAGAGGCCGCATTGTACGATATTACTCTGTGCTTCGCGTAAAGATACGTTTTGTGTAACAGCAAGAGGCAAATACCAGGAGTCGGGTGATATATAATTATCCACGATTGTTTTATATAAGGATAGCGTAGTAGGGTCTTCGAATGGAACTGAAAAAATCGAAAAATATTTTATATTACCTGCTTCCTAGTTAATGACCAATAATATTACCATTTATTATCCAATTGAGTAGTAACGTTAATTCTTTTTTATATTGTGGCATGTCTAATATCAATTCTTGAATAGCATCTACTAATATGCTTAAGTTTCCAAATTCTCCCAAATATTTGCAAACATAAGTAAGCTTGTCTTCCACGGATGATTCACGAATAAATTTGAATTCTTTCCATGGATGCATTGTCGCGTATTGCATGGCATCGTCGTGATCTGATGAACAAAAGTAGATTGGATTTATAGTTTTTACTTGTTAATTGCACAAGTTAAAATACGCTGAAGTAAAAAAGTGTTATCGTACGTTTAATAGCAACGTCTTCCAAGAGTGAGACATTACTGCAGTTTAATTCAGCAACATAAACCAATGCAAGAAGCAATCTTCGCAAGTGAGCAATGGATGATATAACTTGGGGCAGTCTCTGTTTTCCAAACAGTCTTAAATAACCGGCCAAATGATTTAGATGTGACAGTTGCGCTGCGTCGTCTGTAATAGAAACACAATCAAATAAAGTTGTCATAGATTTTAATTTTTAAAAAGTATCTAGAATATACAAATATTTATACCAGATCCACGAATAATTCTGGGCAATTTAGTGAGGAGCTTATAAAAATTTTCCTCCAACAATTCTATCAACGGCCTAGAATTTTGGTTAGCTGTACACTTTTCATTGACATCGTTTAACGCTTGTTTAGCAATTTTGTTCACTTCCTCAACTTCGTCTTCTGATAAAGAAATCAGAATCTCCACGAGTTCCGTGAAGCTTGGCTTCATATTTCTTTTCATAAAGAATCACACACTGTTGTTATATATTATTCAAATAAATATTGCAATTATTATTAAGAAATGAATCTTACCTGGAACATTTGTTAAGCAACAGCCTTACACTCTCAGCCAATTCTTTTCTTACTTTGAAGTGAGAATGTTGGGTCAACTCTCGTAGAGATGGAATAAGGACATTCAATTTGATAGCAGCAGCATCGAGCCAGTTTTGACTTCTTGTAGCAGTTTGCATTAGTTCTTTCATTCCTGCCACACCTTTTGCATGCAATGAACATTTTAAAGGGTCAGAGGAGTTGGAAATATTAACATGACAGACAGCATCCAAGGAGGGAATATTCTCCTCTTGGGGAATATCTTCCATTACAAGGCTGATTATTCTACTCCATGCTCTAAGTGCCATCTAAAATGATATTAGAATCCTTTAAAATGTATGTTTATATCTTAATTTAATATCTGCGAAAGATTAATTTATTACCATTGTGACTTTATGCCCTTGAATATCACTGCCAAGTGTAATTTCTTGTAACCCACTAGCAATGCCAGGAAGAAATAGCATAATCACATCAGCCACTTGCGCTCGTAAAACTATATCATCATCGACTTGATCGTGGACTTGGCAAAGAACCATTACTGTTTCTATTGCTGCCAATCTTAGTATTCATTAATATATTATTAATCTGGATAGAGAAGTTTAATATATTTAAATTGACTTACCTAAGAGAACGTGATTTTTCAGTTTTAGCAATAGATACAGACAAATATACTGCTTGTCCTATCTTCGGTGCATTTTCTCTTGCATATAATAATTCAATAACATCCGTCGTAGACTGTTGTATCAGATCTCTCAAACATAAAACAACACTTTCCTTTAGCTCCTCGTGACCTGAAATTACTGTAAAACAAGTAATAATGAATTTTATCAAGCTTATAAGAAATTTTATCATGAACCAATAACATATCTTGGAACGTACCCATATTTGGTTGCGCCTTATCATATATTTGATATAAAAGACATGTAAATATCTTATGGAAATTATTTATCTTTAATATCTTGGATTTCAACAATACAGCTCTTATAGTCTCTACTAAATGTAATTTTACATCTTTGCTGTAATGTAAATTAAAAATTACACACATATATTTTCTTCTTAATTATTATCACTTATATCTGCTTACCTTAAAGTGTCATTTTGTAAATGTACAGTAAAAGGAAATAACACATATTCCTGTAAATCTTGAATCACTGCATTAGAAATATGTCTTATGCAAACTCTAATCTCTTCAGCGTTCTTTACATTTGGTGATTTCATTGAAGAATCGCAAAGAGGTTTCAAAGTTGTAAAAGCTTCCTGGATTGTAAGCCTTTCCATTATTGCTAAAAGTCAAAATGATTTACTATCATGTTTCCACTTACTGATATATGATAAATTAAAGTAACAATAAATATGTTCCTCACCAAATTCAGTAAAATATTTATATCAAAATGTGTATATCTGTAAGGACTTGGATGCTAGAAAGGTTACATAGCTCACAATATCATTACTGAAAACACGTCACTAAATCACTGCATTTGGAGCAACTGTATTATTCATTCATGTGGATATATTTTGTAAGTTTGATTTTATAATACCTATAAAAGGGACAGATCAGAATTTTGTTAAATACTGTCCCTTCCTTCCTTTCCTTATGGCTGCCTCCTCTGTTAAATACTGTCAAACCACCCTCAAAACAAAAATACGGCCATGCGTATGTTCCCTCCCGCCACTTCTACTCCTGTCTCCTGATCTCAAACAGTTGTGAATTTAAATGAACGCTAAGCTGTACCTTGTTACTGATGCATAAATCACGCTTTTTTTTTTACAAAATTGTAACAATTTCACTTGAAGATTATTCGTATATAACGAATACTTGGACTTTATACGTAATAAATAAGAGGTAACAAGAATGAGCAGCAGTCATAAAACATTTTGGAGCAATAGGAGGTTAATATAAACAACATTTTATAAGAGGAATAGAAGGTAAATTTACTTTAGCGCTAATATTTATGGTACTTAGAAGTTTTTGATAAATGCTAGAGTATTGTTGTAGAGGAACATGATGCTCTTATTTAGTTGACGATGTACAGCATTTGAAAAGGGAATTGGCAATGAAATCCTTGGAAAAGAGTACCTTGGCTTCAGTTATTAGAATTGAAACAAATATTGCTGAAAGTAGTAATAAAAGAACATTGAGGAGCTCAAATAAAAAACAGGATGAAAGTGACATTGGAAAGTATTTTGGAGAGAGTATGGATTTTTCAGAAAATCAGGAAAGAGAGATTTCAGATTTCAAAGGAGGAGGAAAAGTGTCTCCTAAACAATCAACCAAAAGACTGAAACACGATGAATCTGATATTGGAAAGTATTTCAAAGATAGCATTGGACTATCACAAATACCATGTGGTTCCATGGAACTACATAGCTCCAAGCCTGAAGAGAAAAAAATTACAAAGAAAAGAAAAGGCAATTATTTGACAAAAATCGTTGAAATTGCTAATATTACTGAAGAGAATATTAACGAACAGTATCCAAAAACTGAAACTACAATTAATAGATGCAATAAAAATGAAGATATACAGGATTCTCCTGTTACTGATTTCAGCAGACTCGTAATAACAACTGCAAAGTCCATAGAAAATACTAAAACACCTTCCAATTGTGATAAGGAATCATTTACAATTTCTACACAAGATTATTGCAAATTATCGTCCTGGGGTTTACCACCAGCCATTCTTGAGGTATTATATTAAATATATATTTATTGTGTATAACAGCTGATTTCATTCTTAATTTATAGAAATATGAGTCACGTGGTGTTACATTTATGTTTCCCTGGCAAGTAGAATGTCTATCAAATCGCCAGCTAATGGAAGATTGTCGAAATTTAGTATATTCAGCTCCTACTTCTGCTGGCAAAACTCTTATATCCGAAATACTTATTATCAAAACAGTTTTGGAACGTCGCAAGAAAGCTATATTTATCTTGCCATTTGTTTCGGTTGTACGAGAAAAAATGTTTTACTTTCAAGTACGTAAATTTTATGTATTTTATATAATTGTATTTTTGTTTTAAACGACAATCAACAGTTCAATATTCCAGGATCTCTTATCTAGTAGTGGCATCAGAGTGGAAGGATTCATGGGAGGAATCAGTCCTGCAGGGGGTTTCTCAGCTACTCACATTGCAATAGCGACTATTGAAAAAGCAAACTCTTTAGTTAATCATTTAATGGAAGATGGTGGTTTAGAATCATTGGGAGCGGTAGTGATCGATGAATTACATCTGCTGGGAGATCCAAATCGTGGATATCTACTTGAGTTGCTTTTAACAAAATTAAAATATATGACACTTAGGTAAACATTGCAAAATACATATAAATATTTACTTTTTATGTAGAATATACAAACTGAAAATTATTACGCTTCATTTTACTTACAGAGAAGAACATGTACGAATACAATTAATTGGCATGTCTGCTACACTTCCAAATCTCAATCTTTTAGCTTCCTGGTTAGATGCGGAGTTGTATAAAACTGAATTTAGACCTGTACCACTTAACGAACAATGCAAGGTATAGATTTTATTTTTAAACAATGAAAATATTCACCATAATACTACAAGTTAATATTTTGTAGATTGGAAAAACTATATACGATGCTAAAATGTGTCCAATCAGAAACTTAACACCTTATCCAGATTTATCAGCAGACTCAGACGATATTATACAACTTTGTATCGAAACAATAGCAAATGGTCACAGTGTCCTGATATTTTGTCCCACAAAAAATTGGTGTGAGAAGTTAGCATTGCAGTTGGCTTCAATGTTTTTTAAATTAGGTATATATATACATACATTAAAACAAATTAATTTTGAATATAAGTCAGTATCAATGACAATATACTTAATATTCCACTGATGATCGTGACACTTGCAGGACGTGGAGAACACCCATTAGGTCAGATCTTAAAGAAACAGTTGGATGTTACAGCAATTACTGAAACATTGGAGCAACTCAAGCGTAGTCCAATTGGATTGGATAGTGTGCTTAAAAACACAATTTCATTTGGAATTGGTTTTCATCATGCTGGACTGACTATGGATGAGCGTGACATTATAGAAGGATCTTTTAGGTATACATAAAATAATTTCAAGGCGATATACAGTGTTACAAAGTCCTGACTAACTTTTTATAAATAGAACTGGTGGTCTAAGAGTATTGACAGCCACTTCGACATTGAGCAGTGGCGTTAATTTACCTGCAAGAAGAGTAATCATCAGATCACCAATATTTAATGGGAAACCCTTGGATACTCTTACTTACAAGCAAATGATAGGACGTGCTGGTCGAATGGGAAAGGACACTGCTGGTATATAATTATTGAATACATGATATTAACTAGGTGTAATATTAAAAAATTATTTGTCATTCTAGGCGAAAGTATTCTTGTATGTAAAACGAATGAACACACTGCTGGCAAGATATTATTATCAGCTTCCTTAGAACCAATAGAATCTTGTCTTGAAGGCTCTGGACCATTAATTCGAGCATTGTTAGAAGCAGTGGCTAGTGAAGTAGCATACACTGCGGCAGATCTTAATCTGTACACCAGATGCACTCTTGTTAACTTCAATCAACAGAACGGCATGGATGATTCCACAAAGGATGCTCTACAATTTTTAGTGGATAGTGAATTTATTCTGTAAGTATCAATGAACTATTAAAAATTGAATACTCAATACATATAATACATATAATGTGATGCGTTATCAGTTTACAAGAAACTGAAACAGGAGAACAAAGATGGGTAGCAACTCCACTTGGCAAAGCTTGTCTCGCAGCATCAGTTCCTCCAAGGGATGGTTTGTTCTTGTTCGAAGAATTACAAAAGGCTAGAAAATGTTTTGTCCTGGATTCTGAATTACATATTATTTATTTGATAACTCCATTCAATTCTGGTAGTCAAATTGGACAGATTGATTGGATGATATTTTTGGAACTCTGGAGAGCATTATCAGAGAGTGAACGTAGAGTTGGACAGCTTGTAGGTGTGGAAGAGCGATTTGTAATGTCTGCTGTTCGCGGCACAGTAAAGACCGGTAAAGTTGTGAGTATATTTATGAGAATGGATGATAAAAATTTGAAGCACTTTTAACAATCGGAATAATACATTTCAGTTAGACATACACAAAAGGTTTTACACTGCATTGGCTTTGCACGATTTGGTACGTGAAGTACCCCTTAGTAGTGTGTGCCAAAAATATGGATGCTGTCGCGGTCTTCTACAAAGTTTACAACAATCAGCAGCAACTTTTGCCGGTAGATTTATCAAAGATTAAATTTTAAGTATATTTTATTAAGAAAATCATTTAAAATCTTGTATCTTCACTTGCATTTATTATATAGGGATGGTTACACAATTTTGCAAGGAGTTAGGATGGGATTGCTTAGAGCTATTAGTGGGACAATTTCAAACACGTTTACAATTTGGTGTTTGCCGTGAGCTTTTGGATCTGCTACGTCTCCCATTGTTAAATGGTCTTCGAGCAAGAAGTCTTTATAAAGAAGGTATCACAAACGTAATGGAATTAGCTGTTGCGAATGAATTGGATGTCGAACGTGCATTGTACAAAGCCCTTCCATTTGAGAGGTAATAAAAATATTATATATTTTTTGTATATAAGTATTACTTATTATGCAAATAATGTGTTTAGTGGAAAGGAACAAGATGGAGAACACGAAGTGGAAGCTGCAAGAAGGAATAAAATGAGAACTATATTTGTTACTGGTCGGGATGGTCTGACACCTCATCAAGCAGCAATTATGTTAGTGCGAGAAGCCAGAACTTTGATTCAGGTAGAGATATTGATTTATTAGTTTTAATACGAGAAGAATTTATTTGTATAAAGCAAACTTTGTTGCAGAATGAGTTAGGAGTTGAAGAATTACGGTGGAAAGAGTCTCAGAAAGTGAAAGATAATCAACCAGTTAAGAGTACTAGTAGGTTCTTAAACAATAGTCGAATTGATGATACTGCTGCTAAATGTTCTATCAGCTTATCCAGTAGGTTCAGTCAATCTAATACCAGTAGTGTTAATACTTCTCAAACAGCACAAACGCATATTCAAGCAATAAAACAAAATATAACTGAGAGTAATGTTTATAATACTTCAAAATGTTGTACATCCGTGTCAAATAGTGTTAAAGGTATAAGCGCTGTACTTAACAGTACTGAAATTGCTAAAAGCAAGGACGAAAAGAATGTTTTAATGAAAGAGAACAAAGAAAATGAGTATACCGTAAAGAATAAAATTAACGAAGATGGTAAATGCGAGTCTATAAATAAGACTGTGAAAAAGTCCAAATTTAGATTACTAAGATCGTCAAAACCACGAAAAACAGAGAAGTCTGTCGAAGAGTCAAAAGAGACTTCAACGCTTTTAGTTAATGCATCTGGGAATTCAACAATTTCCAGATGCTCAAAGAATAATGAAGCGCTAATTGTTGAAAAACAAAGTGTGAGTCCTATCCAGTTGACTACAATACCCACCACTAATTCAGAAAATATTGAATTTGTTGAACCTTCACCTAAGGCATCAACTCATTCAACATTGAAACAAATATTAAGTGATAGTCAACATAATCATGAGTGGTCTACATTTAAAATCGATGATATTCAATCAAAATTGGAATCAAAATTGGTTGCTACAAGCAGAACAGATGTGACTGTGACACTAAATCAAAGCGCAGTACAAAATGTGGACTCGAGAAGTCCCAGTCTATTTGGTGACAGTTTTTATTTAGATACCCAAGCTTGCAATGCCTTAGAACAAAATGTAAATGACATTTTGGAAATTCCTGTATTCGAAGAAAAAAATGTATCATCGTCAAATCAAGTCAGTACTAAGAATTTGGAAATTCAACCACAGAGCCTGGATCAATATTTGTTACCTAATGATGACTCTTGGAACGATACAAGAAATTTAATAAAAAAGGCAAGTGCACTTAAAAGTCAGAGTACGCCTGGAACATCAAAGCCAGAAAATTGTAAAAATAAAAATATCTTAAACATTTTTGATAATGTCGAAGAGATATCTGCAACTCCAATCACAAAAGATTATTCTCGAGTTAAATCATTGACTAGCAAGTCTTACACGCTGAACAGGAAAACAACTAAGGTAATAAAAAGTGTAACGAGTAATACAAGTCCTAAGAACCCAAAGTTGAACGCAAAATATCTTGACTCAGAAAAATCACCAATAGCCAGCGTATTGACCTTCGCTGCCAATCGTCGATTATCTCTAGATTCAAACAAGTCTGATTCAGATGACATAATAATATCATCACAAAATATAGAACCATGCGTTAGCACAAGCAAAAATCGTACTAGATCAAAATTGGAAACCACAAGAAGATTATTGGCTACACAGCAAATGGCTAAGTTTAGCGCAAGAAAGATAAATAGACTTCAGGAATTGAAGATGTTGGAAATGAATACGATAGAAAATGCATTAAAAACTAGCAGAGACATAAAATATACAGTGAATGATGTACGAAAAAGAATTGGTAGTGGAAATTGTAGCACGGATAGTATTGTATCCAATTCGGATGAAGATGCTCCAGTGAAGAAACTGAAGACCACACAAAAATCCAGAAATATACAACCAACTGTTAAATCTATTCCAACGAATATAACAAAAGTACGAGATCACCAGATAATTAATTTGGAAGATCAGGATTATTGGGACGAAGAGAAAGAAAATTTGGAATGGAACACAATGAGCATCACAAATGTGGCCACAGACAGAATAATTTTCAATTCGTTTAAGCGTCATTTAAAAAGTCGAACAGAAATCGCCATGGCTCTGGCTTGTGAAAGATCAATGAAGGATCAAATTACTATAGGAACAAGGATTATTGGTATAACGTCTAATGATGATAAAAAAAAATCAAAAAAGAGTGAAAACTATGTTTACGATGAAACTAAATTAAGTGGAGTTGCAATATCATGGGGAAGAAAAATCTATTATATTCCCTTTGGTAACGTGCATGGTAAATCTAATAATACAATGTATCTTTTTTGCACAATTTTCTTCTAAGCTTTAACATTTTGTAATATAATTTTCTTACAGACACCAAAATTTCTACTAAAGAACGTATTAGTCTAATAACTGATTTACTATCTTCATCATCTTTAACTGTACACTGCTTCGCTACTAAGGATGTTTTAAAAACTTTGTATCGCTGTTGTGCTATTTCTCCATCATGTTTATTTCTTGATCCGAAAACTGCAGAGTGGCTATTGAATCCAGATGCTCTTGAAAAAAGCTTTGTTACTATGGTAAGCAATATGAGAAAATATATATTATTGTCATAATAATTAAATGAAATTAATCCTTAGGCAAGTGAATATTTCCCACAAGGACTTGACCTACTACAACATGCTGGTACGTGTTATGGCAGTGTAGGGTCTGGAATGGATTTTAAAAGTGTAATAGCAGGGGATACCCGGGCAGCTATAGAAGTTGTAATAACTTGGTTTATCATGGATGCACTTTTAAAGAAATTAAGCATTCAGAATTCAACACTCTTGGATACTTTTAAAGGTACATTGCAATTTTAATTTCTGAACACATAATGACAATGCATAACGTATTACTCATATTTTAAATTTCATTATTGAATAAATAGATATTGAGATGAAAGCAGTGGCTACTTTAGCACGAATGGAATTAACGGGATTAGGTATTCACCTAAAATCATTAGAAGAACTATCATCAGTCATTCAACAAGAAATGTCATCTCTGGAGCAACGAGCTTATGCACTAGCAGGAAAAAAGTTCAATTTCTCTTCGTCTAAGAATATAGCCCAGGTTGGAAGCTTTTTTTATATTACTTACTCCCGTAAATTATTACTATATCCTCTTTGATTCTTAGATTCTTGGAATGTATAAAGGAAAGAAAATTAGCACGAATAAAGCAGTATTGGAGCAATGTGAAAATCCAATTTCCAGTCTAATTATATCCTGGAGAAAACTAAATTCTACTCAAACTAAAGTGAGTCTATGTAAATATTAATGATTGCAAAGTGTAACTATTAATGCTACTATATTTTGAATGTTCACACTGAGTATTTTTCTAGATTGTTTTTCCCTTATTGAAAATGGCACAGAGTAGTAGAAGAATTCATGGAAACTGTGTGACCCATACCGTAACCGGCAGAGTATCAATGTACGAACCGAATTTACAAAATGTACCCAGAGATTTCAATTCTGAAGACAATAGCTTCGTTATTAGCGTTCGTATGGCATTTATTCCTACAACGGGTAATATTTTACTCTCGGCAGATTATTGTCAGTTGGAGTTACGGATTCTAGCACATTTTTCAAAAGACATTTTCCTGTGTAACATTATGCAGAGTGAGGGTGACGTATTTAAGAGTATAGCTGCAAAGTGGAATGGAGTAACCGAAAAAGAGGTATAATTCATATTCGTAATTAATTGTATGTACTTATAAATTAATTGATCATTGCTAAAATTGCTGTCAGGTCGATGATAAAATGCGTCAGCGTACCAAACAATTATGTTATGCAATGATTTATGGCATGGGAGCAAAGGCTTTGGCAGAACATTTATCAGTAACTGAACTTGAAGCTGCAGAATTCATGGAAACTTTTATGGCGACATATCCAGATGTTCAACAGTGGTTAAAAAATGTTATAGAACAAGCAAGAATCGATGGATACATAACAACCCTTATGGGACGTCGAAGAATACTTCCAGCTTTAAAAAGTTCAAATAAAGCTGAGAAATGTAAGTGTAATGTAGAAACATTTTTTTTAAAACTATTTTCATTATACATATATACTCAATGTATATACTTACGTATTTTTTGGATTGATCATAGCACAAGCAGAGAGGCAGGCAGTCAATACAAAAATTCAAGGCTCTGCAGCAGATCTTGCGAAGAAAGCTATGATAACCGTAGAGGAGAGAATGAAACAAGAATTTATAAATATACCTCCAGTTCTTACTGTAGCAGAAACAAAACGGAAATTACGCAGTAACAGTAGAGATTCACACCCCCGTGGTGGATTTTTAGTATTGCAGCTCCACGATGAATTATTATATGAAGTGAGTATCCAGTGCAATTAATGTTTTATGCCTTATTTCTATTACTACATATATTTTAGGTAAATATGGCTGATTTACATCGGGTCGCTGGCATTGTGAAAGAATCAATGGAACAAGTTCAGGAATTAATGGTACCACTGCCTGTTAAAATAAAAGTAGGTCCCGCATGGGGTGATCTTACGGAATATGTATTTAATCAATCATGAAAATGTTCGGTTCAATGAAGGGGTCGATAAATTCTAGTTTTATATTTTTATACACTTAAAAAAATCACTTGCTATTGCAATATATTGAAAATTATGACGTATACATTTTTACATAATTTTCAATCAACAGAATACTGTAATTGTACATAATGAATTGAATTATTAAAAAAGTTATTAATATTGAATGAACATAATGAACTGTGAAATAAAACTTGGTAACGTCGAAGTAACGAAACCAAATGTTTCTTACAAAGTTGTATTTTATTATACACGAAGTCGTATAAATTAAACTAAATAAAACAAATATAAATTACGTAAATAACGAAACAATTTTTCTTCACAAATTGCCGTCATAACTGTTAACCAGATTAATTTGCGCTGAAACTGGAATGCAATATTTATAAGGCGTCGGATGGTGGTGCTAACGATTGATGCAATTTCGTTACTGCAGTCTGTACTATTTGTTGAAACGTTTCATCATCTTTACTGGTCACTTCCAAATTCAGAAGATCTATGTGAGCCTTCTTTCCATCAACAGTTACATATAGCTTCTCTCCTTTGAAGATCTTTGGCACAGAATCTTCGCCAAACATCTCTTGCAACATCTCTATGAGACACTCTTTGAAATGCATTCGGTCCATTTTTGTTGGTGCTGGTAACATCTTTGGTGGCTGGTCCATCATCTCAGCTTGTAGTAATGCAGTCAGTACAGAGTCAGCATACATGTCATTGACAGGTGTTGCGATCCATTCCATAGTCACAATTTTCCCATCAACAGTTACATCAACATTTTTAAATACTCTTAACTTCTTATCGTCCACAACTTCTAGGTTACCGGCGATTTGAGTTAGGAGATGCTTGAGAACAGGTAAGGATGCCGAGAAGTATATACTCTGTCTTTGAATTACCTGGCTCATACTCATATCAGTATATTTGGATAAATCACATGGAGCCAGCATGTGATAATTGAAGTTTCTTTTAACTAGAACTCCAGATAATTTCTGTCCTGGTTTTGGTGTTTCCATCGCTAAAGTTCCCATGACCTTAGCTGTTTTCTCTCCACGAAAGTATAATTCCACAGCGACTGTATTTCTTGGATTGTGTATCTCCATGGTGGTATTTGGATCATCTTCGTATTCACGTTGTAAGGCAGCCTTCAATCTACCCATTTCATTTTGTTCTCCATGAACTAATACGACGTGTGGTGGTTTTAAGATCCTGATGAATTCTGACGTTTGCTGATAGTCGGTGTGAGCAGAAAATGAGATATAATCGACAGACATTTTCAAGGGTAGCTTTTGGCCTGACATTGTTGTTATTTCTTCAGGTTCGGATAAGATAGTCTTTGCCAAAGTTCCTTCCACGCAGTACCCAGCTATTATGATTCCGTTCTTAGAATCTGTACACCATGACTCAAAAAGTTCTCTGGATAATCCATTTTGCATCATACCAGGAGTTGCCATTACAACGCAAGGACCAATATCTTCAAAGTGATCAATGCCTTTTAAGTTTGAGATATGTTTGAAAACGAATGGATTGTTTATAGCTATTTGCCTTCTGATCTTGTCATTCATAGCATTTACATATGTTTGATATACAGCCATACATTTTTTAGCTAGTGACGAGGCATAGTAGATTGGAATTTCATGTAGCTCAGGATGTTGACTCCAATATTCGTCCAAAATCAAAAGTAGTTCTTGTGCTCTACCAAGGGCAAAAACTGGAATTAAGCATCGACCACCTCGGTTCACAATTTCATGTACCAGATTGGTAAATCTTCCTTCACGATCTTCACGCTTTTCGTGTATATGCGTTCCATAAGTTGATTCAGTAATCAACACATCGGGACGTATATTAGGTATTTCAGCAGCCATCAAATGTCTGTCTTCTTGCCGACTAAAGTCACCAGTGTATAAGATCTTCACACCAGCTATTTCTATCATAAACATAGCAGCACCCAATACATGGCCAGCATTATATGCCCAGAACTTTATGCCAAATACATCCTTTTCTTCATGAAAATTAATAGTTTCAATTTTGTCCATACTTGTTTCCAAATCAGATTCAGTATACAACATTTGTTCAGTGGCAATGTTACTAACTTTAATATAATCTGATAGAAGCCAACGATAAATTGCTTTTGTGGCATGTGTCGTGAAACAACGACCCTTAAAGCTGGTTTTTTGTAAAAACCATGGTAAAGCTCCGCAATGATCCAAATGAAAATGTGAGATTAACAGCAAATCAATTTCATCAGCCTCGACTAAATCCACAAAAGGAAGAGCATCCATCCCAGACAATCCTGGATGTATACCACAATCCAACATAATTTTCTTCCCTTTAAATTCCAACATTATACATGATCTCCCAACTTCTTGACCAGCACCAAGAGGCCGGATTGACAACAGATCACTTTCCTCAGCCGGAACTTGAGTATCAGGCTTCCTTTTAGAAGCCATTTTTTCTTATATCAATATAAACCTTTAAAGTTTTTTTACGTTTATCAATCGTACAGTATTATATATTTTACACTATTGACTCATAATTCAAACGTTCGTACATAACAGCTATTGGTTAGGTTATGTTCACCGTTCTACAGGCTATACACGTCCACTTTCTGTATGACACATCATATATTCACTGTCTCTTCATATAGCCACGTACGATATACAATGAATAATTATTTTATTCTTTTATTGCCATAGGTCCATACCTCACTCTTTAAAATATATATCCACATTAATTCAGAAACTTTCTTTTATACAGCGGCTCACAGCCTCCTGCATTCAAACTTCCAACAATGCCAATCCTTGTGGCTCTTCACTACCGAAACCTTTCCAAGCATTTAAATGACTATTACCTAGAGACGTTCCAGTTATAAGTCATCCAATACTCCATTACTACACGACCAAATAAAGTACTGCTTATTTCAAAAGATATGAAATTATCGTATTATTGTCATCAGACCGAAAGTTAGTATGATACAGTGAGTACGATAAGAAATAACATTTCTTTGAGTTAAAGAAACTAAGAAAATGAGTCGACAATATATATATGTATATACATATACGACGTGTGTCTATATACCTGTATACACACAAGTCGACATAAAGTAATGATAAAAAAAACCTATTTAAAAAAGTACCTCAATACATAACTTTTATTAAGGTATACACATGCTGATTTATTGTTTCTTTAATGATAATAATTATCCTATTTTTATCTTCATATAGCATGAATTAAATTTCATACAATATTCAATTGCCAGGTCATTCGTTGGCCCTATTATAAAATATAATTGATATACATATGTACACTATGTACAAACTCGCGTTCACCCTACTGTACGCACATGCTGCTTAACTAAACAATTGCACATTTGGACGCCGATGTTGGTTTTAGGTGGGTTTCTACAACCTGCCCGAATATGCCAGATAATATAGTTCATGCACACACGTTGGTCGCTAGATCCTAATTCGAAAAAATGATCGTGGCATAAAAATAAAGTTATACTTTAAAATATATATATGTGTGTATATATATAGTAGCTTTACACCAAATGCGATACTTGTAACGGTTATATATTTATACAAGTTTGATTATGTCGATTTCTTTTAGTTAACAAATGCTATATAATAAATCTAATCGGCTGATTTGTATCTTTCATTCAGGCAGTTTTCAGTTTCTTTACTCTGTACTGCTCTCCTGTACATTATCATGAATGTATTATCTTTCAACTTCCTTTGTCAACAACTCCCAATAAGCAATTTCAAAATACATTTGACACGCTGACAAACCCTCACTAAATATCATTCGCCCGTTAATCAAATTTCTAACTGTCAATTCGTTTTACATTATTAGTACAAGACAAGAAAGAGGCTCTTGGTTATTACGTATTTTTAAAAGAACTCTTCGGCCTCTCGAGCAGTATTGAAATAGTTAACTATTGTCAGGCGGTTATTAGTTTTAACAAAATTATAATTTGGACCCCGTATACTACTGGATCATAATTTGTTAATCCAACCAAACGCAATCCAATCCCTCGAATGCTTATTTCACAAGTAACCAAAATAACGCAAACTCAAGTAACATATTATTCTATATAAATTTGTACCAGAGAGCAATACGGAGAACCAACATCGATCAGTCTTGGTATTGGAATTACCAATAAAAAATCACCTTTATATATTGCAAAATATATAAATATATAAGAATAACAACTAAGATTCAGGACTATCGTATAATAGTCGATAATAGTAGTAGTAGTAGTAGTAGTAGTAATTAATAGGCCCCCTTGCGCAATAATCTTACGCAAATAAATATGGGCCGTCACACATAGTACACTGGACACTGATGCGCAAAACTTGCAATATGCACGCTTCATGTAAAATAGTTTATCGTAAAAAAAATCCACTTACAACGATTGACACGTAAAAGAGTTTAATAATTATGTAATATTAATTGGTTAATTATTTTCTGTTTTTATGTATGTATATATATATATATACATATATATACATGCTTGTGTGTGTATATATATATATAAATATATATATTATATTTAATAGCTATTAGTTGGCAAACGTGTTTCACTGCGTAGCCCTTGACGAAAAGGATCTACTTGAGTCTTTGAGACACATATGAGTTAATTTTCATTAACAATTATAACCTTAAGTAGTTAGGGTCTCAAGTCACTGGACCTTATAAATCAGGGTTGTCGGACCATAACGAAATCATTGAAACTACTATACTAAATTGAATATCTTAAAACTGAACATTCTTGTTAAACAGTAGGACCATTCAAACGAAGAATGCTTTTACGAAAATTAATTTATAAATTAACGCAAATATTCTTTAGAAGTAATTGATACGAATTATAAAAAAAATACGTCTTGCTTACTGAACAGATATAAGTATTATTCATTATAGTCTTCATCAGATATCAGTCTTTTAATTTATATTTGACATGCCGCCATCTTCACATGGGTCATAACGTAAAGGAGTCCCTTGTTCTTATACTGATATCGGATGACGACTGTAGCTGTCATTATTGTTTGATCAATTAAATGACAATTGTATAATTAATAATTACCGCAAAGATCTTCTGTAAGATATAGAAATTTGATATAACTTTTCAGTCTCTGCAATGAAAAGAAAATGTTTGTCGATTCGAGTTACTTCCTCGGCTGTTTTTATAATAGAATTCTTTAATGATTTTCTTTGTTTCGGTAATTCGATTGATTATATACAGTAATAAAAGATAATTCACGTTTTTACATGATATCAATACCGGTATCACAATTGTCCTACTGTTATCATTTGAGTTCATAGAAAAGTCAAGTATGTTAGGAGGATTGGATGAAAACTTAAGATTTCAATGTCAGATGTCAAATGATTATTTGAAAGGTTTGTTCAATGAAAAGTAATGTTAATCTGAGAACAGCAAGTGCGATCTTTAAAATAGATTAAAGAATTAAATACGATTCGCAGTGTGACAATGAAATTTCACTGCGCCGTAATCGAGAGTAATGAAATAATGTGTATCAGTGAAATTCGATCCAACATGACCGATTACGCTAAAAATACTATAATGCACTCGGTAATATTAAACGTTGGAATTACTTAAATTTTTGTCAATCTAGACAATTTTTTGTTAATTTCACAAGAATCCATTACGCTATTCATGTTAAAACATCTAATGATGGCAGTACTTTAAATATTACTTTATCCATGCGAATAAACAAAAGTAATGGTGACGTTAAATTTTGCGAACAAAAGAAAATAGGCAGATGCAGCGTCCTTAATAAAATTACAGAATTCCATTCGATACATCAAGAGAATTTCAATTGAGCATAAATTTGGAAATGATCCTTGTGTATTAAAGGTGTCAAATCTGTCAAGCATAAAGAAAGAAAAAAAAAAAAAGAAAACTGATATCGAGCTCTCGTACCACTGTTTTTCAGGTTTGATGGGTAATATTTAAAAATTGATTAGTCGTATCTTTCATCGTAAAACGTACCTAAGAGCAATAGGTAAACAGTCATTTCTGCAAGTCTTGATAACGGTTACACTATTTTATAGGAAAGATGAAAATTTTCAAGATGCTACTTGACATGTCTTTGATCCAAACCTTGAATAGACCCAGCACTTTAGACCACTTGAGACATCGTAATGCCATATCAGACATAGACCTGGGGCCTATTAATTTTCTGTATTTACAGGTTCTCGCGCGTGATGAATCCTAACGTGCTTATTATGATTGGACTTGGTGCTACTTGATTTTCCACAAATGTGACATGAATATGGTCGCGCACCGGAGTGTACACGTAAATGTTCCTTAAGGTAGTACGATCGGTGGAAAGTTTTGTTGCATACGTCACAAGTGTACGCCTTGTTCTCCTCGTGTTCCTTAACGTGTCGCAAGCAATTATATTTGCGTATAAATTGCGCCCCGCAATAATTACACGTGTAAGGACGAACGTTTCTATGAGAGTTCATGTGAGCCGTATAATCGCTATGTCGATAAAAAGCAGCGCTGCACTGATTGCACTTGAATGGTTTTGTGCTCCTTGCCGCGTGAGTCCATTTGTGCAATTGCAAATTCCACTTGGTGCTGAAGGCCTTGGAACAAACTTGACATTCGTAGGGCCTCTCACCATTATGAACACGCATGTGCACGGCCAAGGAAGAACGTAAATAAATACATTTACAAATCGGGCATTCTACATTTTCACTTTCTCTTTGAGCATCAGGAACAAATCTTCGATTATGGGCACGACGCATGTGACGTGTCAAGCTCGCCATGTGAATGAACCTCTCGTTACAGTAGGTGCAAGCTTTAGGTTTCTCGTCGTGAGTCTCTTTATGCCAAGCTAACTTTTTCTTAGTATGAAACACCTCGCCGCAGTGGCATATATAGTCCTTCAACTTCTTCTTAATATTAAGATGATGTCTATTCTTGTGCTGGGTTAAATTGGAATATCTACGAAATGTCTCGTTGCATAAATTACACTTCACAGGAGCATTGCCAGTGTGTCCGTTTGTATGCTCGTCAAGCTTCTGCTTGGTAAGGAATGCTTTATCGCAAACGGTACAAGGGAACGGCTTAATACCTAGATGCCGTTTCATGTGGAGCTTGAAGTTTTGTTTCCTATAGAAATATTTCCCGCACTGACCGCACTCTAGCGGATGTATTTTTAAGTGAGAGTTAAACAACACCACTGAAGGGAATTCCTCGTTACAGATTTGACACTTGGCGTTTTCACGGCGTTTTGTCACTTCAGTCACGTGCATCCTTCTGTGATGTATCTGCAAAGACTTCTCGCTGCTAAATCGTTGATTGCATATTGAGCAACACGCATCTATCGCAGGAGGGATTGTCAGATTATCAATCTTCTGATCAGATTCCACCCTGGAAATATCCTGTTGCTGTGTTGGAGGCTGGAGTTGATGTAGAAGAGGCTGCTGATGATAAGATTGCTGCACATGTAAACCTGGCACGAATGCATCAAACATATTCATACGACCATCCAGCAATTTAATATCCTTCACTTCAGGTTGCTCCGTATTATCTCTACTGCCGCTTGGACCTGGTTCCTTGTGCACCGTTGTACTGTGAACTCTACGCTCCTTGGGGCAGTCGAACACTTCATTACAGTGAGGACACTTGAATGTTCTCTTCGTAGGTGTTTTCCTGTCCCGGTCCAAGAAGAGGCTGGAGGTGAAATGTGTAGCTAGGGAACGACTATCCAATAAGGGTCCGCTAATTTCATTATCTGATCCTTCAGATTCCTCCCAACTTTCTCGAGCCATGAGATCGTATGATGTAGACATCCTCGAAGACTCCTGACTCATGTACAACTATATTCAAAAGAAAAGTTAACGAGATTTATCAATATTATTTATTTAATATAATTTTTTTAAATTGTAAGAATTATTAACTCACCTGCCATGCAGAGTGTTCTGTGCATCCATTACTCTCCTGCTCAGATAGTTCACCTCGTGGTGGCATTGTCTCATCAGCACGCATGTTCACGCTCTTAACCTCTTCATCAATCCCAGCACCTCCCTCGCTACTTGCAATAGATTGCTGGCTAGTAGCACTCACAGCTTTCTGTGACGATTCACTTATAAATGTACTAGGAACTAGAATCTGAAGACCGTCGAATTCAAAGACGTTCATCGGTCCAGCATGTGCATCCTCATTGATGTTCAGGAGTTCCGTCGTCGGTTTTTGGAGAATCGATTTGCTAGGCTGATAAATCTTGGAATCTGTACTAGTCATCGGATCAGTAGGTTCCGAAAGGTTTAGGAGATTGTTCGTTGTTTTATTGTTGGACATTGAATAAGTTTCATGAATGATTATCGGCTGCTGTGAGTGAATAACAGGAAAGGAGCTGACATGCTCCGTAATTACTGATTGATGATACGTATGATTCGAGTCTGATTTCTTTTCTAAACTATCAGTCACAATCACCTCCTGGTGAATACTCTTAGAGTCCTGTAGAACTTGGCTGCAATCGATTAGATCTTTTTCAGGTGACAATTCAGTGTCGTCGTTGCTGTCTGCGTCATTGCTCAAACTATCTGCATCCATGTGATAAAATGAATGTGTGGATGCTGGTGAAGAAGGTTTACTAAGGTCAGTTCGAACTCTTAGAACAGATATTCCACTGATCGTAGAAAGAGGTGTGTGCGATCTGGTGCAATCTGTAATATCATTTTTTGTAAAAGGAGTATGAGGACTTGGAATCTCCTCGATATCCATGTCTTCCTCATCAAAGTTATCTTCCATATCATTCTTTTCCTCGTCGTCCTCATCTTCGTCATCTTGTAAGTTACTTGCATCGAAACCACCTGGATATATACTGAGATTTTCAAGAGAACCAAAGTCAGAATGCATGGAGTACGTTCTGTGTGATTTTTTTGGCAAAACCGGAGATGCAGGAGCGGACAAACTGTGCTTGTATCGGTAAATATAAGAAAGGTTTTCTTCTAGCGAATAAGTGCAATTTTTTAATGGGGATTGTTCATTAGCTTCTTCGATATCTTTGCAAGAATTATCCTCTTGATGTATTGCACTAGGTGTTGTTTCACTGCATTCTTCTATATCTGTATCAACAGTTATGGTATCACGGATCACAGTATTTTCTCGCTCGATGATCATCCTTTCTTCACTATTTTTTCGTTCTCTTTGTTCGTTACTTTCTTTCATCTGTACGCTACTAAACTCTGATTCCATAATAGTGATAAGTAGTCGTTCTAATTGTTCTACTTCTGGTTGACTCGATTCCTTCATCTCTTTGTCTAAAGCAGCTTCTGCTTGTGTGGGTTCATTTACATTTTGTTCATCATTCTCTAAAGCTTGTTCACTATCTAATTTTTCTTCCTCTATTTGTATGTTAACTTCTACCAGTGTAACATCATTTTCATTCTCTTTAGTGACATTCTTTTCATACCCTTGCGAGTACTGTTGGGATTCAGATTCTTCATATTCAATTGTTTTACATTTCATTTGATCTGGGACTATGTTGGAATTATCGCCTTCGTCAACATCTGGCAATACACATTGTGACTTTTCTTCTTCGGACGTGCTAGATTCACATGCAATGGTTAAAGATTGTGTAACGCTTTGGTATTCATGTTGATTACTGTGTTGCTCTTGAGATGTAGAATTCTGAGTCTGCTGTCCTCTGTGTTCCACGTGAATTCCGTTACCGTCAAATATTTCATGTCTGTCTTGAGTTTGTTCTTCTGATGATGTTTCTGGGACATCTATATCCGTTAGTACTCTATCTGCTTCTGGTTCTGGTTCTGACACAATTTCAGGTAAAATTTGTTTAGATTCAGAGCTGTTTGCAGGTACAGTAACAGTCCTACCGTTAATCTCTCCAGCAACTGACACAGCAGGTCTGATCCGGGTTGTAGTTGGAATGGTTGTTATGGGCGAAATCATTTGTACCGTTGGTATCTGCTGTTGCTGATACATGCCATAAGGATTGTACAACATTTGCATCATCTGGTTGGCCTGAGGTGCCATGGCATATTGCGGAATCATCATGGTACCATTATTGACAAATTGCTGGTAGCTAAAGGAGGCAAACTGCGGTGGCACCATTGTACCCATGGGTGGACACTCAAAAACTGGCCCGATGGGGTACTGTGACTGGGAGGGAATATGAGTGCCTGTAGTGGGTACCTGTGGATTAGTCTGTGGAGGTGTTATCGTGGGTGAAGGCGGTTGCGTTAGGGGAGGCACAGTAGCGCTAGCCTTAATGAGAGCTTCTATAACCTGTTCCTTGGGATGAGTATCCAAATGTCTTTGAAGGCTGATACCCTCGCGTAAGTAGAGAGTACAGACCGGGCAAGCCACGGCCCCTCCAGTACCTGCGCCGCCGAGATCCATTGTGTGTTATTTGCTTCGTGTGCCGCCTGGCTGGTTGCCTTTATGTGGTACGTCAACACAATGAAATCCGTGGAAAGGAACGCACTACCGTTTTTCGACTCTCGCTTCTTCCTACTGTTGCACCGTATCGGCGGCTGTTTCTCGCATTTCGGGCCCTATCAGGCCTTTAGGGACGGCCTTACACGGCTTACCCGACACGGTGCAGGCTGTGCCCCAAAAATATCGACGTCCATGGCTGCCTGGTTGGTGTGCGATGGAGCCAGCACAGCACTCGCGGACAAATCGATATCCTGTTAAATCGCCTGCCTCCCCTGCGCTTATTAAATTACACCTGCACGCTCCGCACACCCCCGCGATATTAATACGCACACGCAGGGCCACGCTCGTCTACGCTCACAGCCACTTTTTCGCCAAGCAATTATCAAAACGACATGTTTTTCGCCCAGTTCCAGCCCAAAAACACAACAGATAACAGCAACGAGCAATATTCCAACTAGGAATGAGAGCAACAAGAAATCCTCCTTCGACCGTAGCGCCTCCATGCATGTTTGCTTTATACACACTATACTGTCCACTGCTTACTTGATCCTTTAGCAAGAACACCTGTTTATTTCACTCTACACTTTTCAATAAAACCTCATGACAATTTCCTGCATAATTTCAGCATATCGCATATTAATTATAATCGTTATCTCCTATTCATTTTACTAAATAATTCATGATACCTCGTAACGCGCATTGGGTATTAAAATATTGCAAATTTCTTGCAGAACGATGTTGTTTCGTAAATCAATGTTTTGCAAAAAACAAGTGATCTATTCATGTAACTCAACGAATGACAGTTTTTTTTAACCTATATCATTATCAACTACTTCGTAATTCACTTATTCAGGATAACGTGCCATGAAAACCTGCAGTAACAAAATTTATATTAGTAAGAGTTTTGATTCAGTAGTAAATGTTTCCTTGTCAGATTACCTTCTAATGGCAGGTGGATCATTTGTATATACATCTAGTACTGAGCTTTGTGGATTCAGAGAAATTGTGAATTAATTTAAGAAATATAAAAATCTTCCAGTGTCTGCAGTTACTTTAAATAAATAACACTTAACAGCAACTTCCGAATAATAAAAAGCACACGAATACTCTGATGCATTGTTCTTTAACTGTTTGAATAACGATCCACTGCCTTCTTGACTGGTAAAGAGTGACGTTGACTTTTTGCTTGATTGCGCTTGGTTGACAATGCTGATATTTCCTATAACCCACATCATATAACCTCGATACGTGTGTCGTGTCAAGTTTTGTTGAATCATTTGATTGTATCACATTTTTCTTTTAAAAACCAGGAATCATGGCATGGAATTACGATAAATTATCTTGGTCGGGTAAGTTATTGATATGTTTACTGTTCTTGATTTCTAATATAATGAAACAGGTTTCAAAATAATATTGCAAGATAACTGTAGTTTTATTTGCATTTTTATGAAGTATGAAAATTTTCTATTGATTAAATAAAAGTACACAGGCGTAGAACTAAACTTAGTATAACTTTTACATATAGCACTATAAGTGTGCTTATAGTATCAGTGAAATTTTTTCAATATATTTTATTGACAGGAGTAAGGGTGTCGCATGTTTTTAATTTGAATGAGAATGGAATTTCGGGATAGTTCAATAATATTAATTAAATTTAATATTCTCAATTTTATTTCATTTTCAGAGGTCCGAGATCTTTTCAGAACCTGGAGAGAGGATTCTGAACGGAAAAGTAAAGACGTGGTAGATTTATGGGAGGCAGTATTGATGGACAAAGTTGATCATCTTGGGAATGAAAGTATGATTTAAGCAGTTGTACTTCTTCTTTAATTAATATATATCTGGTAAAAATTTGACTGAAAGATTTTATTAATTGCAGAATATTTGATATTGGAGCAAGTATGTGTAGCAGCATTGGACTGCTATCGTTTATCATTAGCTGAATATTGCATAAAGATTCTCATGCGAGAGTTTCCTGGAAGCTTGAGAGTTCACAAATATCATGCAATGCATTTAGAAGCATTGGAAATGTATGAATATATGTTAATTCCATAAATTTTAACATTGATTGATCATTAATTGGTAGATAACACTAATTTTGCAATTTCATATTTTTTTACCTAGGTATGATGAAGCACTAGAAGTATTAGATTCTATCATTAAGAGAGATGAGACTAATGCCGCACCTAGGAAGAGACGTGTTGCTATCTTGAAAGCTAAAGGACGAATAACGGAGGCCATTAAAGAGCTTGCAGAGTATCTCAAAAAGTTAGCTAAATATTTTTTGTGTAGAATATTAATTCAAGAAAAAATAATTAGCCTAAGAATAAATATTTTGTGTCTTGGGCAAATCACGCATGATGCCAGTATAAAGATTCATAACGTTCTTAATGTCTGCACAAATTATCTGGAAAAATGTACTCTTGACCAGACAGTGCATATTCAAATACGATAAATAATCATAATAAACAATCCTGATGGATGTTGCAGATTCATGAGTGATCAAGAGGCATGGCACGAACTGTGCGATCTGTATTTACAGGAACAAGAATATTCCAAAGCTGCATTTTGCATGGAGGAGCTTATATTGCATAATCCACATAGTCATTTAATTTATCAACGATATGCAGAAATCAAATATTCTCAGGTATCAATCACTATCATGGAAACAGACTTTCATTTTTCACACTCTCTTATCGTACTTGACTATAATCATAATTCCTAACTTTATTTTATATCCCATCAGGGTGGTTATGAAAATATGGAGATTGCAAAAGTATATTTCGCCCAAGCAGTGAAATTAAATCCAAATAATATCAGAGCGCTTTATGGATTGCTATTAGTAAGTGTCTTTCAGTTGATGAATATTATTAGCTATAATGTTCTTTTCTGAAGGAAATATCTCATTTCATAGGTAACAAACAATATTGCTCTATCGGCAAAGTGCCCAACAGCAAAGAAAAAAGAAGCAGTAAAACTGAGCAGCTGGGTTGCTAATCAAATAGAGAAACAGTACAGTGCAAAAGCATCTCATGACGATGTTCGGGGCGTGGAAGGATTATTAGGACAATTGCAACTGGATGCTTAGGAGTTTGATTAGCAAACTAAATTTTCATAATCGACTTAGTTAATAATTTGTACATTTGTTTCAATGTTGTAATATATGTAAATGCAATACACACATCTCATGCCATTGTTGCCAAAAATGTCTAGAGCATTTTTTTGAGATAGCTTTCGTACAAAAACAAAACTAAGATCCATGGACAATTAATAATTGTGTACGCATTGAATTACCTGACGGATATGCAAATGTTCCAATAAACTATAATCATATTTACTATTTATTCATCTATCAAAGACATTTGGTAAAAATATCGAAATTTCAAGTATTAATAACTAAAAATCATTGCAATAAGTCATCCGTACTTTGTCTTATTGCACTGATTGTATCACAGTAATTCGCAAACTTTTCTATAGAGCACAGGTGATCAAACTATTCAAGTTTTACAGATGCATAGAAATAAATAAATAATGCGCAAAGTATCATGTTATATAATTGTTATTTCATACACTATTATATTAACAGATAAAAAAAATTAAAGTTCTGTTATGTACAAACAAACGTAGTTATCTTTCCGTACTTTCCCTGTTACTTCTTTCCCAGTCTTCTTTATTTCTTGCTCTTTCTTCAGCCCTTTTTAATCTCCTCTCTTTCCGAGTCTCATCACCCAATGCAAAATACTTTTCTCGAAAATCCACTATGTTAGAACTTGTTATAGCGTCGCCATCCTAGTGAATTATTAATTTTATTCATTCTTCATATCAATCAGAAGAATTTTCATAAACATATTGAGACTACAAACCAGTGGATCTCGTATCTTTTTGTATGTCAATAATCGACGACTTGTATATTTACTCAGTACTTGTTCTGAGTTTCCTATCAAAAATAGACAAGGATGATTAGGTAACTGGCCTTCCGAATAATGATCCCTGCAATAATTTATTATATTTTAACCTATTGTAGTAGACTAATGAAAATTGATTCGCTTACCTATACAAAGGAAACCAACAGACAAGTCTGCCATCCACTTTTAAATGTTTGGCAGAAAAATTGAGCAAATCTTGAAATATCTGAGGCAAACCATATACAATTTTGGAAGGTATGTGAGTAGCAGCTTGGTGCTCTTCTATTACTGGATGTGTTTTTAATGTACCTACACGTTCTGTTGCCTCACGAATACCATATGGAGCTAAAATAAATATATGACTTTATATCCTTACAGCATGATAAGAAAGATGGATGAATTTACTGGGAAGAACTTACGATCAGTAATTATTGAATCAACGCGCATGTCTGATCTCCACATAGGTCTAGAAAAATCTGATACAACAACGTCTAAATAATATGAACCTTTTCCATATTGTTCCATATTCGATGCAACACTTTCATCTTCTCCTCTGGTCTATGTGTAAGAATTTCATTAAAAATTTGTATTCTATGATCATACTATAATAAAATTATGAAATAAAAATGTTCATCTTTCTATTACTTTTTGTGTTATTCGACTTGGTCTTGTACGGCCGTGGAGCATTAAAAAATCTATATCCGTTCCAAATGTATAGCCACCAAAATGTGATGCAGCAACTAAAAGGGATCCAGTACCTACAAAAGGGTCAAGGACTATGTCTCCTCTTTTAACTTGTGCTTGATTAGCCATTAGTAATGACAGTTGAGGGTCCATAGAAGTATTTCCTATGAACTTTCGCGTTTTTAATGAGAGTTTTTGAATCAAGTCTCTTTGTCCATCTGCAATCTGTGAACAGAAAAGGATGTTATATTTAATTGATTAAAACATAATTGTATTAATTCATAATACTTACCCATCGTCCAAAGAAAAGTTCGTATGGCTTTTCAGGAATTGCATTTGGATCCAGACCATAATACTCTATGTACAGGAGGGTGGTATCTGGATTTTTTAATTTAACAGTTCCTTGGAAAGGTAGGTAACTAAAAGTCTTTTACATAATAAAAAATGACATAAATATTGGAAATGATGGAAATATGAACAGTCGTATGGAGTATAAAATCCTTGCCTCTATTTTTTGGATTTTTTCATTTTGCGTAAAATGCTTACAAAATGTTTCAACAATGATCTTAAATGATTTATCATTACTGAAGTATGGTTTGATAATCTCTTCTGCTTTAGATCTCAAATTTTTATGAAGAATATCAACATCCTTGCTATTACCCCATAACTCCATACAAAACCGCAAGGATATTGACCTACTTGCAATTTTCTGCACTGCACATTCTGAAGGCAACTCCACTATCCAATATGGCTAAATCATAGAATATAGATTTATTAATAATATTTAACACTTCATGAAATAACAATAGACTAATGTTATTATTTTCATTCTTACGTCACTCTTAGGCTTGTAGATAGTCTTCAACTTTATGTTAAACAAATTCAAAATTGAATCCAGTTCCTAAACAATGAAGCTATGTTGAAGTTATTGTAACCTATCACAATCTATCACAATACAAGTATTATTTCATAAATTTTCACTTACCGCCAGTCGAAAGTCTACATGCTCATGAGCAAACCAAAATAAATACCTTCTCCATTGATTACTCATATTGAATTGTCTGTGATTTAACTAAAGTAATTGAAAAGCTCTTAGTATGCATGCCATTCATAATAATATACACGACCGCATGTGTCGTAGCTGCAATTTGTATTTGAGCCAATTGGATTGTTGAACTGTGTTGATCATAATGGCGGTCACAGCTGGATTTTAAGCCTGAGAGAGTACTTAACTGTTGCAATTTTAAGTGTTCATATCATAAAAATGTGTTATTGATTTTTTCATAAGAATATCATCAATTATTTAGCATCTACAGTAAATAGGGATTTCTTTTCTAAAGAATTTTTATAATAAAGTATTTTTGAATAAGTTTGGTCTCGGTAGCATAACATACACGTGGTTAAAAACCTAACCTTTAAAAAACATTTTTAAAGAACATGGGTCGGATTAAAAAGGTAAACATACATGACATATTTTTTATGTCTTCAATGAGTAATATATATTGTAATATTGTTTAGGGTCGATGCGTTAAACGCAATAAACAAATTAACTCGGAGGAACCAGAAGACTTAGTACGAGCACCACATTCTTTTATAATTCATCGAGGTCTACCAGGAGGACATATCGTTGAATTAACAAAGGATTTTAGAAGAGTTATGGAACCGTTTACAGCTACATCTTTAAAAGCACGAAAACGTAATACTATAAAGGATTTTGTATCGGTGGCTGGTGTGCTTCATGTTACTCACATGAGTATCTTCACTAGAACGGAGCTTGGGATGTATTTAAAATTGTGCAGGTCAGAAATAGATATTGAAATATTGTATTGTTAACTGTAATATTTTTTGCACCTGTAAGAAATTTATTTATTTATAGAATACCAAGGGGTCCGACACTCACATTTAAAATCTCAAGTTTCTGTCTAGCAAGAGATGTTATTTCCACACTGAAGAAACAGTTGGTTTTCGAAGAAGCTTTTAAGCATTCCCCACTGATCGTGTTAAATAATTTCAGCGGAGAAGGCATGCAACTAAAAGTCATGGCCTCCATGTTTCAAAATATGTTTCCCACTATTAATTTAACAACAGTAGGTTTTAATAATCGTAAATCACTTAATTGATATTGCCAATTGTTAATGAAATAATTATTTTGCAACAGGTTAATCTTAGCACGATACGACGTTGTGTTTGCTTAAATTACAATACGACGACAAAATTAATTGACTTTAGGCACTATGCAATCAAAGTAATACCTGTTGGATTATCACGTGGAGTAAAAAAATTGGTACAAGCAAAAGTTCCAAATCTCTCGAAATGTGATGATTTCTCAGAATTCCTAACAAAAGGTACGGTGTCTGAAAGTGAAGGTGAGGATGATCCTGCAAGTCATGTAACATTACCACAAAAGTTATCGTCCAGAGGTAATCACGCAAGTGGAAAAAGCGCAATCAAGCTCTTTGAATTAGGCCCAAGATTAACAATGCAGGTAAATAAAAAAACCTATAGCATTTACGTTTAGCATATCTTGTATCTGTACTGCTAGTTCCATGATATATCAAATTTATACTCAAATAAATCCTTCGTAGCTTATGAAAGTAGAGGATGGATTGTTGGATGGCGAAGTACTCTTCCATGAGCACATTCACAAATCAGAAGAAGAGAAACTTCAAATCAAGAAACGCCGAGAGGAAAAGAAGAAAATTAAAGAAAAAAGAAGAAAAATTCAGGAGGACAATAAGAAGAAGAAAGAAGTGAAGAAGCAAGAGAATAAAGAAAAGTCTTTGAAAGGAATGAAAAAGAGAACAGAAAATGATATTCTAATGCAAAAAATGGCAAAGGAAGTTTACGAAGAAAGTAAGGGAGATGAGGATGACGATGCTCAATATTACAGAGAAGAAGTGGGAGAAGAACCAGACAAAGGTTATTCAATTATATTTTATGAAACCGAATTAATTTTAATACAATATCGTAATCTAAATATTTCTTAAATTTGCAGATTTATTCGAAAAAAATCTCAATGGCAAACGGGCGAAATCATTCAAACCTAAGTACAAGCCAAAGAAGCCAAAAGTTGACAAGCACTAATAGAGGATTAACCACATTGAGTGTAACACAGAAATAAGAAAATACAAAACAAATTTATTTTATACTGATTTAATACATTACAATCAGTAGTAATTGATATAATGAAGCACCTGTAATTGGCGCAGTCATGTTAACATGACAAGTACGAATAAATCTTGTTTGTAAATATCTTATGTCTTACGTGTATAATATTTATTACGTGCTAAATTAAATAAAATAGAAATGCAGCAATAAATGCATAACTTAATTGAAAAGATACTGTTAATCGATTACATTTAATTAGAGCTTCAGGTGGAATTTAATGTAATTCATTATTAAGTAGTATCAAACTCAAACGAAAAATACTAAGTGGAACATAATGTTTAGAACTCATATATGAATGTATGAAACGCAATCATAAGTTTCTAATTAACAATACTAGTTACAATTTCTTAAAACGTATTGGTTATACATTTTCTTTATGCATTCCTAAATAAGTGGTACAAAGAATGTTCTAATTATAAAAAATATTGCGATCACTTTCAAATCAGTTTAAACAGCTTAGAAAAAAATTGCACGATCGGTGCTGCTTACATTGTATTATGAGAATGAAGTATACAAAAATGACGTTCTGAAGATGCCACGTGGTGACTTATGTAAATGAAAATATAAGTAAAATTATTTACACAAATACTGGTTTCCACCAACCTTTCAAGAAAATAAATGCCATAAAATTCGTTAAAATTATACTTATTGGTAATTGCTCCACATGTTTCTGCTACGTTGTAGAGACGTGCTTGATATAACATCCAATACGTTTGCTGGTATGTTCTCTTTCATAGGTCTGCTCGAAATATGAATAATCAGATAAAATATTAGAGAAGAGCCTTGATAAAACTGTATACTTATACGCAATAAAGTGCACATAGTAAATTTGCTCATGCTTAAATTAGTGGTGAACATGTATTGAACATATGCATAAGAGAATAGCGTGAAGTGACAAATATAATATACATGTATTAAAATTAAAAGATCCAAACCATGCAAGCATTGAGAGAATGAATTTCATTGAAAACAGGTGCATAGAAGAAAAAAAGCATACTGTGTACATTTATTTAGAAAAAAATATAGCTTACATCCTCTCCATAAACACAATGAGATACCAATAAAGTACGGTTGAAATTCATTTTTTTTTTGTGGAAATACGCTCCCTTGGACCTCCTCACGTCCACTTTGTAACTTATAGACTAAAGATTAACAATGAATTGCAGTTAACTTCTTGTTATTGTTAGAAATGCATTAACATTAAAAATATATCGCTTTCAAAATCAAGTATTGTTATGGTTACTGGGCATTATTAGTATTTTGTGAGTATATATATATATATACAGTATATATATATATGTATATATATATATAGCTCTCAAGAATCGCGCTGCATTTAAATGAACGATGTATATTAATTTAAAAAATAAATAATTAGTCACAGAAACTACAAAACAAACAAGTAGTATGTAAAGCATATAGTAGTGCCAAGCATCAATCCAAACTCGTGCTTCTCTGCTATGTGATTACTTAGGAATATCTCTCACCGTCTGGAAGATTGTCCAATAGTCTGGGACTTGTCTTGAGTAGATAAAAGCTGTCGTCTTATGCTAGACGAAATTAAAAAAAGAAATGGTCGATCATAAAAAGTATACAACAAACCAGCAGTACGTAAAGTATCCGTAAAGTATCAATTGTGCTTCGTGGAAACTTGTAAATACTTCTCTGCTACGAGATTAATTAGTAATATCACTCACCATCGAGAAGATTGTTCAGTGGTCTGGGACTTGTCTTGAGTAGACAAAAGCTTTGTGTTTGAGATGGTGTTAACATTATTGGATTCCAATTCCTCGATTCGTTGCTGAAGCTCATTTATCTGACGAGATCGTGAACGACAGAGGTCCTTCATAAGGTTTTTCTCTTTTTCTAATTTTTCAATTTTAACGTGTTCCTGTAAGATAGATAGATTTTTTATCTCTGTATTTCGAGAATTCTACGAGCAATGTATTGGATTATTTAAAAAATTACTTACGTCGATTATGCCACTACTTGTGCTACTGAAATACGTTTTTGCTGGAAGCGATGTACATTGTGTAGATCGATCACGTTTATTTATGTGGCGTCTACGACAAACATCACAATCTTTTACACTGGTATTCAACAAAGATCTGTTTAGTCTTTTGATTTCCATTTTCAGTTCAGCATTCTATAAATGGGAAATATAACTGTGAAGACATATTTGTAGTGACAGATCGGATATAATTACAAGACTAATTAAACTACTTACTTTGTTTTTAAAGATCAGGAGATTTTCTTCCAAGTCCTTGCACTTCTTTTGGTATGGGAAATTTTCACTTTGAATTTGTATTTCAAGCGTTGCTATTTTACCATTTTTAGATACCAATTGTAGCTCCAACTCGTGAATCTGTTTTCTTAAGGTGCTGCACATGCAATTGGGATTTTGAATTGGATCAGTGTCTTGATCGATTAATGGTTCTAATTGTCGATTGTGATTGAAGAGATCACTTCTACGCTGCTTCCTCCTACTATTTTCAAAAAGTGGACTGTCACTCCTCGAGCTGTTGCAACTTATTGTATCCGTTTTGTTCTCCAACTCTAATATTTTCGTATGTAATTCTGCATTCTCTTTCCGTAATATGTCTGTCATTCTCGTTAACGATTCAATTCTCTTGGTTTGCTCCTCGTGAGATATATTAGTATTGAGGGCACAGTTGCTGTGAATACATTCTTTGTTGTCAAATAATTTCTCAGTCAATTCGTTAATGTGCTTGTTCTGATCATTTATTACAAGAACCTGATTTTCTATCTCGTCGTCCAATTCTTGATTTTTTATTTTCAGTTGTGAAATCTCATTTTTGTGTTGAATTAGCTCCTTGTCTTTTTTCATGATCAATAATTTGTTACCCTCGACTTCTAAAGCGAGCTTACTTTTCTCTTGTAAAAGTGTCTCGTACTTACTACGCAATTCAATTAAGTCTGCAGCCCCTAGCTTTGACTTGTACGAAGCCATACTATTTTGTAAATCAATTTTCTCTTGACGCAAAATATCGTATTTTCCACGTAGCTCAACTAATTCTCTCATTACATGATTCTTGCTTTCCTGTAATTCTGTTATTCGATTACTTGCACCCTCTAGATTATTTTTGAGAGTGCCAATCTGGTCTTGCAATTCTTCAATACGAGCTTCCACTTGAATCTTACTTGTACTGTTGCGCATCTTTTGTGTCAATTTATTGTTTGACTCTTGGAGTTCCTCACATTTTTCTTCCGCAGCCTGTAGTTGGCATACTAGACTCGTGTTTTTATTATTCAATTCAGCCAGTTGCTTCTTCAGTCCTTCGCACTCTATTGAAATGTTATTACAACTGTCCTGTATCGCATCAACTTGCTTCTTACTTTCCACTTGAAGTATATCCATATCCTTTCTACATTTTTCGACAATCAACTTCTTCTCCTTTATCTGTTCCTTCAGAAGCTCGTATTCCGGTGCTATAGTTTCTAATTTGGTTTTGAATTCAGAGGCCATATCACACTTCTTCTTAACAATAGCAGTAATTTCCTCGATGCGTTGTGCCTTCTGTGCATTATCTTCATTTAGCTGAGCACAGTTTTCAGTAAGGATCGTTATTTCGTTATTCAATTTTTCTATCGTTTGACAATGTTTCGACAATTCATTAGATTTCATGTCAATGATATTCTTTAGTTGCTTCTCATTTGCCTCAAGTCCTTCGACATTGCTCCTGAGATCCATGTTCTTCGTTTTGTAACTTTCTAATGAACAAATGAGTTCTTCGATACGCTGATTGTAAGTTTCTTTTTCAAACTTCAATCTACATTGAAGTTCTGCTTCACGACTTTTTATCTGTTCGAGTGCCTGTCTTTCTCTTTCCTGAGTAGCATTTATTATTTCACCTTGCTTCAAATCAGTCTTGGACTTTGTTTCAAAATCCGCTTGCAAAGCGCTAAGGTCAGTCATTAGACTTTCCACTTTTAACTTTAATAAATCCTTTTCGTAATTAGTTTCGATTAGAAGGTTCTTCAGTTTGTCAATTTCCTCGTTGAGTTTCTTATTATTATTTTCTTCTTCAGATAAGTCACGTAGAAGTTTATCATTATCAAACTCCAACTCTTTAGCCCATTTTTTCGTTCGTTCCTCGGCATTCTCACTTTGATTCTTCTCGTCCGTTAGCTTCTTCTTCTCCTCTTCAAAATTATCCTGTAAGGCCTGTATTATTTCCTTCTCCTTGGTGAGGAATGTCTGTAGAAGAATACGAAGAAGATCGGCTACTGTTGCATCCTGGTATTCCGAGCTATCAAATTTAGGATTGAGGGCTTTGATTTCTTTGATTATATTTATTCTTGATGCGTTGCATTCCTCAACAAGTTTTTTATACGCTGTACTCAATTCGGTGTAATTACGAGAATCTGGACCTGCTAAGAATTTTGATGTATTATCTTGAATCTTCTTCGCGCTATCAGTATCTTTTGATGTAGCAAGTTGTAATGCTGTCAACTGTTTTTCAAGTTCTTCATTATCTTTTATATTCTTGTTCAAAGTTGCTTGAAGCTCCTTCAATTGCTTTTCAGCTTCTTTCATCGTGTGCTCTTTGCAATCCTTCAACGCAGCATCCAGGATCTCTTTATGTTTATTATCTCTGTGACCTTGATCTTTGATCAATGCTTCCCTTTCCTGCTTAATAGCTTCCAATTCTTCTACAAGGTCAATACATTTCTCAGTGAATTTAAAGACTGAAACTTTCAGTTCCTCTATGACTTTTTCGCTCGTTTCCTTCTCGGCTGTCAATGTATCCACTTTGACTTCCAAATTCAACTTTTCAGATTGCATTGCCTTCACGCGTTGATTCAACTGATCCACTTCTTTTCGTGAGTCAACTAATTCACCCTGCAGTACTACGTTCTTTTCAATAGCTTCTTGAGCAAGAATTTCCGAGCTCGTTACTTTTTCGTCAAGTTCTTTTCTGATGGATTCTAATGCCTCCAATTCGCGTTCCAAATTGGCCTTCTCGTTATTAATTTTGGGAAGTACACTACTCACGCGTGCAATAGCTTTTTTGAACTTATGCAAGTCTTCTTGTAACTTGAAAATTTCAGTTTCCATTTTCTCGATTCTCGCGTCTTTTTTGCTCCCATAAGACGAGTTGCTATTCGAGTGGGTCGATGAGCTTTCGCAATGACTAGTATCCTGAAGATTATCGAGCTCATCGCACTTATTTTTGTACATTTCAGATAATTTGTCATGGGCATCCTTTAATCTCTCAAGATCACTATTCAATGCTTGAACTTTTTCCTCGGCAAATGATACATTCGTCGACTCGAGTAAGCTTTCGCTTAAGGTCATATCACCCATAATGGTCAAATTCAAGTCTTCATTAGTTTTGTTCTTCAACACTTCAATATCCGCACACTTTTGGTCAAACTTCTTCTGCATATTCTCCAATTTGTAACTGAGACTTTTCACCTCAAGCTTTAACGCTGTACGATTTTCATTTAAGCTTTGTCGCTGCTCGCAATGTGAGCAAGAACTGAACTTCAAGTCACTCAGCTTTTTATTTAAACGCTTTACATAATCAAATTGCTTCAGCAAGTCATTATAATTGTTCGTTAAAGTTTGGACGCTTTCATCAGTTGTCAATTTTATGCTTGTGTCGCGAGCATCATCGTCATGCATCACTAATGAATGGTACATTTCCTCATTAAAACAACTGGCCCGCCGAGTGTCGTCAAGCTTTTCCATGGTCTCAAACAGATTTTCTGAATACTTCATATTTTCATCAGTTAATATCGTCATTTTACTATTCAACTCGATAATGTCACCCTTCAACTTATTGTTCTCCGTTATCAGCATTTCCAAATTGCTCTCAGACGATTCTGCGATACCGGAAGTTTGATTCTCCAATGACAACTCCAACTTGCTCTCCAAGACCCTACACTTTTCTACCAGAGCTTCGTGTTCCTCGCCTTTCTTCATTATGTTCTCCAATAGCTGATCATGTTCTGTTCTCAACTTCGTATACTTCTCAGCATCCTGCTTGTAAAGGCAATCATGATCGAAGAGCAACACTTTACTTCCCTTAATTTCTTCCAATTCCTGTAACGTTTCCATGACGTCAGATGACAATTCATTATTCTCTATAGTTAATTCATCAATTTGTCTTTGATATTCGACAAACTTGGCTTTTACCGTCTCCTCGGTAGCTACTGGTGTTCTTGCACGTAACATACCAATCTGTTCGTAACAAATTTCTAAATCATTTTGTAATTTGGTCTTTTCCTCCTCGACATTTGAAATTCGAAGATACAGCTCGTCAATTGTTTTCTAAAGTAAAAAGAAATTTGAAAAGAAAAACTAAGCAAATTAGCTATTAAAAAAATAATACTAAGCAAAAATAATGAAAATTACGTAAAAGGTAATTCTACAGATATTTGTTAATTATAAAATTCTTACCTGTAAATTTGACTCCCGTATTCCAGCATGCTTGGTCTCTTCATTTAATTTATTGGATAATTCCATGTTCTCTGTTGTCAATTGTTGTATCGTTGTTGTAAACTTCCCAATGTCGCACTTGAGACTCTGAATGTCGTTTCTTATTTCATCAGACTCCTCAATTTTCTGTTGAAGATCCTTAGTCAGCTTAGCATTATCATTTTCAAGTGATGCTTTATCAGTCACTAGTTCATGTACCTTATCCGCAAGAGCATAACTGTCGTCATCGGATACCTTGTGAAAGAATATTTTGTTCTCAGTCTCTAAGCGTTTGTTAAGATCTTCCAGATCTTCAATCCGCTTCTTCAATGTTGGTATATCATTCAATTTTGTGATGTCTTCATTCACAGAGAGATCAGCTACGTCAACAGGTAAATTTTCCAGATCAGACTCATTCTGTCCATAAGATGTATCCATGTTCTCGAAGTAACTGGCGTTAGCAAAAATACTACTACTTTCTTTTTCATTTTCAGGAGATTTTTCAGTCTTAACAGTTTTGTCAAGGATAGGTTTATGAGGGGATGCTACAGTGCTGGTCTCTGTATCTCTGGTCAATAAAGAATTTTTCAGTTTCGTTTCGTTCTGTTGATGCAATTCGCTTTCCAGCTGTTGCTTTGCTTCTGTTCGAGTACACTCCGCAGTTGTTAATTCTTCTGTCCTTTGTTTTAAGTCTATAGTCTTTTCGGCACTCTCTTGCAATTCTTGTAGTTGTTTCTTAAGCTCATCGTTTTCATTCTGCACATTCTTCACGAAGCTCTGCAAATTTGTCACGTAACTCTGTAGGTTTTGAATTTCACTCTCGTACTTGTGGATATCATTAGATTCGAGATCTTGACTCTTCTTCGTTAACTCTTTACGCAATTCTATAGAGATACGCTCAAATTCCATTTTCTCATTGACAATGTCAGAAAGCTGTGATTCTAAATTAGATAGTTTCTGCAATTGTTCGTTCTTTTCCTTTATGAGTTTTTCCATTGCACATTTATCACCTTCGAGTTTTGTTCTATCACTTTGCATGATGATTACTTGTTCTCTCAATTTATCATTGTCTGCTTGAATCTTGGAGATCCTCTTATCCCGCTCAGATAGATCTATTTCAACTTGAGTCTTGAACGATTCGAAATCCGCTATAGCAGCAGTGTGTAACGTCACTTCCTGGATGAAGAGTTCAATTTTATTCTTCAGCTCGGAATTCTCCGCTAGCACTTGATCTAATTTTAACTTTTCTTCGAGTTCACTATTTTCTTCACATGGAATATTTGAAGTATTACATGCTGTCTCTACACCGGTATCACTGAGACTGGAATTAATTTTAACATTCGATTCATTAGAATATGAAATTCGTTCAAGAAATTGTGGCTTCAGTTCCGATGTCTGATGAAAAACTTTTTTCTTCGTTACTGACTGCGTGTCCATTGACGTTTTTCGAAGTTCTGAAGCTTTATGTTCCTCGTCGAAGTTGTCTGAACTCTCCTGAGCTTCCTTTTCTGAACTAAACGATTGACTGTAAAGCTGTTCAAAGGATATTTCAGGTTGGGATTCCTCAAATTTCCCAAGACTATTAATGGTCTCTTGCACAGACGCAGTTTGCAATGTCGAAGATTCAATAACATTTTTCAAATGCGTTTGCAGGTCTTGATTCTCCTGGTGCATCCTATCGATAGTCTTGAGATTGTCTATCACCTCGTTGGCTTTCATTGCCATAGCTTCATTAAGACGACCAATCTCCAACTCCTTCTGTTTCACCTCAGCAACAGCAGTAATTAAATCGTTTTTTAGTGTTGTCAATTGGGTCTGTAATTCCAACAACCTGTTAGTATCTCTGTCAATCTTATCTTTTTCAGGAGATAATTCCAGTTGAGTCGTAAGATTTTGAAGCTCTTCCACTTTGCTCTTCATCAATGACCATTCCGTATCTTTCTCTTTTAATTTCAAAGTCAGCTTATCAATGTCGTTCTTCAATAACTCTATTACATGCTCATAGTTTGTCAACTTGTCGATTGTTTCTGTATACTTGGACTTAATCTCCAAGTTCTCTTTTGACAGATGTTCGTTCAACACCTGCAATCGTTCAAGAACATGTAACTTATCATTGTGCTGATTTTCCTCTTGTACGCTGGAACAGAAATCAGATACTTCCGGTACGTGTTCTTTCATGTGATCAATAACATCTTGCGCGTTGTGTTCCGTTTTCACTATGAAATGCCTAATATTTTCTGTACAAACAGAATCACGTGACTTCTGAACATGGCTATCAGTAAAGTTCTTTACTTCCTCGACTTTCGTAGAAAGTTCATCTTCCGTTTTCATTAGTATAGATGTCTTATGATATGTCATGCATTCATTTACGTATTCCTTAAGCCGTTCGAGTTTTCCTAGTAAATTGATACTTTTGTTACTGGTATTTTTCAGTAACTTTGTCAGTTCTTGAACCTTTGATTCAATAACTTTTGCTTTTGCTGGCGACGATTCATCATTCGGTATCATCGACAAGCATTCAGCGTATTTTTCAGAGAGATATTGGGTGCAGTCGACAGCAACAGACAATTTATCGTTTAGAACCTCATTAGTACCTTCCAATTCAATTTTTTGAACTGTCAAATTGTCTATTTTCTGTTGTAATAACGTTACTTCGTCATGAGTGGGCCGCTGAGAGAGTCGAGCAACTTCTTTAGCCAAGGAACGTTTCTCTTCCTCAACAGTTTTCATCAATGTATTGAATTCTTCCACTTTTGACTTCATACCGTGATTTTCGATAGTCAGTGAATTATCCTCTGTCACTGTGGTGCTGGATTTTGTTTTCAATTGTTCCCAAGCCACCTGTAAAGCATTGAAAAAAAGAGGAGTAAGTGTTTGAAACGATAAAATAGTATGTAATAAATAAACTATTTTTTTGTAAGGGATAAGAAAAATAACCTGTAACGAATTCTCAAGCTCTTCTTCACGAGTTTTGTGCTTTTTCACTAGCAATTCCATTTCCCATAAGGTGTCAGTATGTTTATTCTGTAAATCTTGACATTCTTTCTGCACCTTTTTCTGCAAAAACAATTTATGGTCATTTTTAAAGAGTTTCGTCAATTTAATTAAAAAATAATTACAATATAGAACTTACCACTTCTGCTTTAAGACGTTTCTGTTCAGTTTCCATATCACCAAATTGCTTCTGCATAGACTGAAGAGACTCGACTTGCTCTTTAAGCTCCTCACATTCCTTTCTGCCAGTTTCATATGTCAACAGTAGATCTTCATGATCGCTCTGTAAAAATATATGCATGTTTAGAATTGATAAAACGAACCAAAAAAAATTCTAACTTGTACACTTGCAAAATTGAATTATCAACCAACTTGAAGTTCAGAATATTTCTTGATCGTGTCCAAATATAGTGCCTCGCTATCGGCAAGAGATTTTTTTAAATAATTCAAATCATCACTATTCTCCACCTGTAAATTAATATATAATACACATATTAATCGTTTAATCGATTATAAATAATTTCTGAATATTAAATCATAGCATAAAAATTGCTTTCGAAGTACATACGCTTTTAGGTTCAGTAGCTTCTTCCTGAAATCGTTGTTTCTCCGAATTTGCATATTCTCTAAGACTTTTCATCTCGCAGGATAAATGATGTATCCTGTACCGCAGAACTTCCTTGGGCGTTTCAGGACAATCTTCAAGCAGGTTGCTAAAGAAATAAAATTGGTTTAACTTCGTGATCCGAAGAATTAATTAAAATATTAAGAACTTCGGAAGTGTACGTATGTTACCTCTTTGGTGGACTTAGCATTACTGTTTTATTAATTGGAACATCAGCATTATCTCCACAACTGATCCTGCGAATTGTAACATCGTCCAAAAATTTTACACGATTCTCAGGTCTTCGTTTTGTAACATAAGGTTCGTCTTCGCAGTCCAGACTTTCTACTGACAATCGTCCCGCCTCGTATCGTCTCTCACTTTCTATGAGATCTAGTTCGAAATCTGTGAATTCCGTCTGAAAATCTAAAGAGATAAGATCATATTGAGTTATCAAATACAAAATGGATATTGCATAAGGCATACAATAGACAAAGATTGGTATCACGTATTATTGTAAATATACATTTCTCTACAATAAAATACAGCTATGAAAAAGTAAACATACAAAAATCACAGTGGATGATAAAACACTTACCCTCTTTCTCTATGTCTGAGGACTGTATAATACTCTGTCGCTTTTTAATTTTATCTCTTCTAACCTTCTCTGGCGACTCTCCTGTTTCCTTAATAGTAGGAAGTGTAACAGCTGACTGGAACGTCGTCGTGGCCGGTTGAAGTGTGCCGCAGCCTCCCCAAGTTCGTCTTCGCTGCGCTTCACTTTTGAATTTCTGATTTGCACTATTAGTACTACAACCGGACATAATGCGTGTTTGTAAAAGTTCGATACGTTCCTCCAGCAATTGGTTTCTCCGCTCTTTTTCCTGAAGCTTTGATTCCATTTCCTCAACTTCAGCGCATCTATTACCTTGTCGCACTTTCTGCATAATAATACATACACTTTAGACTATATCAAACTTATACACAGCTGCAAAGGTGTCATAGATATAACTGAAAGATTTAAAGAAATTTAAGCTGAATCAACTGAATCATCATGCGTTTATAAAGGGTGTAACGGAATTGTACCTCAATTTAATTACGAAATTACATGAACTGCACCGAAGAAAAATGAGACCGATTATAAACGTTACACCAAGTTTACGATACTTAAAATTCATCAGTGGACTAACCTGCTGTATAAAGAAATAAAGGCACAGCATAATTAGATAATCCTTCGGAAACAACTAAGCAAATAGTATAGTCACGCGTTCAGTCATTTAATGTCTGTATTGCAGAGTTTCAATTTACATGCACGTTTCGCACATGGAATAAACTCGTCGCTATCTTAAGTAAGAGCCTACGTTACTATGCTATAAGAATCTTAAAGACAATCTATTATCATTATTGGCTTTTGATAATTCAGAATATTCGGTAAGTGACGATATGTGACCTTGATAGAGAGAATAAGAGGGGACGGAACCACATGCTATTGTATCTTCGTAGATTTATACTTTGAACAGCTTTGAACGCGCATTTATATATCCTGGCAAGCTGGCACGTTTTTCAACGTACTGACATTAATTTACAATAACTAACAAGAAGCATTGATAACATTTCTTAAATTCACCACAGATATGTCTAAGCACTTTGTATAAAATAATGCTTTAGCAACTATGTATTTGCATCGTCGGCTTTAAACTGTCAACTACGCACTTTTTGTGAAGTTGATATATATATGTTGTATACCGCGATTATTGAAACAAAGATTTGTGTAATATAGAACATTTCATATATTTAATGTTCACTGCAATTTTTATTTTTATATCTGGTAACAAATAAAATAATTACATACCTCGAGTTCAGCATGGAGTTTATTTAGCTGAATGGCATAACGCTTCAACATTGCTGAATCGGATAGAACTTCGTTAAGTTGTGGTTTATTCTTTACGCTCTTGGCTCTGGATGCAAATCTACACAAATTTTTTTCAAAATTAACATGATACTTTGTTATAAACAGCTTAATGTAGAGATCCAGTGAAATTTGAAATTTAAAGAAATATAGAATGTGTAGATAAGTATAAGTTATATATATATTATAATCAGTAGTTTATGTACTAACGCTAATGTGCATTGTGTCTCATCTATTGCTGCAGGCGTAACTGCACATATCATAGCTGTCATAGCATTACCACCTAACGAGGCTTGCAAGATTCTGGTTAATTTACTGTCTCTGAAGTTGACAAATTTTTCTCTGTCCTGTGAATCACTAAGTTGCATAATAACAAGCCCCAACGATGAAAGAGACAAATTAATGTGTCGCCCTTCGTTAAAACGTTCACCAGTAGCACCAGTTTGTCGCGCTCTTTCAGAGCCTGCTAGATCCACAAGATTAAGTTGAGATACATTAACAGCACCATCCGAAGCTGCTTCAAGTTCTCGACTTTCAATAGTCTAAAATAAATATGACAAATATTGAAGCCACTGATGATCTCGGGTCAAATTCAAATTTCCATGCTGCACTTACTATTCGGAATATAGTGTGGCTTCTGCTACTTCTGTCATTCATATTAGTTTCTCCGATTCTTCTATTTTTTTCACCCTTTTTCATAATTGTTAATATTTTGTCAGGGCTGATAGCTACTTCTTCTTTACATTTCACAATTATCTGACCCTGATTATCCTCATGTACTTTTAAATCGATTCCATTCTTATCTATGAGATCATTCACTTTTTCATTATAAATCTCAAGATATGAAACCCTGTGGAAAATCCATGTCAAGCCATTAATCATGTCTACTGAATCTCAAAAATCATTGTACATAAGTTTATATTTGAAAAAAAAAAACCTCAGTAAAAATTCTCTTCCTACAGTGTTAGCAATTGCGTCAAAGATATAGTTCACAGCTAAGGGTATTACCCCTGGTTCTTCCTTTATACCCATCATAGTGTATGTCTTTCCAGAACTTGTCTGGCCATAGGCAAACACTGTACCATTAAAGCCATTTATAGCTGCATCAACAATAGGCTTTACAACAGCCTGAAAGATATCTTCGTTGGTGTTTTTCATATCAAATATGTGATCTAAAATTGGAAAAATATACCATTAAATGTTCTGAATGTAGTCAGACCCATAAATGTTACAATAGTAGAAGAACACATGTAATGTTTCCTTTTCCAAGGCAAAGCTTTCTTTGCTTCTATCTTTTACATGAAAACTTTAAACGATTTGATGAGTTTATAAATTTGTTCATCTCTGGTTTCTATACCTTTCTATTTACATTTGTTCGAAATTCGACAAGAAAACAGTCAACATATACGATTCAGAATTAAGATAAATTCAATCCCAAAGAAAAAATATGAAAAATTTAATATTTCAGAAACGTTTAACTATGTAAAAAGTAACGCAAGAATCCAAGTCCTTGGGATGCTACGTATACTAACAGTGGAAGGTTATGGCGGACTGAATATTATATTATTCAGTATTGTTAAAGCATTGTAATCGTTTGAAAGATATAATTACCAAAAGAAAATCTGCCTTCTCCGCGAATAATAGAGTTTCCCTGAACCTGCCATTGTACAGGCAATCCATCATCTTTTTCACGTTTTATTAAGGGTCTGACCCTAATAGCCACTTTAATATTATCAGACATTTTTCTAGAATTTGAACTGCACTCGTTTTTAGAAATCACATAGTCACAATGCTTCTATAATAATGTTCACGATAAAAAAGTTCTCAGGAAATTTTGTTCAGTACACCGCTATCGAATTGCCGTTGACAAATGACTGTTTCCGTTTTTTTGGTTCGAATTCAAATCCCGCTTTCACATTGGATAAGAACAATCCCCCCTTCTTACCATTTTATATTCTTATTCAAGTTACCATCAGTCGGTATGATATATAGAAATAACTATTAATTCGGTACTATTTTGAATATGCTTTTTTATTTTTCTGTTTCACACAAAACAAATTTCTCCAACAAAAAAAATATTTTTCTTTAATGTCTGTGGACCTTTGAACTACTGATGCAATCTGGAAATGGTAATATCTTAAATGATTAAGTACACGCTTGCACTACTATATTATATATTTCTACACAATAGTGAATAAGGATTAACACATTGTATAACAATAATTTGATATGTAACATGTAATGTCGGTACTTCCTAATGGAATGATAATTATATAAAATCAAGTTGCACTTATTTTGATGCCTGGCGATTGAAAGTACTTAAAGTTAGAAACTTTTACACATTTGTATATAATAGTTGAACTAAAGCTATTTAAAAAAAAAAATTATAGTGAATTTTACACTTATCTATCGATTTAGATATACATCAAAGTAAAAATTATAATACCAGCACATTATGGTACAACCAAATTTCAATAAAATAAATAAATCAATATATTTAACTCAAAGGTAAAGTCTTTATAATCACAATTCTATAGAAAATAGGACGGCAAAAATTAATAAAAAATATTAAATGCGACAAGTCATGATTCCTATTATGCTGTCATGGTTTAATGCAGAAGTCTTATTTTCACGGTGTAAAAGTCACTGTGTAATTTGCACTTTCTTTCATGTAAATTCCTTAAATTTTACTGAAATAAGTATAAATATTGTTCTATATTATTTATATCTGTCATGATCCGTAAGCTGGGCAGCAGAGACACGTGAAGATGGATGATCTGGCTGGACTGGATGTCAATATTCTCAATACTAAAGAACTGACACAATCCATTCTCTGCCATTTGCATCTGCACCTTTTTACTATCTTTTTTTATCGTTAAAGTCACTTGCTTCTTAACACTCGTTAATGTCTCATTAAGTATATATGTTATCAAAATAAAGAAAAACAGATAATATATCTTTACAATGCTCTTGTCAGATGATAAAGTTTGGTCTCAGGACGAGACTAAACATAGCATTTCTTTACTGTAACATTCTATTTTATAATCACTGCCCCAAGCACGGATCATAATTCAGATTATGCTATAACACATTTCTGTCATGTTTCTTAACACTTTGTTAAGTCAGCACAACTATTTAATTAACAATTTTATGGACAATTAATAAGTATGGACGGACTTTATGAAGGCTATGATTACAGTTCTCTTGCAGTGAACCCTGATATATTGTAATTATATAAATTTCCATAGATTCATTCTCACATTTGCCAATGGTATGCACGAAATTAAATTAAATATAACAGATACTATTTTCGGTAAGACAATACTGGCATGTTTGATATACTACATACTAAGCGTATGTAGAATCATTGTCCATTAAACAGAATAAAATTAAATAAATGTATTTACTCCCTACACGATTTAAGTACAATATTCTGAAAGATTTCATGTCCTTCGATAAAAAAGGTTCGCTTCCAGATACCAGATAAAATATTTTGTAACAAAAATGAGATCTGTTCTGAAAATTATGTTGCACCGAGTATCTTATTAAAGAAATTTCCTACACGCATTAAAAATCAATGCACTATTTTACCGAATGGGAAACAAAACATTAACAAGCAATATTCATCTACCTCTGCTCTCATGAGCAGAACGACTAAAAGACTTTCCAGCATTGATTCCCTACTGAGCATCAAGAGACGACAATCGGAAAAGGTCACAAGGTGACTTCCAGTTACGAAAAGTATACATACCGCAATTAAGCGACATAGAGAACTTCGTAAAATATCCTCTCGATCATTGCTCTTCGGCTATATGCGCAGAGACCATCTGCGACTGCTGGAAGATTGATCCCCTGGTTTTGATTTATTTAAGATGAGTTGGCGTAGGGGATCTATCATATGATGATGTTGGTGGCAATGCCAATGATGGTGGTAAACTAGCAGTACTAGCGAGAGTAGTGTCTAATTTTCTGGCTTCGTGTTCGAGTAACATAGCATCTAACGATGGATCCTGAGATACAGTTCTTAATGAGTCGCCTAGAGCTTGACGCAACTGTTGCATTTCTCTTCCGGCACGAGAGCTACGCAACACGTAGAGTTGGCGACGTTTTATTTCTTGATTTAGTTGCTCCCTGAGTAACTGAATCTAAAAGATTTTTATATTAGAAGGATTTCCTACTACATCAGCGTTACTGTGACGTTCAAAAAAAAAAAAAATTGTATACCTGGTTTTCAAGACGTAAGACCTGCTGACGATGACTTTGTTCTCTTGCTTCCAGTAACTTCTCTGCTTGTAACTGAGCAGCTCTAAGTCGTTCAATCTCACCAGTTCTATCACGACTCAAGTCGAGAGTCGAGTGCGAATGAGAATGCGTAGATTTTGCTCGAATCAACTCAGCCTCCTTTTCAGCTAACTGTGTTTCTAATCGACGAATCTTCAATCGTAACTCTCTGTTTTCTTGCTCGAGATTATCAATGTTAATATTAGAGCCCATTAGTTCTGCATGTGCTTTTTCAGGACGTTCATAGCTCTTGCTACGAATACTTCCAGGTCTCACTGAAGACAGTTGACGTTCCAGATTGCGTTTATCAGCTTCCAATAATTTAACCTACGATATTAAATAAATAGCTTGTTTATACGTTTCATTACATATATTGTAAGGTTTGGATTATTATTTGACCTTGTCGTGAAGAGCTTCAATTTTTCCTCGCATTTCGCTTCGCTCTCGCTGTGCAGTCTGCAACTGTCGAACCAACTCTTCGTCCTTACTGGAACTACCTTCTTGTGGCCAACTGGATAATCTCAGTTGGGCTTCTAGACCTGAACGCTGTACTTCGTTGTTAGCCAATTCATTTTGCAGACGAGCAACTTGGTCTAATAACGTTTGATTTGTATGCCTCAATTCTGTTACTAATTGCTGTGCTGAATCCAAACGTTCGGATAGAACACGACGTTCATTCTCAGCATTTGATAATTGCTTTTGAAGCTGAGAACAAATATGCCTTCATTAAATTTTGTATACTGACAACAATTATTATACAGATTTACCTGTTTAAGCTTCTCATTATTATTCTGCGCTGTTGCGCTAGTCTCCATTAAATTACGTTGCAAAATATTAATCTCATTTCTCAATTCACTTTCACCTGACGAAGCTCTTTCTAGAGCGAGATTTAATTGTTCTATTGTAGATTTTAAAGAAGCACAACGTTCTTCTAAACTAGCCATGGTACGTGTCTGAGCGTCGCATCGGTCTTGTAATTTCTATAGAAAATAATATTTGTGTTTAATTGTTAAAGCTAATTGTTACGATTAGTTGTAAAGTTATTGTCAAACCTGTATATTTCCATCCTTCTCTTGTAAAATCATTTGCAAACGCTGTAGATCTCCCTCTAGAGACATTCGTTGTAATTCCAATTTCGTTGAACGGGATTCATTTCTGCCAAGTTCCTCTTGAAGACCACGTTTTTCATTTTCCAGTCGGTTTATAGCTTGCTTCATTTTTTCAAGCTTATCCTATCAAGATTAATGTACTTTGACAATGAGGAAATGTATTCAGCCACAATAACGCAGCTTACCTCGTACTGTCCCCGTTCATCGGATTCACTAGTAATTGTTAGCTCCAGGGTTGTCACCCTCTCCCGCAGATGTTCAGACTCCTCAGTTTTTTGTTGTAAAGCTTCAGCCTGAAAAGACTTAATATTGACAACTGCAATGGAGCATCAGGCAAACAGTAAAATATTTTAGTACCTGAGCTTGGAATGCTGCTTGCTTCTGAGAAAGTTTGGCTTCCAGAGCATTTTTCTCATCTTGCAATGCTCGCAGACTTGCATGTAAATTATGAAGCTTAGAGTCAGACTTGTTTTGCGCCTCTTGAGTCTCTACGAGTTGTTTCTTTATGTTACTGATTTCGGTCTTGTAATCATCCTGTTGACAAAGAGCATCAGTGATGAAGATCCTCTCATGATTAATACTGATAAGTCATAATTAAATATATTTAACAGACTCACTCTCTCCCGTTCAATTTGTGCTACTTGTTGCATTAGAGATCGTACTCCCTTCCTGATAGCTTCAGGATCAACGTCCAAGACCACATCACGGCCACCGTCACCATGGTCTTGATGAACTAGTATAATAGAACGTATTTAGCAATACAGGAGTAAAAGATTTTCTCTAGGATTCCAAATGAATGTATACCTCTGGCTGGACTCCATCTTCGCGATGGACTCATTAACTTGAAGGGCATATTAACGCTACCATCCAACTGGATACCAGCGATACGACGAAGTGTTGATGCTACGCTACTTAATTTTTGTTCAACTTCTTTCTTCGCAGTTTCCATTTGGGACAACTGAGCGTCCAAGGCTCGTACTCTACCCTCGGATCCACCAAGACGTGCCTGATTGACCAAACATTCATTGTTAAACGGGATTTTTTGATCATTTTAATGTTTTACAGTGAAATTAATTATTGAGGTGATAATTTTTTTTGATTGAATCCTTCGATTACCTTCAACTCTTGCAATTGCTGAGAAGCATCTGCTAGACAGACTTCAAGATTATGTTTCTGATCTTCCAATTTTCTTTCGCGACATCGACTGTCCTCTAATCGAACAAGTAACTCCTGTTCTCTTGCTCTCCAACGTTCGTCTTCTTCATCGCCTCGGGAGCGCAGCCTTCCAAGTTCTTGACGCGTGACTTCCAAGCTGTTATCCAAATCGACAACCTATAAAAAGTTATACTTACATGTTGAAAAGGGTACTTGGTTAAAATTTTTTTAAATCTGTACCTGTTTCTTAAGTTGATGTAATTGCAGCTGAAGACGTTCCCGTTCTTCAGTCTCGTTGGCCAGACGCGCTTGCAATTCACGTTCTTCATTTTGCGCTTGTGAAGAAGCTGAACGTGATTTTTGTAATTCATCTTGACTATGTCGCAATTGTTGTTGCAATTGCATCGCATCTCTTTCCATCTCACGCAATTGTGTCTGAAGTCTAGTTCTCTCAGCATCGATAGCTGTCTTCATGTCCTCCAATCCTGCAATCTTCTGATACGCTTCTTCTAACGCTCTGCTTTGTTCTCTCTTTTCGCCTTCGATGCGTTTCACATATTCACGTAGCTCTTTATTGCTGCTGTTGTATTTATCCTTTTCATAAGTCGAATCAGTCAATTGTCTACGCACATCAACTAATTCCTTACGCAATGTCTCGATAGTATTTTCAGCTGTAATAATGCAACAAGTAAAATAAAACGAAGTAGGATGGAAATAAAAATAGAGATTTACCTTCTTTCAATTTTCTGCTAGTTTCGTGTAATTGATTCTGAAGTCCATCCATTTTATCTTCAGACATATGGAGCTGCACCTGCAACTCTTCGGTTTCCCTTTGAGCGGATTCTCTCTCTTTCCAGATTTCTTCAATCTTCAATTCCAATTTCATCTTTTCTTCGTCACCCTTTAATTTTGCGTCGTCCAATCTCGTTCTGATACGATTCAACTCGTCACGAAGCTGATTGATATTGTTGCGATCCTGTTCTGCACGTACCATTGCTTCTCTGCGCAATCTGTCTGATCCACTTTTCTCTTCTTCTAACTCACGGAAAATTGCTTCCAGTTTCTCCATTAGGGCTTGTTGATCGTGATGAGCTTCAATTAAATAGATATTAATACCAAACAGGACATTAAATACACGCACCAAGCTTAAAGAACTTTAATGGAGTGTTTCTCACCAATTAATAGAGCCTGTTGCTTGTCATTCTCAGCTCGAAGAAGAGCCTCTTCGTGTTGTTGACATAAGGTTTCAATGTGTTGTTGCAATTCTTCTATTCTCTGTTGTAACTGAGTTATTTCATCGTCTTTCTCACCACCGAGCTGCGTTAATGTTTGCTGAAGACGTTTCTCCAGAGAGGTACGTACTTGTTCCTAAAGGAGTTATAAATAATGTCACAAAAACTATATCTAATTAGATATTTAAACATGTTCGTTAACTAAGAAGTACCTTTTCTTCATTCAATTTTTTTATACTGTCGTCATTTTGTTTTTTCATGTTCGCAATAATTTGTTGAAATTCCGCTTCTTGATTTCCGATTTGTTGCGATAAGGTTTGCTTGATGTCCTGTGCACGCTTTTCACTGTTATCAAGATCTTTAGTTAATCTTGCAATTTGACCTTTCAAACTCTCTTGCTTTACTAATAAATCTTGCTGATCTTTATCCAGTTGCGTCTTTTTTATATGGGTTGCCTCTAAATTAGTTTGTGTGTCAAATAAGACGCCTTCCAATGCTTCCTTTTCACTACGTAAAGAAGCGAGTTGTTCTTGCAAACGCTGAAATTCCTTATCGTTGGTTTCCAAAAGTACTTGCTTCTCTTCATTTTCTTTAACAAGATCTTCCAAATTTCTATTAATACGTGAATTCGTTTCATTAGCTTGTTCCAGTCGTTGCCTAAGTCTCATGAGTTCCTCGTTTAAAGCTTCTTTCTTTCTTGCCAAAACTGACAGTTGATTACTGAGATCTCCACGTTCTCGAGTTACTTGACCCAACTCCAACTCCACCTTCTCTTTCTCAATTTCCAAGAATTTTATCTTTTCATTTAACGTCACTTTGTCAGATTCTAGATCCAATCGAGTTTGTTCGGCTTGTAGGATTTCCTTTCTCAAAGAGCTCAGATCTCCTTGTTGATCGGCACATTGATTAATCAGCTTATTCCTTTCTTCCTCTAATTTTTTTAATTCGTCCAATAGTCTTCCCTTGTCTTGTTCGTGATTTGCGCATAAAGCTTCCATCTTCTCAAGAGCTTCTTGTAAGTCAGATTTTTCCAACAAAATACGTTCCACCTCTATTTCAAGGTCACCTGTGGAATTAAAAAATATAATTTCTCATTAGTATCTAAGTGGTACATTTGAAATTAAAAAATAAACCGAATGCAATTACCTTTACTCTTTTCGATTTGCGTGATTAATCCATCTGATTCTAATTTTTGTTGCTCCAACATGTCCTTTGTGAGATATGCTTTATTTAATTCTTCACGCAACGTTAATAATTCTTCTCGCATTCTGCTACATCTCTCCTCTTCGGAACGGAGACTCAATTCCCTGTCAACAAAAATATCAGGTTTATCAATAAGACAGTGGATATTAGAAGCATAAAATAAAAAAGTAACAAACCGCAAGTCAGAATCTTTATTCACTCTATCAAGTTCACTTTGCAGATATAATTTTTCATCTTCCAAATTGTCGCATAGTTTTTGTAATTTATTATTTGCCTTCTGTAACTTTTCGTAGTCTGTACTCAACGCTTCAATCTGTAATAGCATAAATTAGTTATTGGAATGTTACTATGAAACTTTTATCTACAAAGTAGACTATAAATGTTACCATAGCATTAATCTCAACACGATTCTTATCAAGTGCATTCTTTTCCGAACGGAGACTATCCAAACTTTTTTGAAGCATCTCCTTCTCTTGCAAGAGTTGAGCACATTGTAAACGTGATGCATCCAATTGTGCAGTAAGTTCCCCAAGCTTGTCTTCGAGATTTTGTGAATTTTCTTCAGCGTTCTCGCACTGTTTCCGTGTAATCGTTAACTGCTCTTTGTTGGTTTGCAATTTTACCTAAGAAAACATCATAATAAAACATTGCAATTATTAAAAGTCATACAGAAATTAAAGTAATACGTATACTTCAAAACTCCGTCTCACTTGAAGCTCATGTATAGTCAGTTGATATTTATGCAAAGCTGCCTGAACAGCACTAATTGTGCTCTCAGCGAAGGCTGGGGTCGTGTTGATTCTTGTTCCTCTTTTAGGTGATCTCTGAGGAACAGGAGCACTCGGAGACAAATGAATGTGTGGCGGTGGCTGAATATTTTCAATGTCTCGAGATTCGGCATCTTGAATAACGGCATGCGCTATGTCTCTTAAAGCAGATTGTAATATTTCAACATCTTCTTGCATACGAGTAACTTGTCCCATGCCAGCTTCTGCTTCACCGCATCTTTCTTCCTGTGATGAAGCCATATAGATGGTGGATGATGAATGCCACAAGGAATTATTATTGACTAATTCATTATTTTACCAAAGTATGAACTTCTCGTATCAGTTGATTAATCCTCTCCTCCTTTAGACGAATTTCATTTTGAGCTACATCGAATTGCTGCTTCAGAGTTGTTATTTCTGCTTTCATGTCCGACGTTGCTTGAGCCTGTTGGAATTGCTGAGATACCTAGGTGTTCATGACTGGTTATTAAATAAATTTGAGGTTTGTATTATTCAGGATATGATTAATGAGTAACATACGGTGGGTTGTTGTATAGCACTGGCTTGCATTTTCATTGCAAAGTTTACGCTGCTGCAAGCTGTGGCCATATCATTGGATGTGGATATAATTTTATTTCGAAGCTTGGACAGATCCCTTTCCGTTGCAGATTTAGTTTCTGAAAACAACCTTTTAACAGATACCACGTCGCGCCATAGATTTAGTAGGCGATTGTGCTCGGATGTATAGTACTCGTTGAAAGCTTGTTCTTCTTCCTTCCATTCATCTTCCTTAACTGTCATTTCCTCACGTAACGTATCCCAGTCATTACTCAATTTTTGAAGATCATTGGTGAGAAGCTCATTTGTTTGGTGACATTCCTCAAGCTGATCTTTGAGTGAAGTGTTCAGTTGTAAGAGCTTCTCGCATCTGAAATTTTGTAAAGATAGTTTTCGGCATCTTTTCTTCAAGTATAAGTGCGAAAAGACTATTATTTTAGACTGTAGACAATTAAATGACCTTCTCCGTTCTTCTGCAAGTTTTTTCAAGGCAGTTTCTAAATCCTGAATTTGTTCTTCTCGTAATTCACGTAGTGTTTGATGTGCTGCATCCAAAGCAGAAGTTCCTTGAGCTGGTGCAGTCACACCCCTAACAGTTTCACCTGGTAACGAGTCCACCATTTGGTTTTCTAACTCCGAGCATCTCTGCTTGTACTGCAAAACCTAACAATGCAATTAATAATAAATATCATGAAAAACATGTAAATTAAAATATGATGCAGTAATGATGTATCCATTAAACTTACTTTTGCTTGTAAACGAGAGACCAAGGCTGCTTGGTGTTGCTGAGCTTGGCGATACGTATCCAGTCGTCTTTTATAACTAGCTGCTTCTTCTTCCAGACGGTGTCTTAATTCATAGTTCTGTCTTACAAGTGCATCCGGAGAGAGATCTTCATCGCTTCCTCTGTCTGCACTGGCACTACCCATGGTCCCACTTTGTCCAGACTCCATTTTACTACTTCCGCTTCTCGCTGGCTAACAATAAGATTTAAATGCAATTACATGTCTCAGAAAATATGTGAATATTATTATACAGAATTATAATAATACAAGCAATAATTAATGTACTATCAACATAAGTAAACAGGTATACCTTTGTCTCGCAGAATATGAATATCAAAGAATTGTCATAAAATTATAATGCATATCATAATATCTGCCTAAGCACCTTATGTAATACTCCATGATCTTTTATGGGTCAAGTTCAATAATACACAAATAAAAATGATTGTACGATAAGAAATATTATGAAATTTATTAACAAAACATTAGATAAAACCAGTTCATGTGCAAACAAAATCAGAAAACTTCATCATAAGCAAGTCACAATCATCAGAATATTTTCAACAGAACAAATTCTATTCATAAGCTACATTCAAATATTTTAATTACAGGTATTATATCTCATTTATGGAACTCCATTGCAGGTTATAAAATTATCTTCTACAAAGTACCACATACAAAACATCCACAATAAAGTATAAAATTTATAAATGCAGCAAAACACTAAAAAATATAAAGAATTCAATTAGGGAGTTAACAAAACATGGCATATCCCATAAGATACATTTGCTCATACATTCACTCATAAGGTAACTCAGAATGACAGATGTCAGCCGCAATTGGTTCCTGAGTTTTGAACTCTACCAAAACCCCATGATTATCGATTACCTCAATACAAATCGATTAATTCAAATAATTTTTAAAAAACTCAAAGGAAAAGAAATCCGATAAAGCATTCAATCCATTCAACAGCGTCAGGCAGTTGAATTTATGGGGCACCAAAACCCATAAGTACCTCTTTGCCTTTGGCTGAGCCTCTGAGAAACGGTGGCCGCCGCCTCTCCATCTGTCCTCGTAACGTCAAATGAGAAGGACCCTTGGGTAGCGCCTAAAATAATAATACAAAAAGATTGTAAGCAATAATAATCTGCTTTGTTTACAATAAAAATGAAAAACATCATCATCGTCAAAGCAATCATTTTGCTTCATCATTTTGCAATCAGCTTTGCTTTCACGACAGGGACATAAATACACAATCATATAAAAATGGCTGTCACGTAAGGTATTTTTAAAAGAAGAACGCTATTTTTTCTTTTTATAATGATTACTGGGATGTATTTAGAATCTTATCCTATCTATTAGAGAGCAAGTAACGCCGCTAAACATCTTCCGATGAAAAACAGTTTAAGATATGATAAGCTAGTTTGATTCAGGCAATCAATTAAGAAATATTGAATTATTCGAACAGTACAGATTCTTTTACCAATCCGATAATTATAAAACAAAATTCGTTTAAAGATAAATCTATACTTTACATAAGAAATTGTAAATAACGATTATGAGACTAATGAATATTTGTGTAATGACAAATCTTAAACTCGACTTTATAAATTGGACAAAATTAATTTTAATTGCGTTGAGAGAATTTTATTTCATTTTCTCGCCGAGATAAATAGAATATGATCAACAATTTGATACCTGATAAAAAAATAATGAATTACGATCTGAATTAGTATCATTTCATTATCATAAAGTTATCTGTTCCTTGCCAGTGATGAGTTTCTTCTCGTGCATAACTGTAATTCATATATACACGACTTTCGGTTCTGTAACAAAATTTTCGGGTGAACCAGAAACTTTACGATGTTATTGATAAAACAAATTCGTACTTCTACAGAAAGAACGACACGCAGGCAGGTCGTCTCCTGCGTCTGCAGTTGAGAGAAATATGGCGAAGAATCGAAGAAGGAAGAAGGAAATTCCCAACGACAGGAAGGGGAACACTGAGGGTAGCGAACCCGTGACTGGCGGTGTCTTGCGTGAGAAAAAAAGCTGCATTCGCCTTTTACAGAAAAATTACTAAAGTAAAAACGATCTTGTTGATGGTTCGGTACTTTCCAAAACTATTATCCAAAACGACAAAAACTGTACTATCAAAGTATCAAACTTATTCTCACTAGAAGAATTAACTGGATCATAAAGTTACCTTGCCAGGTCAGCCACATAAAACATTTTCACTTATTTCATTCTGAATGCTAAGATTCACCAAAATAATTTCAATTAAAAATACTAGCAAAAATTATCCGAACGAATGTTCAATTTGAATTTAAATCTTCTATTGGACTAAACGACAATCTATAATTTATAACGTAGGTCATGTTAATAATATATTATCAATTAGATATTATTACACTCAGCCTGTTATTATTCTTCTTCACAGTTCATTACCAGTTTGAACCACTGTAAAGTCCCCTGTTTAATCTACACTATCATCAGGGGTCAGTGATTAACCCGAAATATTATCAGGTCAATTTTTATGTAAAATAAAATACCTAACCACAAAGGTAGAGGGAGAAAAAGATTTGCTCCCAATGAAATCACTTTCTTTAAAATAATTTTCAATCAATCAAATCACATAGAATTTTATCGTCCGATAATTCAAATCCTTAACGCAGTTGAACTTCGTACAAAATATATATCGTTGAAAATACGTACCTATGTATATGCAATAACGTAATTGAATCTTTATTAAAACCGATTGTTTATTTCAGTAATATCATTATATATCGTGTTGTCGTCATTACACCAGAAGAATCACCCCTCAAGCATATCCGATGTGGGATATGGGAGCAGTCTTAAAGATTTATCATAAAGCCAACACAACGTTATCGCACAGTAAACGATATTTTCATTGTGCACAAGAATAACACGCAAGTAGTATTATTTGTAGGAATGATATTTTTAGTCATGCCAATATAACTGTAACCAGTTTGTTTTAAAATTAGAATCCGAAGGATTCTGAGCGAGCTTACTAGAGCCAATTGTAAATATTTGAAAAAGGCAGATAAATAAGAATAGAAAATTTATCATTCCACAAACTTTATTAAAATTATACAAAAGATATTCAGTTGATCAAAGACCTCTCAGTGATAGGAGACTCACTAATCTTTAACAAAGCTTGTATGTGTTTAGGATCAATGGCGAGTAAAAGCAGAGACAAAAAAGAATGGGAATCTATTAAAATGTGACATCGGAGACAATGGGTAATAATATGTATACATATATATGCATACAGATTCAATATTAATATTCAATATTGCTTATAGGTACGAACGGGGTAAAAACATGGTAACCTGATGGACGTCCTAGGACAATCGGTTAACGTGGAGTCTGCCTTACCGATAAGAATAATTAAGATCTCAAGGTACCTGAAGTGTCCACGTGTGCACGACATGTAGATCCTGAAGTAATACGAATTGAAGGTATCTGTTTCACGATATACCAAGAGGATACTGAAGTGCGTGTCTTTTCAGAGGTAACTTCTCCTGAGGATGCAAGCAGCACCACCTTGTGGTAGGTGCTGAGCTCTGAAGTATAAGGATAGGGGCCTGGTGGAGACTGCAAGGGTGGCTTGAGGAAGTAGAAGGAGAACCAGTAGAAACCAACACCTGGTACTGAATGGCACCAATCGATATAACATTGTACGATACGAGGGTATATTCCCAAATACTATCCCAAAAGCTTGTACGACTTCCTTAGCTTGGCAACGGGATACCTCGGGTGTAACCGTGTAAGAAGTTTCTTCAGGGTGAAACGATAATGTTACCCCTAGAGTTTCGGCAACGTTATTCCTGAAGCAGATAGGTATGGGAGAGGCTTGATACCTTAAACGAAAGGGTTTTAATGAGATTGAGGTGGTAATGATATTAGTAGGATTTATAATGATCTCGGCATTATTGATCACTTTGACTCTGTTGAGTATTAGGTATCTAAGGCACTTGTAAGCTTGGAGGTTTAGGGTTAATTTTAAGAAATCTGTAGGATTGTTATAATGGAACGATTTTGATCGCATCTCTTGATGAAAATCTCGAAAACCGCAGAAAGTTTTTTGACTGGTGAAGAACTGAACTGAAAACTAATTAAAACTTTGACTATTTAGTCAGGCCTATTTTCATGGTATATTGGCCATTCATATTCTAATAAAATCGGTACGGTTCAACGAACGTTGTAAAGACAAGTCGAATGCCTGGTTCTTAACTTATAATCGAATATAGACTTATGCTATAAATCTGTACGACAATTAATTTAATGATTGCATGCGAACGGTCATTATACATGGGAAATTCACACCTGGATAGTAATTGTATTGAGATAAAGCTACGACTTCGTAGAATTATATAGTCATTGGTTTATCATAAGGGTGGAGAGGGAATTATCAAGAAATTATCATTTTTGCACAGCTATTATATCTAATTTTGTATTTACTTGTTAGCTTAATGGAAAATTTTATTATCTCATTCTGCCAGTCTGCCCCTCTGTTTGTCTAGGTCAGGCTGAGTATCTTGGACGACAGTAATTCACACAATACATTGAGAAGCTTGTGGAGTAGACTTTGGAACCTATGATATTTACATAATTTATATTAAACGTGACAAATTGTTAAGCATTTCGTCAAGAACTAATGGTTGTGAAATTTGAGCCGGTGTAATCTATACCAGTGTGCAATGAACTGGTTTTAACCGGAATTTCGTATCTTTTAATATATATATATTTTTATAGACTATTAAGTGGCAGGTCACTAGACGGCTCCCTTACCCGGCTGGTTGATAAATGACATGGTGCTTTACAGATTGTCAAATAAATAAAATTCTGTAAAATATAAGAAATAAATGCAAGGATACGCAAAGCAAACATATATACTATTTATCAACAAAATTTGGATATGGATTAGAATAAAGTCCAAAATTTAAAGGTAGAAAACTAAAAAACAATTTTTAAAAATTAATCTTGACTCCATGTAGTTATAATTATTTTTTGCTAATGGTGGTTCTATACTTTCTGCAGTTGTTCCATGAGTTAAATATACTGTCTTGGAAGATGACACCTCCAAAAGCTTTTCTACTCGTGGACGGACTTTATCAACCAACATCACATCCGGATTCAACAATCTCATTCAACGACCTGTAATTAAGTATCAACGTCATTATCTCAGTATGAAATATCACAAGTCAAAGTACAAAAGCAAAAAGTACTCCTTCTCAACGGAGTTGACAAGTCATTGACTTTGTCTGGATCCCGTCTACAGTTCTAATGAATAAACAACACATGCAATCATCTAAAAAAATATCATTAACCTAAATTCAAAAGAATATGTATCAAACAATAATTTAAGCTTACCATATATTTCAGTTATACACGAAAACAAAAATTCTTAAATGAAAGTGTCATTAAGCTACAATAAGGCTCTAACGTCATATCGATTAAATCCAATGAAAACAAAAGGAGGTATACACACATGCAGTATTTTCATACCATCGTGACCATGGCGTGAGAGAATTCCCACTAACCATCTTCAGGGTTACATACCTTCAAAAACTTGACTCCTAACAGTGTCCTTGACCATGCAATGACAAACTGCATGAAAGCATCCCATGGCTTCTAAGTCTGATACGACTAATCAATGGCTGACTATAATTAGACTTTCACGTATTTTCAATTTAAAATTATATTCATCCCTTGCATCACTTCCAACTATAAAATCCGTCTGCGGATCTAAAATCGTTAAAAATCAAAATTCAAAATTTCACACTACAATCAGCTCTTTGACAAGTATTAATATTTAGGTAGACAAAACTCGACCGGTACAGGCTCTTCGCACACGATACAAGACAGAAGCACTCTGAACAAATACAGTATCACACTGCACACCTATTCTGCAAAATTGCTTCCACATTATTTAACTAAAGGGCTAAAACTAAATAGTCAAATAAAAAGCAATGAAAATTACACGAAATATTATCAATAGGGCCTGTCAAGAAAGACGCACTGATAAGCTTCTTAGAGTTTATATGAAGTGCGTGGATGAACGAGTGTACGTGCCTGCACTAGAGTTCACAAGTCTGTTAAGTCTCGGTGCAAAGTCTACCAGACGAGACGAAGTCAGCGTTTTAAATCTCCGGAAATTACGGCGGTCAACGTTCATCCCGATCTGCGACAGACACGTGATGCAATTAAGGGAATATTGACGTCGATTGGTTAACCGATATTATGACTGATAGCAATACATAATCATAACCTCAAAAAAAGCATTAAGCTTCTTGACACGTATTATCATCGATTACACGAAATGTCAGTGGGATGCGGAATGTTTTCGTGAAATTCTAATCAATAACTTTCCAATTCGTGTAAAAAGTGTCAGAGGGTAAAGTTTATAGAGTGAGATTTCTTTTTACATTAAGAAATAAAATAATAGCTCATTACTAGGTGTATAGTCAAAGCAGCGACATCAGTTCTACGATTGAGGGGTCTTATTAACACGTAGATTCATAAGAAGATGGCCCCTCCGAATGAAGCAGTGTCGCTTGCCTGACTATATATATATATACACGACAATATTAACAAGCTCGGAGAAATCAAGACTGGTAGCTCATTATACATTTAAATATTTTTTTTATTAACAATATCACTCGCTTAAGTATCTTTTTGGGGATGCGATACAGCTAAGAGCCTCGTGATATTCCATCAATTTCTTTAACATCGTTACGCCATTATGTGATTATTAGTTACTGAAATCATCGTGTGCATGTCAATCGATAAAGTTAATTTGGACCTAAGATATCAACGTGCCCCAAGGCCTCCGACTGATTATCATGACAATTTAATGTAAACATCTTGCAACAGATGAATTTTTGGTATTGCACGTAATTTTTGTAAAATAATTTGCATCTGCATTGTATTAACTACGCGTTCGATAGCTTAGACTCCTACTGATAACACCTCACGTGGAACATATGAACATAACAAATTAATGTTATACAACGATCATCAGTTTCTCGTTTCTTGATGCATAACGATGACTCGTCATCGACTCAAATACATATCGATTGTTATTTACAATAATAATTTTTCAACAATATTTCAAGACCCAATAAATAATACAGCATCAGGTTCCGCATAAATAAAATGGCAAATGAGGTCAGAGTTTCTATGCCAATATCTAGTTACGTTATTACGAATTTCTACTTGCTAATTAAACTTAGATTTTTTAATACAATGTTTGTGCTATATATATGTGTCGAGTTTATCCTTCGATTAAGCGAGACAGCATTAATTAAACGAAAATATTAACTTCGTCAAAGTTCTGTGATAATTGTCAGATATCGATTGAGTGGACGGCTATGACGCGAGACATATGTGGATGGGTGTGTGTGTGTGTGTGTGTATGCAACGTGTAATATTGATACGTGCGTGACACGCACCCTACGCTCACGCACTTTACCCCTAGCCATTGGAGTACATGCAATTTACCGTGTATACAGTTAACGCAACGTGTCTATACCTATATATATATATCAGGGACGTAAATAGATAAAAAATTTACATGGTTTCATGAGGTAACAAATTTTCTCCAAAAACATTAAAGCCCGGGTTGATCGATATCAATTAAAATGTAACTAAGGGTTAAATGCCACGTGAATCAATCACGTGTATACATTCAGACAATTAGCTCTTAATTAAATTTTAAGTGACATTGCTGAAACCCTGCCTAAGCGGATGAACAAAATTAATGAAAAAAAAATTAAAGTTGACTTAATTGATACTGTAGGAAGTTTCAATAAAAATTAAAAAATTGATAATACCAGACAATGCTTTTCCTGGTTAAGGGTGACTAGAATGTAGGCACGTGAATTCACCTAACCCAACATGACGTTACTACATTATTATATTTTAATGACTGTTTTTGACCACGAATGCGTCACACCCTATGAGAAAGTGATGGTAATGGCCATTGTTGATTAGCGTCATTCAGTCTTCAAAGGGAATCGAGTGTACGCCACAAGCCAGCCATTGGATTTTCGTTAATACGAAGGTATAAAAAAAAAGGTAACGGCAGTCGATTCTATCATCTATCATTTTATCGCTACCCTATCTTCTACGACCATATGTCGTTCAAATTATTAATCCCAGTACGTGTACACTGCTGGGATAAGGGGTGAAGATAGTAAATATACTAACTTTTGTATATTGTGAATATATTGTCGAATGAATTTTTATTAATCGTACTAATTGTTCCATAACTTGTAATCGTTTTGTAACTAACTCTGATTCACATCCGATAAATTCAAAGGAGCCTGTAAATCAACTAGTATACGTGCAGATAGGCTGTTAACCTAATTATCAGTTGGTGAACGACCAGCAACGGATGATACGAGGTTCATTACTCGCTACTCCTTAACGCCTACACGTTTAGGTTAGAGTTCAAGCTGGTAGAACGAGTCAATCAATCCTCTGTATGGGAAACTAGTTAATGTATATATATGCTCTCTGTGCGTAGTTGCTCATCAATTTTAATGTATAAACTGCATTGAACTTTAAGGAAAGATATTCAAAACAGTTACATACATGAAATGGTGGTAAAACATACAAGTCCTTAAGACGTATGGTTAAATCATAAAATCAGTTGAAAGTCAGCCTGCTGAATGTGTTTCTGCGTACGATTTGGTTTTGATTAATTTTATGCTTACATGTATGTCAGGGTTATGTAATGCATAAAGCACGAGAGTTGAAGGTTCTTTCGTTCGTGAACTAATAAACTGAGGTTGAATGCTCTGAGGAAGTTCTGAGAGTAAACTATAGCAATTGTCTGGAGTACGGTTTACATTTAATTGGAACACAAGGTTATGTATTACATATTATTGATGAACAGTTGTTCAGTGCTTTTACTAAATTCAATTAAGATAAGAGAGTCTATGGGGTTGATCCGTGTCCACGTCCACGTGAAAAAAAATTCAAGGTTAGAACGCTACTTCAATAAGGAACGAAGAGAGTATTGTAACACGTGGATAAGGGGGATAGAATAAGCTAAAGTAATTGGACGAAAAAAACTTACCCGAGGCATCGCTGAATAAGGTTGGCTTTCCTCTGCGTCCCGAAGGGAAGATGCAGAAGACAGGAAGTCGTTGAAGAGGCTCGGCGGCGATAGTGTTTTCGGGGCCCTTCGATCCCCGATGGAGTCTTGGACTTTGTGTGTGTTCGGTACGAACGGTGGGCTTTTACTAACAGCCGTCGTCGCGATGCTCCTACCGCCATCCTGAGCACCGTGATCGCGTGTCACGGCGTCTATCTGTGTTTCAGTGCGCGGTGGGCCCCTCGAGGGTGGAAGTAGCGGCGGCGCCGGTGGCACTGGAGGCGGTAGATACGGGGGTGGTTCTGCTGCACGTTTTCCTCTGGCAGAGAAAGTTACCGGAATATTTACGATCGACGCCAACTCAATGTTGCGATATGACTCGGGAGATAGGCCACCGTGTGAACTCAATTGATTTAGTCTTATCACGTTAGAACTAGTGACACGGTTCTCTAGTTCGTCTACTGTTACAGTGTATAAGAGATCCTAACCTATATTCGTGTGGAGATGCATGCACCCTGTCAACTTGGATGCTACGTTACAGACATTTCCTAGTTAAGTATACAAAAGATCTGATAGCTTTATTATTTGAGGTTAGGTTAGGTTGCGTTTAACTACTAGGGAACGAAAAATGTAATATCATAGGGCGATTGCGTGTAGACTATTCAGGAGCTTTTAAAAGAAATCTCATCGCTCATATGCATGAACTCGTTTGTACAATTACCGGTAATTAGATTCCTGATACATGTTAGACTCTTGCATTTCCTCCTCCTCGGAAGGCCAGTAAACCGGTGCTCTGCACCTTGCTGGTCGACCGACCATTGTCACGTCTCTAGATACGTTTTGTACACTTGGTGATTCTCGTGACCAACCTTCGTCCTCCTTTTCCTCCTGCATTTTCATTACTTTGTCGTATCAGCTGTTCTGCGAGACTTCTCAATCGCGAAACTTGCCATGGAACTTTTGGTTATGTCTGTTTCTTTTTTTTTTTAAACGTTCACGTTAGTTTATTCTGATAAATGCTTATTCTATTAAAGCTTGGTATCGTTCTTCCTGATCGTGGCGCACGTCGATGGGTTCTTTGGCCTGACAGGTATACCTTCGTCGGTATAATGGGTTTTCGATCTTTAGTACCATGCTTCATGCTCCCTCGTAAATCAGTCTTACCCTGATCGACGTCGTCACGAGACGAGGGTCAACGGTACGGGTTTACGGGTATATAGTACGATGCTTGAGTTATACTCGTTCGATAGTTTGAATTTTGAGCTAGTGAGCAATGGGCACGCATTTTAATCGTTAGTAAAGATTTCCAATTGACTGTAAAATATTTCACAAGAGCTTCCTCGACGAGTGACGAGCTTCCTCTGTCGTGAGCAAATATTGTGACTAAAAATGATAAGGATAGGTTATAAATTTTTATGTTTTATTTATGTCATTCTTATTCTTCTTTGTGCATTTTGTTTTAGGCTAACGGAGGACTTTGACAATATGGTAATGGAGGAATATGCTCACAGTAATTGTCATGAAAATCTATGGACAGTATCGTTTTGGATGCCGTCTGTCATTTACTAAAAATATAACATTTATGGAATGAACAACCTCGGCTGTATTTATTACCGGAAATAGGAAGGTTCACTACTATTTATAGAAGCAAAGAGTTCTCTGTTGTCGGATGATATTTTACGGTTGCGATGAGACATTCGTGTTTGTCACAACGTAACGTCGCACGCGATCTTCATGGCCAATATTATAAGATATTACTGTAGGTTAAATCCTACGGGGAATCTCCTTCAATTTAAATTACAAACACAGGAAGTAGCATTCCTGCAAGTTCCTAAGAATCCAACGTTGACAATCTTATACAACTTGATTTTTGTTATATAATGCACAAATGTAAGTGGACTACTTTTTGCTCAAAGCACTCAGTATATGAATTATAAAATTTTGTTTCAACGCGAACTTTTCTTTTTTTAAGTGTCCTCCGAGGTGTTGCTTCACGGAGTGGCTGAACTGAACTAAGGACTCGTTTCCTGCCGACGGAAATATTTATTATCCACAACAATGCAGGGTCGTTACAAATTTGAAGAAAAGCCTGGAATCGATCTCGTATCATTACCTTAGCTTTCATTAATCAAAGCAACCAATCGCGCGAGCTTCGACGCTCTGGCATCGCCATGAACTACCAGGTTCCCCATCAGTGTGGATCATATTTGTCAATCTATAAAGTGACTGGCTGATTTGACAATGTTCCGCTATGACCATTTTATGCATTGTCAAAGGAACACTGAAAGAACCCATGTACAACGCAGTGACCTTGAATGGAAAAGACGAAATAAACATCAGGACGAATAGAAAAGATTCAGACTATAAGAAATACGTTATATTCATATTATATGCATAGTTTTTCAAGACTACTGTATCACTTGCAGATCGTTATGTCTATTTGATTTCCATTAATTCCTATGGTAGAACCACAAGGACTATGATTAGTCTATACTCTGCATTAGTTTCCTTTAAGAAAGCAGACGATAATAAAATCGTAAGTCATTCATTAAATAACATAATAAAATACGACCAACACACCATACGTAAACAGAATTATTATAAATATAAATTCAATTATGTATTCTCAGACATGCTCACATAATTATTCCTGGAATTTTTATTTATCACGAGGTCCAAACTACGTGGTCTGCTACACTACATGATCCCTCTTTTTCTCTCTTTATGGAGAGATTAAATAATTTTCCAAGAAATAAGCAGAATCCATCCCTACCTGGTAAGTCCCGAGTCTAAGTGATCTTTGGACTTTGTATTCCCAGATGAGTTCTTAGTCCTGTTGTCGCCAACACTCATAATAATCCCCGAAGACGCTGTTGACGAGGAGAATTAAAAGACACACGTGGCACAGTAGCAACATGCTGAGAAATTCTAAGAGAACGACATAGTCATAAGTGATACGTGATGAGAGACGAAGAGGAAGACGACGCATGAGCGAATGAAGCAGATAGAAAATTAATAATGAAGAGGAAGTGACGGAAGAGTGAAGAACGGACACGAGCAGAGTACCGGTGAACTAAATATCAAAAGATACAGCGGACAGCGATACAATAATTGTTTAATTTTTACTAGCACCAGACGTTGAAAACAATTTTATCGTCTGTGCTTCGTGTCGCGCCAACAACAATATATTAATAGAAGCGATACTAGTCCCCTCTATAATTTATACAAAGAGCACACTTTTAGAGCATTGATTAGGTATTATAGAAAAAAAAAAGCTATTGCTTACATCCCACGAATCTTTCTTCAGAATCCAACGCAGTATCTTTTATGATTCTGGACCACATTTTCACTAATTTATACAAATCTCTATGTAACAATCAGCACTGATATCTGTATTTGCATGTATCGCTATTCTTAGGTGTTCAGCATTGTACGTAGTATTGGAAATATGCAGTAAACGTTACATTGCGCACCGGGTTATAATAATGTAGTGAGATAGCTGTATGTTAATAGATTGGAAAAAATGGGGGATTCTCTGTTATATGTAATAATTCGTATCTCTATGATTCTAGTAGTTCACTGTTGTACATAGGGATCAATACTATTGAGCTCGTTGATTTTCTTTCTGGTTCTACTTTAACACTAAACCTACCGACATATTATATATACCTATTTCTACCGATGGCTGTCAAATGACCGCTTTTTAAATAAACCTTATAATCTTTTCCAGTTGATTGTAATTAATACAGAATTTAGCATAGTCGTGCAGTAAGTTCAAGAAAAATAAAAACCTGGAATTTAACCATTTTGATTAAAGTCTCAAAAGCGGTCATTTGACCGCTCTGGTAGGTTTAGTGTTAATATTCCTGATGATTGCAACTAGCTTTTAAAACGAGACAATCTTGGCCTCTACGAGGAGCGTGGGTTTAGGCTATCACACCCGGTGGATATATTGATTCTGTTTATGCGAACTGACACATCCCCTTATCGTAATGATGAATTCGTTTACACTTTACATACGCATAATTTGTGTATCATTAATGAAGACCCACTGTTATATATATGTATATATTCAATACATTCATTATAAATAGATTATAGCCGATTGGAAATTATATTAGAGTCTGAAGATCGCATAAGGAACAATCAAAGATTAGACTTTCTTTCTATATATATATTTATTTATTTATTACGTTCATGCATTATGTTTAACATTGAATTATCTTTTTTCCTAACAACTATAGACCATACACAAATCTAACTGTATGTACATACATAAAGTCCTAGTGAACAGGAACAAAGAATATCGAAACTCACAGGTTAATAGGTACTACCAGGTAGCCATCAAATAAGTAGTTACCAGTGACTAGACTATCGGTATTCACGTCAGCTGCTCTCTTTCCCACAATGCTGTACCTGGATCCACGTGGTACTCGCTATTCAAAGATAATGCATTTACCTCCTCTTAACACTAGGTATTCCCTTTGTAAGGATTGACAATCTCAAGTTACAATTTTCAACCCCCGAGAAATCGCCTGATAAGAACTCTAACAGATACTTATACATAAACTGTTTAACGTTACTGAGTAAACGCGATATTCGTCGTACGAACAATTGGGGTTGCCAGTCATTCTTTTAAATGACAACGTTGAAGGAAAGCATTATCGTTAAAATACTTCTAGGATTATTTAAGTGTCCAATTATCTGGAGAACGAGGAGAAACGCACGTACTTACGTAAATCTTGCGTGGTTACTTGAAAAGGGTTGAAGAAAAAAAAGAAGGTTATGGGGGATACCTTGCCTATCGATTTATTTCACTCGGTTGTCAAGGGACTGCATTTCAATATTATTGCATGATAAGAATGCGTTATTTATCTTATTCCAGAGTCACCGAGATTCATAGAGACATTTCTTTTTTTTCATTTCATTTGATAACGAATATAATGCGTGACATTCAAATGAGACTCGCGTAAACACTGTTGGCACCCCTGAATCTTACAGATGAATATATAAGGTAAATAAAATCAGCTAAATCCTCAAGACTGGCGACAAATCAGGTCAAAAGTATTGAAACTTAATTAATCTTGCGTTAGACGGATGCAAAAAATTATCACAAGTTCAAACGGTTTCGTATATTTCCACTCGATACTCTTTATGCTTCGACGCGTGGAGATACATGTCAATGACAATGAATTTAAAAAAAAAAGTCATCGAAAACTATCCTATACATTTTTATAATAAATTTCTTGAAATTCTATCCAAACATTTCTATTTCATGATTTCCTTTCAGCCTTGACAGGAGACACTCAAGAATTAATATAAGCCTCGTTGGACATCCTTTCTTGAAGGATCATCAGAGAGATTCGTATATGAAATCTGTAAATACTCAATAGTACATAATGTATGTACTATTGAGTCTTTGAGAATGATAGTAGTGAATACCGAGTTGTGGACACCTAATTATTCATTTGCTGCTGCGTCCGGGAGATTGGAGTGCGAGAAGAGAAAGAGGTGATAATATTAACTGCGGGCATCGCTGTCAGACGACCCCGGGCTATCAAAGTCCGAGCAGTCCCGGGTCATCCATCCATCTCTGTAGTAAGCAGATATTGTTTGCAGGTTTACCAACACTGAGATTATGACACGTGTGAACAATATACATCAGTACGTACACAGATGTGAAATACGGTTTTAACGATACAAGGTTGACTTGAAAGATTCAAAATTAAACCAAGTAGAACCGAATCACGTACAAAAATATAAACAATGGCCGCAGAGAGTAATATGCGTAAAAAAAAAGATTTATTTCTGAAAGGAAAACTTGAAGCTGTTTAATTAAAAAATGTGCACTATATGTCATCCTTCCTTGATGGATATCTTAGAAATATTACTTTCAAGGTAGGATTTATGTTTAATGACGTCATTGCCTTATGCAATGTAACATTTGGTATCGCAATGTGGTGTTTGGTCTGGTAATTCGTTCGGAATAAGTATCGATGATGTAAGAATGTTTGATTTATTAATTAATTAATTGGAGGTTTTTTTTTTATAATGAATTAGATCCTTTGGAGCCATCACAATACATCGTACATTGAATGCTGCTTATTAATATAAAATACTATAAATATGCTGCACGAGTCTATTATAAATAAGATTATGATAGAGTCTTAGGAATTAATTTATGGCACATAATGTCCGCATTAACATTCGATTATAAATAGTTTGTACAGATCTATTCATTAGTTATACATTCATTTCACAAGACGTAATTAAAGACGTTAGAAACTATGAAATTTCGTGCAGAGAAATTTGTAGGCAAAAGGCGCGCGTTTTTTTAAAATTGAACTTTGGAGATCGGTTAAATAATTAATTTTTGTGTTTCTTTGTCTCGTGCTAATATACTTGGAAATGCGGCCTTACTACGGATGTAGATTAAGTATAAAGGAATGTTGGAATGACTTATGATGGAGGATAACTCGATGCATAAATATTACACGAGAATTACCGTGATGAAAAGTAAAATATTTAAACTCTCTCTCATGCACCTATGGTTAAAGTATTTTTTTGAAACAAGATAATGTAATCGTGTATCTATTTACATATGTTATAGTCAATATTATTAAACTATAGAATGCGATGCGTCTAAGCTAGTCTACGCCGAAGACAGGAACATTTATTGTCAAGGGTATCACCATTGCTTGTGTAATTTGGTAGATCAGGATGAATTAACGTTATGTGGATATTTTGGGAAAAAACAATCGTCGGGTAGAGTTCCATCGGCGTTAAACGCTGTTATTATCTCATGGCACTTCACCTTATTGTCAATGTCTGTTATCGTTATCAAAACTTGAATAAATATAGTACACTTCTTTACTGCATTGGTGCTAGGGGTGGCCTATGTTGAGCTGGCTGGGCCCTTATAATGCCAGCTATGTGTCTGAAGGGTAGCTGAAGATGATAATAGGCGCAATAGGGTAGAGGATCCCAGTAGACAAATAAGGCTTCCCGTTTGTCAAGAACGGTACCCAGAAGATGAACAGCAGTGTCGACTGATGGCCTCTTCAAGGCGGTGGCGACGGCATCGTGTAAGAAGTACCTATCATCAGCGACCAAAGCTCCTGAATTTTGCCTTGAGAAATGTCGACAAGGTCGCCAAACTAGACGGGGATGAACGCTGGTGTGACAAATGTAAGGTAGAGCTACCCCTACTCTGCACCCTATGGAGACCAGCTCGCCACCATCTTCGGACAAGACTAGTCTGAAGCTGAGGTGGCCATTGATCCTGGCGCCGAAGGATCTAGTGAAAAACCTCTCAAGCCATTGATTGACGTCTGGACGATCTTCAGGGATGAGTCCTCGACTCTCGTCCACGCGGCAGGTCACGTTGGCTACTACACGGCTATCCTTGACCGTGGTGCAGGTGAGGAAATGGCTACCGCCAGGATCACGAATTACTACCCAAGGATATCTGTCGCTGATCTCATGTTGATTTCTGAACTCTCTTACTGTAGGTGGTAGGAGAACTTTTGTATGATCTCTCATCCCAGCTGGTCCAGCTGCCAGCATCATATGCCTACCGGTTCTAACGGTTCCTCTCTCGTAGAGCCTGGACACGTCTTCCACGGATCTCAGAACGAAGTGGGATGGTGTGTGAAGTCCCACTGCTCGACATCTTCTTAATAACTCTAAAGGATCGTCCAGGGTCGTTACTTCACTAGTTCCAGGAACGAAGCACTCGCACCCTATTATTTCTAAATGGGGTTTAGCTAGAGCATCGTAATAGGCTGTATTGGTAGCACTGACGGGTATGTAATAGACAGCTCTTTCTTTTTGAACTATATCTTTCAGAGCTTTCACGTACTCCGCTGCCCTGTTAGGACCAGGTCGAGGAACAGTATAGAACTTGGAGCAGGCTGTGGAGAATCGTGCGAGTCCAAAAAGACCTTCTATCTCGCAAACAACGACCCTAGCGCCTGCCTTATAAAAATTTCTTGCCAAATGAACGGCCTGGACGGTACTACCTCCGCTGATGAGGACACACCTCTTGTTCCTGGCACGTTCCGAAGCTGGTGTATGGAGAACAGTGATGAGCCACTTCAGAGCAGTTAAAGGAAGCTGCAGGATCACCCAGAAGGCACAGAGCCAGGCTGAGGCCCATAATGCTGGTGCCCATATGATACAAATCATAGTATTATAAATGCCACGAAACGCTCCAGCTATAAGTCCCATGTACCAGGTGATAATCCTTATTAGCAATGTGCCTTGATTACGTTGTCGCTGTCCATGACTTAGCATATGCTGTTGCAAGGCTTTCTGATGGTGCTGCTTTCGTCTTGGTGAAAATATCACGGTAGGAGCTGTTGAATTGTTGGACGAGTAAGAGACGTTTGAGGCATTTGAGATATTCGAGACGTTCGAAGTGGATCTTTTCAGGGTTGACGTCGGTGACATGTAAGGTGGTGAAACAGACAGGGGTGAGTCTGGTAAGAGTGGTGAAGCACTGTTGCTCCTTGATGTTGGAGGGCTCGAAGGCCACATCCTAGAGAAGCTCTCACTGCCACAGGCTGGCATTTTCCTCACCGGAGAACCTCACTTGGGACTTTCTCAACTTCACGGATCCTTTGTCTATTCTTCTTTCTCTATCAGTTACAACCAAAAGATCCTCAATGAAGATGGACGTCGAGCAGCCTTTGAAGTTATCGTCCCACTGTTCATACCTCGTGCAGAATTTTGTTCAGGAAGACATAGCGGCTCTTTGAAGTACGTTCTTGGAGATGGAAGATCAAGTTGAGGCTTGGGATGATCTCTGGACCAAGTTCTTCCAATTTATTTGAAATAGAATCCTTCAGCTTTAGCCGCGTTCATATGAACTATTACTCGCACTTTACAGGTATAATTATTAATTAATATGTTGTAACACAGTCATAACACTCACATAGGGACGTTGCCTTCACCCAGGGTGAGGTACGCACATTTGCTGGTAATGCACACGCGACGTAAACTGAGACCGGTTCTCGGGAATCTCGGTCTCTTATGAGGTCTGTATCTCAGACGCACTATGAACCGAAGCTTATCTAATCATTCGCCTTAGACACCACCGCGGAATGAAAGAAGGAACTAGTTGATTTTCTTCTTTTTAACCGGTACTGGATCTTATTGAGCTAACCGGTTCTTGATTGTAGACTGTCATTATTTTTCAAATCCGATACGTGCAGGTTTTTATTTAATTTCATCAAACTACTGATCATGAATAGGTGATATGGTACGTAATATTTTTTTTCATTGAAATAACTTCTAATGGAAAGTCTGAGCTTTGATATGAATATTTCTACAATGCCATTAAAAACATATTAATAGACCATTTATCGTAATTAAAAAATTATAAAAGTACCGTATCATCCGTTGAAGTAACGTTACTTCATACCGGACCATCTTATCCCCGCAGCTCATTCATGTACTGAAGTGGATGTGCCTAGTAATTTTGACTGAATTCCTATACGGGTACTTGAATGTTTATCTATAAGTTGTTATAAGTTTCACAATAGAGTATAATTGTGGAAATACGAAAATTAATTGAATTGTTTATTAGATTAATATTCCTGAAACGGAATGATATTTTAACTTACATTTATAGTTAGTTGCCTTACGTTGAGGCGCATTGGTTGTGGGTAATCCAAGTGTTCCAATGACAGTGGATCATAATGAGTTCATGAACCTATGCTCATGAGCAAAATATGTTCAGAGTCAAATTTAGAATAAAGCCAGCAAAAGAAGCAAGGAAAGAGAAAGGTATTAATTTTTGACGAAACGCTGGAAGAAAGGAAGAACCGTTACGTGTACCACTGTATGTTATGAATGATACCAGTATTAAAATGGAGTGGCACGATTTTTTTTTAACATTTGAAGGATTTGGTTCCTATAGTGGATTTATATTTCAAGAAACGCGAAGTATCCGAACAGATCCGAAAAGACAGGATATGAAGCAATGGACTCATCTATGGGCATAAGTTCCAATTTTGTCTCTATTAAATTATGCAAAGGTTGCGGTATTGCAATATAGGCAATAGTTTAAATTTACGCCACTGGCGGCGGACGTGTTTCAAAACGCATTATTCTCTGAAAGCTTCGACATGGCCTTGATTGACAAGGAAGGGAGAAATACGTAAGTCGTGCAGTTCTCTAATGTTGAAACAATCGAATGTATTTTTCTTATTAAATTCAAAAAAAGATTAAAATAGAAAAGGGAAATAATATCTAGATTTGGTTGATAGAATTCTGACAGAGTGCATATGCTGCCTGTGCCGTAAATGCACATTCGTAACTGTTCCTAACAATGTCTCAAGAATGGATCCAGAGATGAGTAAGGACATTAACAGGGGTACGTTCAGAAATCTTAGGGTAATTCGGGAAGATTGCGTTTTTTTTTATTATCGTTATTATGAAGAGGATAGAATGATATTAGAATCGACTCTAAAATCGTATCCCAGTTGACCCATTTTCTTAAAAACCAATTTTATTTGGGCGTCGACACGCCACCTGCGCTGAGGACCGCCGAACCATACCCACATTTTTGATGAGTCGAGTATATATAGATATACTACGCCTGCTATTCGTGGATCTGGCTGTAAGGTATCATGGTATAAGCATCCAAAATATTGAGTTCTTTTTTTACCCGCCAGATGTAGCGAATGTAGCATCATTCAGTATGAATGAAAACAATCTGGCAAAAAGCACGAAATTTTGGAATGAGTAACAAGAGAGAATAAAAAGTTTATAAAGGAAAGACAAGACGATAAGCAATAAATATTATACTTAGTTCTGTGATAACTCGTGTATATTTGTATCTGACGTTTTGAGGTTCAATTGGTACAGTAACCTCAGCATAGCAACTGTTTCTTAAATGGCCCTCTTATTTACAAGTATGTGGGACTCTACAATGTTCCTAAGCACTTTGACACCGAAATTTTATGTTGCTCTAACGGGAACCTCGTCCTTGATCTCTGGATTAATATTGATATTTGAGTGGTGGTACTTCAGGAAGTATGGTACATCCTTCATCGAGCAAGTATCTCTCAATCACATATCACCGTGGATTGGAGGAGGTGATGGGGGAGGAGATGGGAATAATTCAAATTTAAATGGTTCAAACTCTTCTAATCAGCAAAACGTCCCTGAATGCAAAGTATGGCGCAATCCTATAAACCTATTTCGAGGAGCAGAATATCAGCGATTTTACTGGGCTACGAACAAGGAACCTCTGACTTATTATGATATGAATCTGTCAGCTCAGGATCATCAAACGTTTTTTACATGCGAAGGTGATACAGGTAAGGCAGAGTATGAAATAATGCAAACGGCATGGAGAGAGAGAAATCCAGTAGTACGAATAAAAGCTGCACACAGTGCACTGGAACGAAATCCAGATTGCGCACCTGCTTATATCCTCCTAGCCGAGGAAGAAGCAACAACCATCCAAGAAGCAGAGAAGATATTGAAACAGGCTCTAAAAGTAGCAGAAAACAATTACAGAAAATCTCAAAATACTCAGCACCAAGGATCTGTGGCAGAGGCGATACACAGGAGAGACACAAATGTACTTATTTACATTAAAAGAAGATTAGCAATGTGTGCAAGGAAGTTAGGCAAATTAAAAGAAGCTGTAAAAATGTTTAGAGATCTAACAAAGGAAGTACCACCCATTATGAACGTTTTAAACATACATGAAAATTTGATAGAAGCGTTACTAGAAATGCAAGCATACGCCGACGTGCAGGCGGTACTTGCAAAGTACGACGACATCAGTTTACCAAAATCAGCGACAATCTGCTACACAGCAGCATTACTAAAGACGAGATTAGTTGCTGACAAATTTTCGCCAGACATTGCAAGCAAAAGAGGATTAACCACAGCAGAGATGACAGCTGTAGAGGCAATTCACAGAGCTGTAGAATTTAATCCTCACGTACCAAAATATTTACTAGAAATGAAGCCATTGATCTTGCCTCCGGAGCATGTTTTAAAAAGAGGTGACTCCGAAGCCATTGCCTATGCCTTCTTTCATTTATCACACTGGAAACAAATGGAAGGTGCTCTCAATTTGTTACACTGCACCTGGGAAGGTACTTTCAGAATGTTACCATATCCATTAGAAAGAGGACATTTATTTTATCCCTATCCAACCTGCACAGAATGTGCAGATCGAGAGCTGTTACCTTCGTTTCACGACGTGAGCGTTTATCCTAAGAAGGAACTGCCATTTTTCATTTTATTCACAGCAGGCCTCTGCTCCTTTACGGCTTTATTGGCCCTTTTAACTCACCAGTATCCTGATACCATGGGCGTTGTTGCACGAGCCATGCTCGCTTGGCTCTCTTTACCATTTTATTACGTCCTAGACAAGTTGGAGGCAGTATTACCGTCAAATTTACTGCAGCAACTCTCTAGAATATAAAAAGCATTTCTATAAATGTATTAACAACCAAGACTCATTGTGATATGTATATTTAAACGCTTCTCTTTTGTTCTCTCTTCTTTTCTACTTACGGTATTTATAATGTATCTATAAGACAGGCATAAATAGTACTTTCCTACCCCATTGAGGACTGATGTACCCATGTATTTATAATCTTAATTATTTACTTAATATTTTAAGTCAATTAAATATATTATTATAAAAGTGAATGTACAAATAAAAGTATAGAATACTACAGTGCAATGAAAAATGCATTCGATCATTCATTGATACTGAGTATTTTTCGTTAACCGAAGTTATACCTATTTTTTAAATTTAATTAATATTTAAATAACTTTATTATTTTCGGTTTTGATATTATTTATTGATGACATATTTGAATGCTTTATAAAATACAATAACGAACTGACAACACAAGAAACTTTATTTGCTTAATTCCTTATCAACGGGTAAAGTGGGGGTTGGTTTTTCTCGTTAAAGTTCTATCAGCTTCCATAGAATGTTTTAAATTTTTGTTCTATCTATCAGGAAGTGCCATGTCCATCCCACGATATTCATTAATTCAATATATTTTTCTTTGATATATACACGATAGATTCAATCGTCCCTTTGCAATTTAACATTTGTTTAATAAATAACAGATATTGATAATTACGGTCGTAAGTAGTTGAGAAATGAGTTTGGATAATCGGAATAAATATTCGTAATGTATCTCAATCGTGCCTCGTATTAACATTAATATTACAAGTGATTCTAGCGCAAAAATTTGACATAGACAAAAAATACCTGAAATAGAAGGAAAATAAACTCAAGTAAAACACCAAAGATCGCGAACACAATATTGATATTGAACTTGAGCAAAAGCGAAAGAAAAAAGAATTTACTTAAAAATCACAATTAACCAATTTCATATGGGGGAAAAAAAAGTAAAACAGCAAACACATAAAATTATCTCTCTAAGAAGCAAACAAAAAGTTGGTACATTAGTCCAAGAGAAAAACCGTTAATGAAATAACGAACAGACTAAATAAAATATTCCGTAGAATTATCAATTAAAAGAAGCTCAATTAATTAATTGCCAGAGCATTATTTATTAAGGTCTTAAGTTCGTATCGCCAGTTAATAAAGTTTCATCGTGAGTAACACACAGCCAGACAGCGCTATGACAGTTGTACGTTACAATTAAAAAATTGTTGCCTCATCGCTTTGCAGCCAAACGAAAATGAACGTAACAGGCTAATTACACAATTACAATTTTATTGTCGCCAAATACAAAGCTATTCTACAGCGGCTGGCATTAATTAATTCATCTCCATTCATATACGCCACTCAATGCATTAAAATTTTACATCGAATCCCTTTAAATTGCCCGCGCTCTCGCGCGCACCCGAAACGTTAAATCTTTCGTTTTTTTTTCTTTTAATTAACTTTAAAATTAATACAACGGGAGGACCAAGTCTAGCCTGAATTAGCTAGCACTTCCATTTATCAGTCCTGCACTTCCTACTTTCATAGGCAATTGACAGGACCCAATCAGTCTTACAAGAGTCATCGCATAATTAGTCACGTACGACGGTGAGCTAATATATTTAATTTAGTTAACACGATTCTCCACGTTAAAGCATGCGCACGATAATTAGACATAGTAATCATAATCGATAATCATTAAATAGTTGTAAAACATATGTACTAACATTGGAATATAATAGATAATATAATAATCTTCAGCAAACTGCGTCAGTTTTTTAAATTTTCTTTTCTTTTTTTTTGTTTCAAGGTAAATAGTGTTCTATCGTTTTCCCATCTCGTTTCTCTTTGCCTTTACTTTTATATCTTGTCATTTTCATATATATATTTCCTTTCAATTATTTATATGCAGACCCTCACGCCTCTCACGAGACCACGTCCAATTATGTCCAACAATAATAAAAGTCACTCTCTTCTCACACGCGAAAACTATGCTTCCGCTGTAAAACTGCTCGACCGTCCTTATATTTTCGCAGTTTTTCCTTAAATTATATCATTAACAAAGAAATAATCTTGTTTCTTTTAATTTTCGTCTACCATTATACCTCACGTCCAGTGTTAACATTTCTCTAAACTACTAACGACCCTATGACGAAAGAGGGTAAATCATTTAGGTAAATCGTAATAATTAATAATACATTTAATTGCATTTCGTATTTATTTAATTAATTGTTATTATTATTAATAGCTCATAATGAGGTGAAAGAGCGAGGCAGACCAGAAATTGAATTACTCGAATGAATAAATTACCGTTGACTTTTTTGCCCCCCCCCCTTCCCCCTTCCCC